TATATATAATAAGCTATACTAAGTAGCTATATAATTTAAAGTAGCTAATATAGGTACTATTAAAAGTAGCTAGTTTAGTTTAATCTTTTATTACTTATAATAAAGGTTAGCTAGCTATATAAGTAGGCTTAGTATTATAAGAAGCGCTTTATATAAGCCTTTATATTTAAAAATAGTATTAGCTTTAGTAATATTAATTTATTAAGCTAGTCCTTAATTATATATATATAGCGGTTACTATCTTTTATAAGTAGAAGGTCTATTATAAAGTCTATCTATATATATATATAAAACTAGTTAAGTACTAAAAGCTACTTAAGTAGCCCCTTAAGCTATACCTTTTAAATCTTAGTATAGCTATAGATATTATAGTTATAAAGAAAGTAGCGAATATAGTATTATAAGAAGGGCTAGTAAAAATCCCTTATAAGGCTTACTATTATACCCTACTAACCTAAGTAGCCTATAATACTAAAGTTATAAATAAGCTAAACTAGCTTTCCTTAAAGCTTATTTTATTTATTTAGCTTTAGTAGTCTATCTTTCTCTTTAGCTTTTATAGTATATAGCGCGCTTAGTACTTATAGTCTCCCCTACTAGTATAAATACTCTTATAAGTTAATATAATATAATATTAGTTACTTATACCTTTAGCTTTAGCTTTAAATTAAGGTATTAAGTACTAGACTTAATAGTATAGTATATACTCTTATAAGTATAGTTTAAAGATAATATCTTATCTTATAAGTATTAAAGGACCTTATTTTAAAATACCTATATTATACGCGCTCCTAGGCCGGTCTATCCCTTTTTACCGGACTAAGGTAAAGGTATAAAGGAAGGCTTATTTATTAGTACCGCGCCTTCCTTTACTAAGGAAGCTTTTATATAAGTCTATAGCGCTTCTTATAAGATAAGCTATAGATCTTAGGCCTTAATATCTACTCTTATTAGCTAGTCTTAATCCTTATAAGAAAGTATATCTAGGACTATAAAGTCTTACCTTAGCTAGTACTTAATTAAGAAGTTAAACTATAAAAGGTACTTTACTTAGCGGGCTTACTATTTTAAGAGGTACTAGCGGGTTATAAAGTACTTAAGGTTCCTATAATCTATAAAGACCTTAAAGCTCTTATAACTTTAGAGCTCCGCTTACTACTACTTAAGGTAGCTAATAATCGCTAGTATCTTCTTATTATAAATAGTATAATTCTACTTTACTAAGGTTAGTTTATAAGAGTAAAATACTACTAGTTACTTTTACTTATTTACTTTTTAAGAAAGCGTCCTTTTAAGCGCCTAGCCGCTATAGTCCGCTTTAACTATCGTAGACTAGTTAAAGTCCTACTAAAGTAGTATTAAGGCTTATAAGAATAGGTCCTTAAGCGTATAGAACGCTCCCTTTTATATAGGCCCTTTAATAAAAAGTAGTCTTTTTCCTACTAATCTTATTTAAAGGTATTATAATATAAGAAAAGCCCTTAATAAATATCCTATAATAGTTTATAAACCTAAGAAAGCTTTATATACCTATTTATATAGTTAGGGCCGCTTAGTCCTAAATCGCTTAAATCTTTATAAGGTCCGCTTATATACCTATACTTATATAAATAATAAAGCCCAGGTACTTAACCTTCTTAACCTTAAATTTATACTTATTTAAGTTAAGGTAGAGCCTATAAAGCTAGAGGCGCTTTAAGACCCTTTATACTTTTTATATATAGTCCTTATAGGATCCGCTTATATAGATAAGGATATTATCTATATATATAAAAGCGAACCTATTAAGAAAGTCTTAAAGTATATTATTAATATAATATTAAAAGGTAGTAAGCGCTCTTAAAAAGCTAAAGGGCGTTATAAGCTACTTAAATAAGCTATAGTAAGTATAGAACGCTATATTTTACCTATTACCCTTTAAGATTTATACCTTATAAAACGCTTATTTTATATCTAGCTTTATAAACTACTTTATCTTTAAGAAGTTATAAAGTATATCTAAGATTAAAGGTAAAGGGTAGCGGTCTAGCCTTATAATTACGTTTAAAGCCTTATAGTTATAATAGAACTATATCTTACTTCCTAGCTTATATATAAATAGGACTAGCGCTCTTATTTTTCTTAAGGTATATAAGTAAAAGCGGAATTTTAGGAAATTAAGGAATTATATAAGACTACGTGATAGAGGGGAAGAAGGAGTATAAGGTAGGATTTTCAATGGAATTTATTAGTAGTGTATTAGTGTATAGAAGAGGTATTAAAGTTAATAATACTCTATCTATCTACTAGCGGACATGCTGTCTTATATAGACAATTATAGCTGAATGGAAGAACCTTTCGGGACTAGATTTAGGCTGCCGTATAGCCCTGAGACTAGGGGATTCCGTGATACCTCGAGTAAGTCTAGAAGTGTCTTGGTTCCACTGATATTCGTGTTTAAAGGAGGTTGGTCGTGCCGGTGTTCTTAAGAGGTCTTAGCTAGCATTCTAAGCTAGCTCTGTTCCTTCGATTCCCGATTATACGATAACCGGCAACCCGTTTAATGCATAATAACATGCAAAATAACGAGCGATTCTTGCTCTATAGGATGAGATTTTGTCTATAATTAATATACTACTTATTAGCTTATATAATCGGGAGAGTATATTATAGCTGCTTTATTTATAGTAGGAACACCGTTCCTTATAATTTTAAAGCTACTTACTTAAATAAAGCTCTTATTTAAGAGGTTCCTTAGCGTCTTCTTTTATACTAATAGCTCTATATATAATATACTATATAGCGGCCTAAATAGTACTAGTAGTTCCTACCCCTTTTTATTAGTATAAAGTATAATCTTATAGTTTACCCTTAGCTTATATAGGTTAAGCTTATTTACTTCTTAGGACTTAAATAGTAAAAGAAGATTATAAAAGCGCTTTAGTATCTACTACTATAGCTTAGCGAGTAACTTTAGGTTTTTTATTTAAAGGGCCTAATTAATATCTACTAAGCTAACTATATAGACTGCTATATCTACCGTTATATAGCCTTCCTCTTACTTTAATTATCGCGAAGCGTAGCTTAATTTCGTAGTTCTCGGAGATATCCCTTAGTAAGAGGGACCTAGGAAGCTAAAAAACAGGTTTTAAAGAAGGAGCTAAAAAGAGGTATAAAGAGGAGGGTAGAGGCATAAGGGGAAGCAGAAGTAGCGATAGCTTCCTATAGAGGTAGCGAGAGATAAGACGGATATACCGGCAACGGCTAGAAAGGAGGGGAAAAACCGGTAAAAAGCTCGGTAGTTAAAAGGACATTAGTAGCTTCTTTAAGCAGGATCTTCTTTATTAATTAAGATTCTAGATAGGTATAAAGAGGGGCGTTAGATAGAGGAAAGAAGGATAATTAAGGCAATATAATAATCACTCCCCTACCTTTATTACTGCCCCCGTAAGAATTAAATCTCTCTGCCTTGCCTGTCCGACCCCTTACTTCTAATTTTACCTTTATATATTTTTATACACTTCTTATATCTCTCTTCGCGAGAATTATAGTAGTTATAGGGGTTAAAGCTAGTCTTATAGACGGCTCCCTTAGTATAGCGAGAACCTCGTCCTTCTCGCTAGCCGTCGCGCTTTTAATCGCTTTTAAGATAGCTATAATACTCCTTATCCGTCTAAGGAGGGGTAAAGTGCTCCCTTAAGGAAGTAGCACCCTTTTTAAAGAGATATTTATTAGATCTATTAGTTAATAGCTTATACTATTATAGAGTAAGTAAAGGTATATATATAGGTGCTATTTATAAGATAATATTAATAAGCTATATAGAGCTCTTTTATACGCGGCTAGCCTATATATATATATATAGGATCTAGCCTTTTATATATAACTATATAGCTTAGGCCGTAGCCTAAGCTTATAACCTATAATAGTTAAAGACTCTTATAATAGTAGCTAGTTTATTTAGTTACCTATTAAACCTATACTAGATCTAAGTAGATAGTAAGGTTAAAGTACTAGCTTTATACTTAGGGACTAGTACTTAATAGCTAGGGCTAGGTTTATTATAAGTATTAAAATATAGGTTAAATAGGTATAGGGCTAATAAAGCTATTAAGGGTAGCTCTCTTTTACCTTTTTACTTACTTTAAGGGCTAGTTAAGTTAATCCTAGGCCTTTCTTTTAGGGTCTTTAAAAGGCTAACGCCTTTTAGAGCTCCTTTTAAGCGGGCCCTAGCCTCTAAGGTACTTATTTCGGCCCTTAGGTTAAGAGGGGGTAGGGGTTATAGGGGCCCTCCTTAGGTCTAGGCTAGGGTCCTAGGTTAGGTCTAGGCTAGGTCCTAATTATAAGAGGTATATACCCTTAGTTAGCGAGGGCGGGGAAAAGTTTTCTACTTATATAAGAGAGAACCTCGCTTAATTCGTAACCTTTCGTAGTATATTATATACCCGCTAGTAGCTATATATAGCTATACTTAGGGGGGCGTAATACGCTATTTACGATAGTTCTAAGTATATACTTTTTTTATATTTTAAGCTTAGTTTTAAAAGGTTAGCCGCTTAAAGGATACTAGTACTTTAAAAAACCTAATAGTTATATATAAGGGAGCCTACTTAATTAATATACCTCCCTTAGCCTAAGGATATAATATAAGCCTAACTTAGGTATAAGAATATCTTAATACCCTCTTTTACCTAGTTATTTATAGTTACTATACCTATATAAGCCCCTCCTTTATCTTAATAGATAGACTGAGATATATATTACTAAATTTACCTTTCTATGCCCTTATTTCTTCTACTATGCTCTTAAGCCTCTGCCTAAGAGCATTTATTTTAGGCCACCGCTAGGCATTCTTCTATAGTCCGAGGAGACGAAAGCTTTAGCGACACCGTCTATAGATCCGATCTATGTTATATACCCTCGAAGTAGATTGCCCATTGCCCCAGCTTTCATTCTCACTGATTATAAAGCCCAGGGTAAAATGTTCGTGGAAGTACTGTTAGAGCTACTATATAGTTCACCTAGCGAAGCACGCACTCTATGACACTCTCGAGGCCATTCGCGAGCGTCCATATCTTTTCGACCCGCAAATCTGCCATGTTTTCGAGGAGTTGATACCACTCTTCCTCAACTCGCTCGCGCGCTCCGAGCAGTACCATCATCTCGAGATCCAAGGCCGTTACTTCCCAATGGGCACCAGTCCGGGGGACTACCTGGTCGTTAATAAGTAGCCGGCTATATCCCGGCTCCATAGCTTCCTTGACGCGCTTTAGGATCTGAACACAAGCCTTGTCGGGCCAGTTGTGCAGAACAGAGTGTAGGTAATACGCCCTGGCCCCTTCAAATGAAAGGGTCAGAACACGCTCTCAAAAGGGTTAAATAAGCGACAGAGAATGGATAACTTGCCTTTAACCGGTTGCTCGGTAAAGAAGTCGTATGACATAGTCTCGATTTTGTCGTGTATTCCAATGCTCTTGCTGGTTACGACCGCTTGGTCTTGCAGTACAAGACGACCAGGCGCCTCTGGATACTGAGACTGGAACCTTACGATGTCCTGTCCCAAACCACCGCCAATATCAACCAGAAGTACAGCGTCCGCACCCGGCTTCAGCCCTTGGATGAGTTTCTCCTGCACAGGGTAGAAGCCGGCATCCATCCAGTGGGGCCGCCCTTGTCGATACCCGGTCATAAGATTGTCGAAATGCACGCCATTTGGGGGCCGGGAGTGGAAGAAATCAAACATGTTGAGGTCAGTATTAAAGGCATACTGGAGCACAGTTTTCAAGGTGCTTTCGGGTGCCATGTAATTGTGCTCTCGGGCCCACGCTGGGAACTTGACCCAGCTCCTCATGAACGCGTTCAATCTGATTCGCCAATCATGTCAGAGTCCTGCAAGAATGCACGATAAAACTGCGGTACGGCGTACGTCAATGGATACCCAGCACTAATAAGGGGCAGAGTCAACGCCCTTGTGAAGTTGGTAGGCAGGTAATTGTCGGGACCAGTCTCAATAAGATAGCCCATCGCCGCCAAGTGGCGCATAAGGCGGCCTAGCAAGAGTCATGGTGAGTATGGATGTATGAGACGTGGAACCAACCCCAATGAAATTGCAACGAACCAAGAAAAGATTCTTGCATTTCCAATTTACTCGCCAACTCTTTAAGCGCCCATGGTGAGCCGTCGCCTTGCACCAAGATAGAAAAGAGGCCAGTTTCCACGCCAAGGGTGATGGCCGAAAGGGTAACCGGCTAGATACCCGCGTATTAGCCAGAGTTGAGCTTCGGTTGAAAGCTACCCGTAACTGTACCTGAGCCAAGGTATGTTTGATCATGGTCTCTCTCGGAGTTTCCAAAGCTTGGACAAGCGAACGCGCTTTCTCAACAAGTTGAAGCCGAGCCGACTCGGTCTTGGCCCAGTCTTCATGCCCCAGCGAAGCGATGCCCTCGAGAAGTTTGGGGACACCATCCGGGTCGCAAGGGGAGATGGCTGTCGATATGCTTATCTGCTTGGATTCCATGTTCAGCTAGGTTGAGGAACACTTGACGTTCTGAGTGCAGCCTCTGCAAAACTAAGGCGAGTGGCTTCTGAGGTTTATACTCTTGGGCCACGTACGATGGGATGCTTCAACAGGCCATTATAAGGTATCACCTTCTCACCCAAGGGAAGAGGGGGTCTGCTCGGCGACAGGGGCCCGAGTAGTTTAGGGTCTCTGCAGCACTAGTGAAGGTCCGTGTTCGCGTCATCTAGGAAACCCGAGCGACGTAGGAACCGGCAAACACGGCACACGGCGTCTAGAATGGCCCGAGCCGCCGCGCGAGTCCCAAAAGCCTTGGTCGTACACTTGTGCTGTTAGAGACGGTGTTTCCCCTAGCGTTTGGTTTTTTTCACATGTAGGTCGTTTTTACAACAAAGTCGGTTTGTAGGACGCTCCAGCGTCTGGAAAATGAAGGAGCACTTATCGTCCGCTGCTACTGTCCACGTGTATCACTGTTTCGAGCACCTTGGTATGATTGATCAATGTCCCGCGTCTCAAATCCACTTGAGCCTGTCTGCTAGGATGTGCTTCAGCACTGGAAGGCATCCCTCATATGTAAAACCGCGCAGGCCTTCTCTCTGTAGATGCAACACTTTTCCACTGGTCCGTCACGTAAACCTTGACTTTTTTTGCGCGTGTAAGCGGACGGTTTGGTAAATCTGCAGGTAGTTGTTCACTGACGAGTCCTCGCCACCAAGTAGGCAATCTTTCAGGGCACGACCAGAACGTAACCATCTTCTAACGTCTGTTCGGTACTTGCGCCTGTTCAGATATTCTAACATCGTGTTCGACGTTCAGGGTGGGCTAGATAGAGGTTAGAGATAGGAAACAGGACGGACCTTGCTAGCAAGGGCTCAGGGGAGAGACATTGATGACGGCACGATGCGTTGCATACCTCGGCCGCTCTGGTCGCCCCATTTTGCCACACGAACGGGATGGTCAGGCCGGCATAGCCGTGTGCCTCTTGTCTCCCGTGGTTTCGTTTTAGTCCGGTTGGCCGCAAGAATCCGGAGCATCCGCAAAGATACAGCCGCCGGACGTGACATCGTAGGGTGAGCCAAGGGCTATGAGCACCTCTTACCCTATTCAATGGCAACGCAGTGTTGATAGCTTGTTCGCGTCTCAAGTGTCCCGACCAAGATGCACGTTTATCCAGGATATCCTCACTTCTTTCGTCGATTTCCGAATTCTCCTGGCAAGGAAGCTTGGGACAAAAACCCACAAGAAGGGCTTCAATGGATGATGGCCTTGTGCGAGATAGATGATGGAGGCTAAGATTTGGGGCGTTTCTTTTCTGAACATGGGCGTGGAAGGGCTCGAGGGTACACCTCTGCATTCGTCAGTTGCGCCTTAGCATGTTCTTGTCATATATGTCGCCAGCGATGGGATGAATACATGGGCTCGGTACTCGCCTGGCACGCTCACTTGCCAGGCTTAGACCATGACTGCACTCGAGAGCTATTGTTACTCTGCTCTGATCAGTCGCCCTCGGCGCTACCTTTGATGCGTCTAGTCCATCCCCCTCCATCTCCAACCGCAGTGTGGTTCCGAGCAATGCCGCAGAGACCGAATGGACCTGCCGGCCTGTTGTCATGTGTGCAGCACTCGGGTTGAAATCGGGTGCCGAGTCCCCGATGCGGAGCTGGCTCTCACCGCTCCGAAGTGGAGTAATGCGGCGGCACAAGAGCCGAGGCGCCGACGCGGAGCTCGCTCCGACCGCAAGCCGACAGTGGGTCCGGTCAGCCCGCTTGCATGGTGGACCAGAGAGGAGCAACGAGCACAAAATGGCCATGAATGTGCTCTCGATTGCACCCATGTCGGACAAGGCCAATCGTGTCTTCTCTGGTGCCCGTACTGCTTGTTGGCATGTCTTCCCCCTCTCTTGACCATGGCTTCCGGGCACCCCGTTGGCGGTGTGGCACTGCAATCCGTTCCTGACACGACCCTCGCTCATCGTGGGCTCCTACCTGTACCCATGGCCCCGGACGCGCACTGCTGCCGCAGCTATGTAAGACACAAACTATGGCGCGAGAAAGCCACTGCGGCAGGCGACTCGAGAACACGAGGAGATGCAGATTCGGCTTGTAAACTATAGAAAAGATGGCCGGCGTTTCACAACCTTTCAAGCGTCGTGCCGGCGACGCATGTCGGCCAAGAGTGTCGCTTTGTCGCCGAGTTCCAGGCCGAGCATGACAGGGCCTTGACAGGAGGGTAGCGCCGAGGCCATAGCGGTTCCTCGTGTTCATGATGTCTTACATCGATGCGCGAGAGGCAAGCGGCCTCTTATCAACGGCAACTACTAGGAAAGACGGACCGGTGGATGGGAATGTAAAGAAACCATAATATTAGTCGGAAATTAAAAGAGTGTTACTTTCCTTCGTTTTAACCATTAGACAAGGCCAATCGGTGCGGAGATGGAACAAAACATTCCGCTCCCCCGTGTAAAGCAGGCAGTAATAAGCTTGTCACAGCATATTTGTCAAGATGGGAGGGATTTGCCATTTGGAAGTCGCCCCGAGGGGTAGGCTCTTAACATCACCGAAGCCGGCGTTGATCGGCTCTTGCGTGAATGGGCGCCGAGGACCAAGGAGAACTTCCTACGCGGTCAGCAAGACCAGCCAGTCTTTTGCTCCTCTATTCATATGCTGCTGCACCGTCTCCAGCGGTGGGGCACGACATTAATCATTTGCTTTGTTCGCGTTGCACTCAACGCCAAACTTTGTGTACGGTTACGCACACTTTCCCACTTTCGAGGATAGACAACCCGTGTTGCATTACGAGTGCTACTAAGAATAACACGAATACAAGCAAGGGTTTTCCAGGTATACCCCGACGTCAAACGCGAGTGCCCACCTTGCCCAGAGGCAGCATTTGTATGCTTCAGATTGATTGCCGCCACTCCCACCACGGACTAATTCCCGGAATAGCCCTGGCTGTACTTGCTCAGCTTGAAGCAGCACCGTCTTTTGGGTAGCCGAGTCAGGTTGGGCCGTGTTTGCGTGCGGTCGAGGGTCACGCTTGTGATAAAGTCGGAGAACGAAACCCTCTCGGTGAGAGAGCTGGCCGAGGGCAAGCTGGCCGAGCTGAAAGCCGCGGATTTCGTCATCACCCAGCGAATCTAGAGGAGGCCGTATGGCGCCTATTGTTCTCTAGAGGATTCGTTCAAGTTTAAATCATTCAAGTAAGCCAACGAAGCAGATGGTCCTAGCCCATGTTGAGCTGGTTATATCCCGAAGCCACCAGACTCTCATCCCCAGCCCTATCCGACATACCTGTCCAGTAGAAAAGTCCCCCAAGCAGCTTCTCATTGACGTATCTCCCTTTTAATACCACCGTCCTGGGTACGTCAAACGAGACGAAGCCTTTGTCTCCAGCCAGATCAACATAATATGCCGCTCCAACGCTTTCATCCACGTACGCGCCTTTGAACCATGCATCAGGAAGAGCACGGATATCCATCTCCCCGGCATCCAGGCTGGACTGGCCTGGTCCCTGTGCGTGGGGAAAATATCTCGCGTATGTCGGAATGCCGAGCAGAATCTTGTGGCTGGGGACATTGCGGGATAAGAGGTACTCTACTCCCCCCGAGCAGGACTTTTGTAGTTGCGAGCGCGGTTGGTCGCGATGCTCGGATGGCGGCCAAAGCTGAGATTGATGCCCCGATACGTTTGTCCAGCCGCCCACAAAGTCGTAGCACATCAAGTTAAGGAAATCGAGAAGTCTGGCTGCGGATTCCAGATCGATCTGCCCCAGAGAATACTCTCCCACCGGCAACGCTGTGCTTAGAAGATACTTGGACGGGGGCAGGGTGCTGCGGGCGGACTCGAGCAGCCTGACGTAGTCGAGGCCTTGGGTTGGGGTTTGGGGATGCTCCCAGTCAACTGAGTCCGCTGTCGTTAGCCCTGCCAGGCGGGACGGGGGTGGGGGGGGCACGACCAACTATCGATGCCATCAAACCCATAGCGGTCGCAAAAGCTGCGCGCTTCCGTCGCAAACGTCTCTCTGGCGGTCTCACTGGCGGCGAGCTTGGGGAACTCGGCGCTACCGGATCCGCCCCCCAGCGAGACGAGGGTTTTGATATGAGGGTGCTGACGCTTGAACTTTCCGAGGGCAGCAAGACATCCCTTCTCGCCGTCGACATCCTTGACCAGGTCGCCAAACTCGTCAAGAAGCTGTGAGTTGCCATCAGCAACGTCAAGTAGAAATGCTTGACTTTACACTCACACGCAACGTCCCATTCTCATTGACCCTAGGGAGGGGGAGATTATGATTAGACATTACCTGCCGGCTTGAGTGACGACTCTTGCCTTACCGTACAAAGGCGTAGAAGACATGGGTGATGGCCGCGGCGTCCAAACACGACGGCGGCTTCCCTCCGTAGACTCCCCACGAAGGGTAGTAGACGGCGTTTACCATGGAGGGCGACATGTTTGTGGGGAATGAGGGGTGTCCGATTCCAAGGAAGAGAAGCTGAGTGTGTGCATGCAGGGGTCTCCTCATGATATTTGTATTTCATTTGGATGTCACCCAACCTTGCTACCCTGGGCCGCGAACCTAATTGACGTAATGCTGTGTTCACTTTGCCTGCCGTTGCGGAATGGGGATGGAGTGTCAGGAATTAGCTGCAGAGGATGGAGGGAGGCGAAGTGGCACTTGCGTTGCAGTCTTCATCAAGAGCCGCAACGTGAGTGATAAATGTTTCGGGAATCGCCACTGCGTCCAACCATTTTCGATATGCAGAAACAAAGTCTCCGAGGGAGAGAGGGAGAGCCAACCGCATCTTGCGTCTGGCGGCCAATACACGGGCGCCCGAGCGTCCGAAAGAAGCCGGCCTCGTACCGGTACTTGATTTGCAGGCCCGCGCAAGAGGTAAATCGCTTGGAGCCACTATCCCATTCAGATCTCAGATATCGGTCGATATTTACCATGACTTTATATCACAAAGCTGTCTTGGGCGTCTTGGGCGTCTTTGGGCTTGAGGCTTCCATCAAGTCCAAGGCCGATGAAGTTCGAAACATCTCATGGATACACTTATTGCGGCGTGTTACCTTCCTAGGAGGTTCCCGGTTGTAACAGCTTCTGCCTATTCACTCCAGGACACATTTCAGCTGATCCAACGCCGGCGTCGCAGACCCTGGTTACGGTGATTGCACTTCAGTTTTGTCAGATGTTAGTGCCGCTGTACCCGCTATACGTATTAGTTAGAATACGTAACTTAATTAATCCAAGTAAATACTTTATTAAAAACTAAACAAATGGCCTTGTTTTCTCTATAGACATTACAAAATACTTCAGAAAGGTCAGCTATATATAGATGATTCTTTTACCTAGAAGAAGCCCATGGAAAAATTTAGGTTAGCCTCAGTGAAGGTTCCTAGGGGTATATGTGTGTCTATTCTTTACTATCTAGATGCGATACCGCTGCACGCTAGGGGCGCGAAGTTTATGCAAAACATGGGGAGTATGAAGACAACAGCCGAGATTTAAAAGCAGCGGAAAATAAATAAGAGTCAGTATACTGCTTGACGATAAAGGGAGAAAGAGAAGAGGACAGCCGAGGGAGTAGACGGCGGAAATTGAATACAAGGGAGTAGGACTTTAAAAGGTGAACAGAGAAGAGACCAGCCCTAGGTAAATAGATGGCGGGAAAGAAGGAGAGGCAGCAGGGGAAAAGACGTCGAAAAGAAAAAAGAGAACCGACAAGCAGCATCAAGCTTGCTGCGCACGTGGCAAACATGGCGGCATCGTCTGCTTCTCGGCAACCATGCCGACATTGGACTCCTCATCGTGGCCACGGCTTTGCCGTGTCGACCCGCCGGTGCTGGGCTTCTCGTCATCGTCGGTGACGACGAGTCTCGTCTTGCCCCAGCCAAAGCTGTCCATGTTCCATATGGCAAAGAGCATGACGCAAATGTTCAGAAACGGGCCGAGAACGACGAAGATCAGCAGGCCGGCGAGGTATTGCACCCGCTCCAGAGTCGTGCGTGGCATCCATATCGCCATGACCAGGTAGTAGACGATTGGAATCATCATTACGCCTACAAACGCCATGATGATCCAGACGGGCTGCGAGATGAAGGCCACGACCATGCATCCGATGGAAGCGATGACGAAGACGTTAAGACACCAGACCATGACGTTGCTGAGGGCCAGGATGCGCTCCCACCACTGGCAGTGTCTGGCGAGCAAGAGCATCAGATCGTTGCCCGTGGCGCCGAGCGTCCAGCGGCGGCGCTGCGACAGGAAGACGGTCCACGAGTGAGGGACGTCGGTAAAGGCCCTTGCGCGGAGCGCCTGGCGAGTCTGGGCGGCCGGATAAGTCGTGAGCATCAGGCACACCTAAAGTCTCTCATGTCAGCTCTCCGAAGCCATTCTTCCCATGGACCGAGGTGAGCCTACGTGGTTGCGGTCCTCCGAGGCCGTGGCCCGGATTTGCTTGACAATGTTGTCCAGGGGCGTGGGGTGGTAGGCAAACAGGTCGAGGAGGACGCGGTCGCCGCAGGTATATTCGCAGATCTTGAGCAGCTGGCAACACCCGGGCAGGCACGAGACCTTCTTGGTGGCAATGGACTGGTGGAGTCGACGCAGCCCCTGGGCGAGGGTGTATTCGGCGTTCTGGTAGAGCGACCACGGGTTCCAGTTGCCGCCTGAGAAGTCCACCGTCACGTAGCCGCACACGCCCACGGTGCCTGGGTATCTGGACTCGTTGAGCAGGTGGGCGATGCAGTCCTTGTCGAAGACGGTGTCGGCATCCATGCCGATGAGGTTGTCGACCTGGTCCATCAAGGCGTCGTGGGCGAGCCAGTCGGACATGGAGCGGAGGAAGCGCGGCGAGAAGATGGTATCGGGACTTGTCCGCCTGATATTGAACTTGTATAGGAACGAGCGGGCGACGATGAGGCTGTCACGCTTGCCCATGTTCTGCTCCTTAACGACGCAGTAGAAGGGCACGCCCTTGTACCGGCCTCTGCAGACCTCAATGTCCATGCGCCGCGAGTCCCACGCCCGGTATGCGTCCCTGATCTTCTCGCGGCTCGTCTGGTCGACCAGAATATCCTCGATGAGGTAGTTGGCCGTTGTCTTTTGCATGTTGGGTCCTCGGACGCGGCCGTCGCAGACGACCAGGATGGCAGTCTTGTTGTCGTCGATGCCGACTTGATCGACGAGCGAGTCGAGAGACCGCGTACACTCCTCTACCGTCTCGTTGTAGCACGGCAGCAGCAAGACCAGGCTCTCGGCATGGTCCAGTTCGACGGTCTTCTCGGGCCATATCGAGTTGCGCAGCTTGAAGAAGGCAATCGACGCAATCATGCAGCAGTTGAGAACGAGTGGAAAGGCTACAAAGGGCAGATAGATGTAGTAAAGCTTTGCCCACCGCCAGGAGGCGAAGATGAGGATGTAGCTGCGGCGGCGTAAGCTGCCGGCAACTGCTTGACATTGTGGGCAAGCACTTACTTGATACCAACCAGACCCGCGATGAACATGTACTTCTGCGCTGTGACTCTCCGCTTTCCTCTCTTTTGCGTTTCCTCGGCCGTCCGTTGTGTCTGGTCCGCTTCTGCGTTGACGTCCGTCGTCTTCGTGCTGGGCCTCGGCACTGCGGCTGTACTTGGAGTGGGACTTGGCCCGCGGAACTCGTCGTCGCCTCTAGCCCGAGCCCGTCTCAGGCTATGTGTGGCCTCAGAGCCATCGTCTTCGCCCGAGGCAGTCCCGGCCCTCTCCGGACGGTCCGGCTGATGTAGCGGGCGGCCGGGCCTGACCAGCCTCTTCTCAGGCGGCGTCCGAGGCTTGAAATGGTCATGTGCAATCGTCGGCCTAAAGCTTACGTTTTCCGTATCAAGAGACGGGGCTTTGATCGAGGACTCGGAGACGAAGGCGCCCGACGGTTGGGTGCTCTCTAGGGAATTCATGTCGTCGAACGGGTTCCCGTACGATGACTGGACGGTCTCCGTCGAGCTCTCGCCGCCATCTTGCGAGCTGGACCATGCGGCCTTGCCATGTTTCCCGAGGGGTGCGAGCAGAGACCGTCGGTTGTCTGCCGGTCTTCGGTCGAGAGCTTCATTCTCTGCATTATACTTTCCACGGTCAGCACCAACTTATCGCGGAACGGCGTGGGTATGGCACAAACTTACATTCAGATGATGATGTTGTTTCCGTGCAACAGAAGCACCGGGACGCTCAAGTCTGCTCTGACTCGATGCATCCTTCATAGCAGTCTCGACAAAGCAGGCAAGGCTGGGAACGAAAAGTCACTAGAAGTTAAGGCTAAGCAAGGAACAGAGGCTTCGCTTCAGTTGCAGTATTGAAAATAGGGAGACAAGGAGAAACTCATGGCCTGCCGCAGGGAAGCTAGCAAATGGTTTACTACATTAGTGGTTTACTAAATACACGAGGTTCGTTATGAAACCAAACCGAACGGCCAATGGTGAACATGAATGCACATGCAACCTCTCATCTGAGCCACGTGCTAATTACTCAGGATCCGCTTCATCACGGCAGATAGGGTTCAGGAACGGCCTGATGATTTATTGAATCCAAATGCGGTCCACGGCCGGCGGCACGCGCCTTGCTCGCCATCTTCAGGATGGGCGCAAGCCCACACACGCCTCAACGTGCCCGATGTGAGAGAGAGCAGGAACTGGAAGGAATCGACAAGGCTCCATGTCGCCACTGCAGCGGATCCGTCCTTGAAGGTCTAGATCAGGTCGTATCCGGTAGATGTTTCACGGCACGTCATGAGTAGTTGAAAATCATGGACAGACCTGACCTCGTTGTCTTAAGTTCCCGCGTGCGGGACGGGCGGGAAGCTTGCAAGGGGCTTCGATCACCTACCTTGAGCCGATATGTGAGACAGGGCCGAAGGATCATCTCAAAGATCGCGACAGTCTTGGCCGCGGGCATAAGTGGGTTTTGGTACAACCTGTCTCTCTACTGTATGTCTTTGCCCACATGGGTCCCCGGGCCGGTGTCGATCGCCAAGACTGTCTCAACTTTTTTCGAGTTTTGACACACGGAACATGTGGCATTATGTACTGATCAGCGTGGCTTCTTAGGAGGCGGGCTGACCGGCTGAGGCCTATGTATCCGTACCTGCTTGCATCCTGAAGACCTTGAGAGGGAAGACCTTGCTATAACAGAAGTTTCGGAGCCCTTGGCGTATACATGCGTAGATGGCGCTGCTTGGCATATTGCCTATCTTCAAGCTGTATAGGCATCACGACCATCTGCTCCCTCCACGCAGGCAAAAGACCCTTGCATGAGCACTCTAGTAGAGCGTCAGAAATCTAGCATGCTAATCTCCCTCGGTTGACTCAATACCGTAATTACCCACGCTAAAATTCGCCGCTATTGAAAAAAGGAACGAGATAAAGCAACGGTAGTACCACGCACATAAATTTGTATAGCATCTTTTCCCTTTTTTCATCTTTTTCTATCCGCACAGTACGGGATACACAACAACTTTGCCCAGATGAATCTAATATTGCGACTTGGGGGTTAATTGTAACGTTGGAGGAGCCTTGCGGCGGCAAATTGTCTGCTGAGATGGCTGCTTTGACTCATCTATGTCTGAGCTACTGAGCGAGGATTTGAACCAGATTTGGTGCCGCTCAGTATTTGAGATGAGTAGCTCCAAGATGCCCCTCGCTTGGGAGAAACCAATCAACATCTTTTCACCTACCGTTGCTCGTCAGGGTTGACTGATACTTGCCGTCGACTGCACGTTGTGTGGGCACAAGGGCCAGTGTGTTCGATGTCAATACTCGGGGCATGTGAACAGACGCGGCCAAGCGGGAACACCAATGTCTAGCACTCGACTCCCCATGAAACTTGGGGCATTATGGTTTGGTAGCTCTCCCGTGGGGGCTGAAGACAACCAATTCCCTGCCCCGGCTATCGCTCGAGTTCATGCCTAATTCGCCCCCTAAAAGCGGCCCGGCCCTTGACATTTTAAGTTGCGCATGAGGAATTCCAACTCTGATTGCACTTCTTTTCTCTTCCTAGAACGATCTACTTTTTATTTATTAACATATAGGTGTATTGTTTTTGGAAGGCCTTTTGCCTATAACATGGCATTAAGCATGTGCATGAAAGCAGACCCATATGTGGTCTATAAGAGGCTGAACCTGTATTGTAAAACTTTTAGCCCGGTATCGAGAGTTTGTGAGCATTTGATTACTTCTGCTCCTCCTTATATCCCACATGTAGCTTCATAACTTGCCAGCGTCGCCGATATTTGAAAGTATTTAGTCAAGTCCAGCAACCGGCGATGGGGGGGGGAGGGGCCAACGGGGCTGGCATTGCTGTCAGCCGCATCTTCCATCCCAATCCGCCTCAACCTATATACGCTTCTGTCCTCGAGTCTCGATTTACTATTCCTATTTCTGAATTCATGACGTCATAAAGTTTGGCCCTGATTGAGAGCATTCTTTGCAGCACCTGACGCGGCTCAGCAAGCTGAACAATAGTACATATGCAAGTCTGTTTGGCCATCCGTTGGTCGATCTTCGTCTTTCAGCGTACACAAGCCTTTGGGTCGTTATCAATCTTCGTCTTTCAGCGTACACACAAGGCTCAGGGTTGTTAATCAGTCTTCGTCCTTTCCCTTCCCGGCCCTTCCCACCTGAATCCCCCTGATCCTCTCCGTCAAGTGTCCGTACAATGGCCGCCACTCTCCCCCTAGACACACAAAGGCTCGCTCAAAGGGGAGAAGCAGCCCAGCTAGCCGCCGATCTAACGAGCTACCCCGCCTCGAATCTCGACAATGGCTTCTTAGCAGTCACTCCGCCCATCGAGGCCGAGCACGACGCGTGGGATCTAGCCGCCTCGCTAGAGCCCATCGACAAGAATGCCAAGCCCTTAGTGGCCATCATTGGCGTTGGATACGTCGGTACACACCTATTCGAGGTGTTCTCGCGGGAGTATAACACCCTGGGCTTCGAAGTCTCCGAGAGGCGAGTCCAGGACCTCAAGTCGTGCTTCGAGGGCAACCAACGCGTTTCCCTGACGAGCACTTCGCGCCATCTACACACGGCCACTCACTTCCTCATATCGGTTCCCACGCTGTTGCTGCCGGACAAGAGCGTCGACACTTCGTACCTCCGGAGCGCGCTTAAGACGGTGGCCGCTCACGCCCGCCCGGGCTCTACGGTAGTCATCGAGAGCTCCGTGGCTATTGGCATGACGCGCGATCTGCTCGGGCCCATTGCCAAGATACGGGGGTTTTACGCCGGCATGTCACCGGAGGTACGTTTGACGAGGCGTGATCCCTTTTCCTCGTCCACCTTCTCTGGCCCCTTTCGCGAGACAACCAACAAACAAGAAGTTGGCCTTTCTAAACTAACACGTACTGCCCCAGCGAGTCGACCCAGGCCGCACCGAGCCGCCGGCTTACGCCATACCCAAGGTCATCTCGGGCCTCGACGACGTCGTTCCGGGGTCCCTCGAGGCGATCCGGGCGCTATACACTCGTGTCTTCGACCGCATCGTGCCCGTGTCCAAGCCCGAGGTAGCCGAGATGACCAAGCTGTACGAAAACTGCCAGCGCATGATTGGCATCGCGTACGCGAACGAGATGGCCGAGGCAGCAAGGGCCCACGGCATCAACCCCTACGAGGTGTGCCAGGCCGCGAGCACCAAGCCCTTTGGCTACACGAGCTTCTTCCCGGGCGTCGGTGTCGGCGGCCACTGCATACCCGTCAATCCCCATTATCTACTGTCCAACAGCTCGTTCCCCTTGCTTGCCGCCGCAAGCGAGGTCATGACACGCCGGCCGGCCACCCTCGCCGCCCGGGCGGTCGAGGAGTTGACCAAGGACAGGAGCAACCATGGCCGCAAGCCCCGTGTTCTCGTCGTGGGCATCGGCTTCAAGGCCGGCCAGTCGACGCTCAGCAACTCTCCCGGCCTCGATCTCATCAAGCACCTGTCCTTGCACGGCAGCGTCCAGGTCCAGTTCGCCGACCCGCTGGTCCGGCAAGAGGACGTGCCTCAAGTCTCTCGCCTGGCCGATTGTGACTGGAACAGGAAGATACTCGCGTGCTTTGACAGGATCATTGTCACCATGCGTCAGGTTGGGCTCGACTTTGGTTTGCTCGACGACATTCCGGATGTGCATGTTGAGTGGTAGTGTGCGTGATGAGACGCAGACAGTCTCGAAACGTCCTCTTTTCTTTGCTCCCAAAGGGCCAGTCCATGCTGTTCATGTTTCTTCACTTCTCTTTTGTTTCCTTCTTGACTGGAGCGAGTATCAATCAATCACACGGTATACAAACGAACACCGAACAACGGGCGTCAACATGCAAAAGCGCCGCCTTTCAATATAAACCATACACTTCTTCACAGCCTTTCTCTCGACGCCGTATGCCACGAGTTTTCGGCCTTTTTTCCCCTTTACAGAAAAGCGCGGACACAGCGCCTGATGCCGAGATGGAGACGAAGACGGCCGGGATGCTCATCTTTCCTCTCTACCACACAACACCCAGAAGCAAATAGTATAATTGGTTCATTAATTGCCTTATAACCGAGGCTAGTTGACTCGCCTTGTCCTATACTCGAGGAAAGCCATTGTGTCAATCGTCCTTTGCGCCTTCAACTCCTCCTGTGACTGCTCCTTGACTCGTGGTGCAACCAGCAAGGCACAGCAAGCAACGAACAGCGTCGTCGACAGAGATGGTAGCTCCAAGGACCGCATTGATGTAAATCGTGGAGGCCAGCGTCAGCCCTTGAATGTTGCTTATCCAGCCACCCTGCACGCACACGCACACACACCTCCCGGCCCTACGCCACATGCAGGCCAAGACTCCATATCAGCATGGTCAGGTGTTGTTCTCTCTCCGTCTCTCATTCGGGAATGCTGCGTCTCGTCCTTGTTGGCCCCCCCAACTCTATCCCGTGGACCAGCTCACGCGCTTGTTCTCCTTGGCCGCGTCCGCCCTCTGTTGGACCAGCCGCAAGGAAACGGGCTTACCACCCGCAAACGTCGTCTGCTTGTCGCTCTGCGGCGACTGCGACAGGGACGTTGGTGTAGGAGAAGTTGCCCGCCAAGCCCGCCGGGCCGCCGCTAGGGGTAAGTATAAAAGTACGCGTACGGGGTAGCCGCTTTAGCGTTGACTGAGGCCCCCAAACAGGCTCGGCAAGCGGCGCGAAGTTGCCTAGCGGCGGCGGCGACATGGTGCCGTCTGGGCCCCGGTGTCCGTACATCTAGCCGACAAGCCCCTAATACGGCGCCAGTAAACTACTTGGTCACTTTAGGGCCTTAACCGCCTCGTGCTCATGAGTTGCCCTGGGCTGCATGGTTGCCAATAGGCAATTACGGAGTACATCTCCATGGGTTATAGGATCCACGTACAGTACACTTCACTTTTGGCTGCACGCCATAGTAGTTTTCTAACAACAGCACGCTCAGGGCCGTGTCCGGGTTGGTATGCGTCAAGATGGCGGAGCCGCCAATTACAAGGCACGTAGTTAGTTATGCCCCTACCCCAGCCGGAGACCGCTACCGTAGACGGAGTCCCTTGCACTAGACAAAGCTTTCCTTCCGCATAGACCTTTCCTTTCAGATACGGCTTTTCTCCTCGACAAAGCCTTCCTCGATAGGCTTTTCCTTGGCAACGACTTCTGCAATAGACAACATTTTCTTTAGCAATAACAGCATACGCGAGAGATCCTTCCTTCCCCTTCCCGGCACAGTCTATAGCAACCGACGTGGTAGGCAGCCTTGAGCAGTCTTAACGAATAAGTGTGAAAGAGACCCCCTTTTCGAATTACCTAGAGTAAATAAGAATAAGAATGGCAAGATCCGTTATTTCCTTCCTAGGTATAGGGATCTGCCTAGGTAAAGCTGGCCAGATGTATGTATGCTGGCTAACATGGCCCCTCTTCTTGCCTGCCTCGTGCTTTCTCTTTTCCTTCGTCTCCCCTAGGCCCCCTAGCCGTCTGCTTCTGGCTTCTGCTGTTGCCATCGGCGTAGGTGTGTCTTTGGGTGTATGCCGCAGCTATAGTCAAACTGTCAGCTGCCACCAGCACCTCCATGGCATATAGGGTCCACTTCCAGGTTATCTGTTGGAGTGTCACTTCACTTTTGCCTGCACAACCTAGTGGTTTCCTCACACAAACTAACTTATAGGCTGGACTGAAAAATCGGCTGCCCATGGCTACCCACGGGCGCCCACTTTTTAAGTACAGTACTGTCAAGCTGGTAAAATACCGCTACACCATGCAAAATGAGGGCACCCCCAATAGAGGTACAAGTACAGTAGTTGGCGAATGTCACGTGGCTTGGCACGCACGTGACGTGGCGGCACCGGGGCTGGCGCCGGCGGCGGCTGGCCATTGACTCAACTTCACCAACCATCAACGCGTCCATTTCTGCTCCTCTGCCTCCTCCAGCGCATCGCCGTGGCATGCCTCTCTCGGCCTGCAAAACCACGGTTCCTCTCGAAACCGCTCCTCCCAAGGCCCCTAGGCACCATGGCCTCCCCGCCGTATGCCACCTCGCCCATGGCCATGTCGCCGCCCGGCCCATCTCCCGCGCAGCTCCCCAACAAGAAACGCTCATCGACGCTCGAAGTCGGCGCTCCTCCCGTCAAGCGCCGCAAGCCCTCAAACATGTCGCAGGCGTCTGCGCCGGCCCACCCCCTGCGACAGACATCCTTCCCCCCCGAGGGGCGCTCTCCCTACGCGCGATCCCCCTCGGTCGACGCGACCTCGATTGTCAGCGGCAGCGCCGTCAGCGGCGTCACGGCCGGCCCCAAGAAGAAGCGCGGGCGGAAGTCCAAGTTTGCAAAGGGCGATGACGCCGCCGACAAGACGCCCAGCCTCGCGGGCGGAAAGGCGCCCACCACGGCCAGCGGCCAGGGCGGCGATAAGGAGGCTGAGGAAGACGACGAGGACGAGAAGGAGGAGATGGCGCTCGAGGACGTTGTCGCGCGCACACAGGAGCAGAAGCAGGAGGAAATCCGGCTGAGGGCCATGCTCGTGGAAGCCTTCGACAGCGAGCAGTACAGTCGCTACGAGCTGTGGCGGGCAGCCAAGCTATCCGACGCCGTCGTCAAGCGGGTACGTCTACTCTTCCGGCACCCTGGCCGCAAAAGAAAAGGAGCAAGACGCTGACAAGGGCCAAATATTATAGGTGGTCAACGCTACCGTCTCGCAGTCGGTGCCCCAGATGGTCAGCACAGCCGTTAAGGCGGTTGCCAAGCTGTTTGCGGGCGAAATCATCGAGTCGGCGCGCAACGTGCAGGGCGAATGGATCGCGGCCGGCGAGAAGCAAAGCGAGCTTCCGACGCCGCCGCCGGCGACGGCCGAGGATGACCAGGCATGCGTGCGACGGGGGCCCCTGCGGCCGGATCACCTGCGCGAGGCGTGGCGGCGGTACAAGGTGTGCGGCGAGAGCCACGGGGTGGGCATGCAGCAGCTGTGGCATGCGCAGCAGGGAGACGGCGTCGAGCGGTTTTCGACGCGCACCCGCAAGCGCCTATTCAAGTGAGGGCGGAGCACGACGTGGCCGTGTCCTCTTTTCGTCGCTTTATGCTGCTGTGCTTGGTCGGCATGGCAAGATGGGCGCTGCCATGAGTCTGGGAAACGGTTTTGATGATACCCTTATAGCAAGCAAGCTTTGATTTGACAAGAGGACCCTTTGACTATGGGACGCCAAGGTTAGGAGACGCATACAGATGTACAGTATGTGTTATGCGCCTGGCAAAGGAACAAGTTATGAAGAATATCCTTTCCCGGCATGTTCCAGCTCTCTGGGATTCCCAATGGTCCGACGGGTGGAGCTTCCAACAGCGGAAGACGTAAAAAAAACCTGCGCGTGCTGGATTGGATGGTTACGATGAATTGAATGGATCCCCCAGCAAGGCTGTTAGTTGACGGACAGGTGCGAAGCTCCACCCGCCCGCAATTCTTTTTCTCTCGTTTTATTCCATCGGGGTCCCATTCCTCTGCAAAAGAATTTGAGCTGCTGCTGCTGCATCATCATCCTTCCCCGTTGAATTGGAATCCGAGAGACCAAAGAGACGCCGCCGGCTTTCTGTCGTCATCATGGCGGGAGCAAAGGTAAGAAAATGATGCTTCTCTTTATCTTTTCACCGTCTTTTTTACACGGGGCCTGTCTGCGTGGCTGTGTTTTTCGGCTTGTTCTTCAGTGACATACATACTCGAAGAAATTGCTGGCACTGCGATGCGTTTAGAGGACTTGGTCGGAGCGCGGACTGTCACTCTGCATTCACTCGCTCACTCACTCCCTCGACACGGTCATGTGAGAGACTGTGATCCCAATTCCCCAAAGCAAGGAAGAATGAATCAAGAAGCCAAAGACGAGAAATGGGGGGGAAAGCTCACAGCCCGTCCCACGCAGACCACCTCCGCCGGCCCAACCTCCGCATCGGCCATCCGCATCCGCGAGAACCAGCGACGCTCGCGCGCGCGCCGCAAAGAGTACGTCGAGACCATGGAACGCAAGGTCCAAGAGTACGAGCGCCGGGGCATCGACGCCACCCTCGAGATGCAGCAGGCCGCCCGCACCGTGGCCGTCGAGAACGCCCGCCTGCGCATGATGCTGGCCCAGATGGGCGCGGGCTCCGCCGACGTCGACGCCTTCCTGCAGACCTTTCAGGACCGGGACGCGGCGCATACCCTGTCGTCGGTGCGCTTTCTGCAGGGGCAGCCGCCGTCGTCTTCTTCCTCTTCCTCTACTACAACCGCTTCCTCTTCGGCCGCGGCTCAGGCCCAAGGCTGCTGCGATGAGTTTGCCCGGCACGACGGCGGCGGCGGTTCCTACGGACGAGGGCTAGGAACCGGTCTCGCCGTCGTCGAGATGCCACGCCTCAACAGAGCATGCCCTCCGGTTCTTTCGGTCCCCGTCCCTCTCCACGGAGCCCACCCCGGCCGCCCGATGACACATGCCTGGACCGCCTTTGACAAGCTCGACGTCCTCGCCTCGGCAAGCGTCCAGCAGGGCTGTTGCGACGACGGCGACGGCCGCTTTGCCCAGGTGCCGGCGCTGAGCTCCACTCGGGCCGAGAGCCCATCAACTGTCGAGCCCAGTCCGGGAGCAGCGACGCCATCCTCTCAAGGCGCCGGCCTCCTCGGCTCGCCGCTTAGCATGTCGTGCGACGCGGCGGCGCAGATCATTGCCGATATGCAAGGCTGTGCGGTCGGTCGGGGCTTGGTCAAGGAGGAGCCTGGATACGGCGGCCAGGACAAATGCTTGGCCAGCAACGACAGCAACCACCCCGTCCTCTTTCAGGTCCTTGAAAGCCACAGCCAGTTTCGATGACAGTCTAGGAACCTACTTCTCGTCGACCATACCACCTTGGTATCCCAGCAAGACAACCACTTGGCCGAGAGGATAATCAAGGGAGGGGGAACATCGCTCGAGTGCCCGTCAGGGGCTTCCTCAATCTTTCCAACGCCACCGCCTGCCGAGCCACTTGACCAGGTAGACGAGCGCTATCAGCACGGGCACCTCGATGAGCGGCCCAACAGACGCCGCCAGCGCCTCGTCGCTGTCAGCCCCAAACGTGGCCACGGCAACGGCAATGGCCAACTCAAAGTTGTTGCTCGCCGCGGTGAAGCTCTGCGTGCAGCTGAGGCGGTACCCGAAGCCGAGCCTGCGCGTGACCCACAGAGTGGCAAAGAAGATGACGGCAAAGTACACGACCAGGGGCGCGGCAACGCGGACGACGGAGACGATCTGGCGGACCACGTGCTGGCCCTGGGCTGCGAAGAGCACAATGATGGTGTAGAGCAGGCCGACGAGCGACCACGGCGAGGCCAGGCGCATAAAGACGCCCTCGTACCACGTCGGGCCGGCGAGCCTCCTCAGGCCCAGCCGGGTCACAATGGCCGCGCCCAGCGGGATGCCGAGAAACACGCCGACGCTGGTCGCGACGACGGAGTAGGACAGGGTGCGGATGGCGGGCCCGCCGTCGCGGCGCATGACGCCGATGAAGAGGACGGCGAGCGGGGCGAAGAGGATCATTTGCAGCAGCGAGTTGACGGCGACGAGGATGGCGCAGTACTCTGCGTCCCCGCCGGCCAGGCTGTTCCAGATGAGGACCATGGCGATGCAGCGGCCGAGGCCGACGAGGATGAGGCCGCTCCGCAGGTCCGGCTCGTCGGGGAGAAAGGCCGAAGCAAGCGCGAGCTGGGGTGGTGAGCGCGGGTCTTGTTTTCACGACGAGCCGGCGGACGATGCGGGAGCAGGCGTACCATGAAAAAGGGAGCAATGAGCCAGTTGACGAGGATGCTAAAGCCGATTTGCCTCCACAAGCTCTTTTGCCGCAGAATCATGTGCAGCGACTCGTAGCGCACGTTGCACAGGATGGGATACATCATGACGAGCAAGCCCACGGCTGCGTGCTGCGGTCAGCTTCATCGGCTTTCCCCAGGAGAAGAGAGAGGAGCAAGCTCACCGATGGGAACGGAGACGCCGGCGAAGCGACCCTTTTGCAGGATCTGCTGCGACTGCGGCGCCAGGTTGCCGATGACGATGCCGACGGCCATGGCGACGAGGATCCAAAGGGCGAGGTAGCGGTCGAGCCAGCCGAGCGACTTGAAGACGGACGGGGCGTGGACTGTCTCGCCGACGCCGCCGGCCGGGCCCTGTTCCTTGCCCGCTTCCTCTGCCGCTTCTGGCGGCATCTTTCAGTGTTCCTACTCACCTTGCTCTTTCTTCTCTGTGGGGAGAAGAGGAGGGGACGTCACACGGCCAATGAGGAGCCTCCGAGGGCAGGCAAGAAAAGTCCGTCGGCTTTTTTAGCCCGTTTATTACTGTTGAGTGCAGCCGGTCCCTGATTGGGCCAGCCTAGCTTAGTCAGTCTGAGCGGCAGGAGCCCTTCAGGCTTGTGCCCGCGCCCACAGCTTGGGCCCGTAATCCACACCTTCCTCATTTTGCCTCTTTTCAATTACGGGGCACGTGGGCGGGCATTTCGTATATACTGGACTGGTACAGTACCTTGCCTGCAACACAGACCACCTATTACAGAGTGCTCCGTACAGGAAAAATTTAGGGGTCCGTTTCGACAAAGAAGGGGTTCGGGGCGGCCATGTGGGCTCGTCGGAGACACTGGACGGCCTGGCATTGGACGTTGGCTTCTCAATCAAGGTCCTCCCTCTGTAAAATGGTTGGCGCTTTGATGCCGCAGCGCCCATCTCGAGATCCATCTCGAGATGCATCACGATAAACATCACGTAACCACGCGAATACCTCGCAGAAGCCCCCGCCACGTACTGTGAAGCGACGCAAAGTTAGTCGCAGCACTCATCCACGAGCACGCGCGCCTCCGCCTCACTCCTCACCCTGGCACGCCTACCCCCTTCGCCAACTGGTGAGCATCCTCTCTTCCCCAACGCAACGCCGCCGCCGCTATCCCGTGTTGGGGAGAGTTTGGATGGAGGAGGGGCGTTTAAGCATAATACTAGTCCGTCAAACTAACGTGTTTGACGCTGCTGCCAGCAGATGCCATGCAAAAGTATGCTGGCGTTAAGCTCGAGGGAACTTGTTTAGTGTCCGCCATCCCGTCACACACACCCTCCTCTGCTGGACAACCACCAACTCTGCCTCTCACACCGGGAACAATCAGAACTGCCTTTTGAGTGAAAAAGTAAGAAGAAATAAAGTATACGCAGCTGGAAGCATGTGTCCCAGCAGAAAGAGGCACGCGGTGAATCGCACAAGATCAGTGGCCCGTCCTTAAAAACGTCTCGCCCTCGGTTGAATCTCCATCCTCTCCTCCCCTCCCCTTTGTATCTTGAGCATCTTCCAGAGCCTGAAGCCGTGCTCTTCCACACAGTCTACACGAGGGAGGAACCAGAAGGCCCAAGGTCAACCGGAGAGAGAGCAAGAGACACCCTCTTCACGCACTCCAACACCATGAGGTCCCTCTTCAGTCTCGCTGCCGCCCTCGCGGCCCCCCTCCTCCTGTCCCTCCCCTTGGCCCCCTGCTCCCACGCAATCCGCATCGTCCAGTCCAACGATGACGGCTGGGCCGAGCTCCACCTCCGCACCCTCAACGACGTCCTCCGCGCCGCCAACCACACCGTCCTCCTCTCCGCCCCCGCCGACAACAAGTCCGGCTCCGGCTCCACCGACGACGAGCCCGACGCCCGCACCGAGCCCTGCCACTACGACAGCTGCCCTGCCGATGCCGGCCTCAGCGGTGCAAACGCCACTCGCCCGGACCTCCGCTGGGTCAACTCGTACCCCGTCACCTCCATGCGCTACGCCATCGACTCGTACGCGCGCGAGCTTTGGGGCCCCGGCGAAACCCAGCCCGAGCTCGCCCTGTCCGGGCCCAACGCCGGCGCCAATGTGTGGTTCGTCGTCAAGGGTTCCGGGACTGTCGGTGCCGCCGTCCACGCCGTCCACTCCGGCATCCCCGCCATCGCTTTCTCCGTTGACTCGTTCGCCACCGCCCCCTGGAACGTCGACCCCAAATCCAGCCCCATGCCGGCCCGGAGCCAAGTCTACGCCCAGCTGGCCCTCAAACTGACGGAAAAGCTCATCGCCTCTGGCAAGCCCTATCTCCCCGACGGCGTCTTTCTCAACGTCAACATCCAAAAAGCGGCGAAGGGCGACTCCGCACATTGCTGTGAATGCCGTTTCACAGCCGACATCTGGCTGACGCTCGAGCGTGTCAGGATCAGAAAAATGTGCACACCGGTCTTTGTGGTTGCAGCTTTTTGTAAATATTTCCATGTCGTCTTCTTGTACCAGCTTGTCACTTGGTGAATCGCGAGATCAGCTTCAAAATGTCTCCAGCTGGATAATGTCGTCGGCCCTGAGTTCCCCGACGCCGGCGTCACACCACGCTTCCTCGACGCTCGACGTGTCAGAGTTCAGAAAGTCCTCGACGTTATCGTCTTCGTCCAGCTTGTCCTTGGTGATGAGATAGTCAAAGTCCCACAGCTCGGCGGGCACCAGGTCCAGCCCCTGGGCAGACAGCCACGTAATCTTCTTGTCCGTGGCCTTGAAGTCTCCCTTGAGGTTGAGCTCGAGAGTCATGTTGGCGATGGGGTCCTCGGCAGGAAGCTCGCGGACAAAGGCATTGCCCCAGCCCATGAGCGTCACCTCCTCGTTGGCCTTGAAGCTCTTGGCGTCGGCCTGGTCGACGTAAACTTCTGGCGAGAAGACCACATCCTTCATCCCGACGCTGGGGTTCTTGGGGTGTTTCTGTCGCTGCTCGACGACGACGCCCGCAGGAACCTCGCCCCCCGTCAGCTTGGCCTTGACCATGTCCTTGCGCAGGAGGGCCGTGTGGCGCGGCACAACGGGGTCGATTTCCTTCTTGTTGGCGTTCCAGAAGCTTGTCCAGTCCATGACGACGACGTTGCGGCTCGGGCCTTGTCGAAGGATAAAGTCTCGAAGCGCCGTGACCGTCATGCCACGTCGTCGCACACCGCGGATCGTCGGCATCCTCGGGTCGTCCCAGCCCCATACCTTGCCCGAGTCGACCAGCTTGGCCAGCTTGCGCTTCGACAGGAACGTCCTGATAAAGTTCATTCGCGAAAAGTCCCACATGTGGACTTTGCGGAGCCCCAAGGTGTCCAAGAACCACTGGTACTGCGGGTTGCGGTCGGTGTACTCGGTAGATCTCAGGGCGTGCGTCACCCCCTCGTGGCTGTCGACTACCGGACAGGCAAAGTCGTACATGGGATAGATGTTCCACCTGCGTCCTGTTCGATGGTGCGCGTCGTTGACGTTGCAGCGGTAAATGACGGGATCTCGCATCGCCTTGTTCAGGTCGTCGGCGGAAATCTTGGCGCGCATGCAGTGTGCCAAGCCTTCCGGGGAGCCCTTTTTCATCTCCTCAAAGATGCGCAGATTCTCCTCGACAGAGCGATCGCGCCGCTTTGACGGGATGCCGTCCATACGCTGCGCGCGCATGGTCTCCTGGTCCGTGTCGTCGGCGTAGGCCAAGCCCATGGAGATGAGCTTCTTGCACATGTCGTAAAGGTAGTCGAAGTAGTCGGAGGTGTAGGTTAAGGAATCCGCCTGGATACCCATGAGGGCCAGGTCTTGGACAATCGCGTCTTGAAACTCCTCGCTTTCTTTGGCAGGGTTGGTATCGTCGAGTCGGAGAAGCATCTTACCGTTGTGGGCAACATGGCCGAAGTAGTCGCTGAGGAGAGCAGCCTTGGCATGGCCAATGTGCAGGTAGCCACTGTAGCCGAAGGGTCAGCATGAGCAGCAGCGGTGGATCGACAGACTTACGAGGGCTCGGGCAAGAACCGAGTGACGACTCCCTTGTCCGTGTCCTGGAGGGCAAGGTTGTAGTTGGCGCCGGGCTTTTTGGAGGCCGCGTCGGCCGTCTTGGTTTCCTCCTGGATCTCGGGATGCGACTGCTCGATGAAGGTGAACCATCTCGTCAAGTTTGGGAGGCCGTTTCGCCGGATGAAGCCGATTGCGGCCTTGTTTCCTCGAAGAGTCTGCCAGATTGCCTTCTCGAGGTCTCCGAGGCTGTATCCCTCGACATGGGAGCGCAGGATCAGGTGCTTGTCGAGGTCCCTCAGGTAGGGCTCTATAGACCGGAAGTCTCCGGAGAGCTTGGTCGAGAGGACCTCGAGCTCCTCGTGTTTCATTTTGGTCGTCTGTTTCGCCGGAAGAGAAATGGAGGAACAGAGGGTGATGCGGGTGACTCAATTTCTTGCAGAGGTGGGGGAATGGAGGGGTTAGGGTCTTTGGGCGGGCGGCGGGCCCCGTTGGCTTATCGATTAGAGCCTAGACAGCTTGCGCGCTGTACTTGATACTTTGTATAATTTTCGCCTGACTTCCAAGGCAGTATCAGCGCTCGTCCGTCCGCCTCGCGCCTCGCAGCACCAACCTGACCGACCTCAGCATCACCCATTTGTCCGCCATGACGCCAATTGACCGATGCTTGGCCTCCATGGTCAGTCTGAGCCTGGGAAGGCCCTCACCGGTTGTGCGGCCGTTGGCGACATCCATCCCGCGTTTCCTAGCCCCTGCCATGGTGCAGAGCAGACAAGCTTCTGTTGTCAGGGCCAAAAAGTCCAAGAAGAAGAAGAAGCCATTACCCAAGGATTTCAAGCGGCACAATCTGGAAAAGCGGGAGTTTCCTCAATTCTCATTATTCGAAGCCATGAGGCATGCTTTTCTCCTCCTCTCCGCTCTTAAAGCTACCTCCTGACCGGCCTTCTAACGAGCATGTCAGGATCTTGCGAGCGGTGGAAGTCGGCCAGCCACCGTCAGTCAAATACGAGATTCACATCAACCTCAAGACGGCGCGCAACGGTCCCGTTATCAAGAACAGCGTCCGCCTTCCCAACCCTGTGCAGAGCGACTGGCAGATTGCCGTTCTTTGCCCCGAAGGCAGCGAGATTGCCGCCGCCGCCGCCGCTGCCGGTGCCGTCGCCGTGGGAGAAGAGTCCCTCTTGGAGGATATCCGGCAGGGCAAGATCAACTTTGACCGACTGATATGCCACGAGTCGAGCGAAAAGGCACTCAACAAGTCCGGCTTGGGGCGGGTTCTGGGTCCCAAGGGGCTAATGCCCAGCAAGAGAATGAAGACGATTGTCTCTGATGTGGTCAAGTCCATCAGGGATTCCGCCGGCGCGGCAGATTATCGCGAGCGCCAGGGTGTCATCAGGATGCCCATCGGGCAGCTCGGTCACAGCGCCGATCAGCTCAAGGCCAACCTCACCACGCTCCTCAAGAAGATCAAGTCTCAGTGCGCCAATATTTCGGAAGAGTCGCCCAAAGAGGTGCACGAGATCATTCTGAGCACGTCGCATGGACCTGGCCTGACCTTGAACGGCAAGGTGGCGGATGCGAGCGGCGGCGTCACGGCCGAGGCGTTGTCCAGCGTCATGTGAACTAGCCGGGGGACCAAGGATTGTACAATATTCAAGTCAATGAACGCGATGTGAGCCATTGGGACACGCTGGACTCATGGACGGCTTTGCGTCGGGTATCATTGGGAACTGCCTATTCTGTACAGTGCGGTGCTAAGACATGAAGCTCACCCACTGCGGAGGGCTTTTACGGCATCTCGCCGAGCATCCAGGACGCGGTATATGTGCAGATAGCGCAAGACCCGGCCCTGGCCTCTGCGGCCGGCACCTCTCGCTTCCTTGAGCGCGTTTGACAAGTCTAGAAGTAGGGTATTGCGACATGTTGTCAGGCGCTCCTGGCTCTTGACGATAAATGGATGCTGCTGGTCGAGAGACTCTGCGAGAGCCGCAATCTGGCTGCAGTCTCGCGCAGACTGCAGCAGCCTCGCGGGCGGACTCCCAACGAGGCCCTCTACGTGCTCGTCCGGGTCGTCGTCGTCGTCTTGGTCGCTTTGATCGTAGTCCCATTGCGGCTCGTTGTTTGCCGCGAGAGTGTGTATTGCCAGCCTCTCCTCGAGAGCCGACAAGCGATCCGAGAGCTCAATCATGATGCGCCCCAGGGCAATGTCGGAGCGAACCTTTCGCAGTTGGGAGTTGAGGACCAGCGTGTCCTCGCGCCTCTTTGCCACCTTTGCCTTGATCTCGTCGACGGCGCGGCGGAACCCGAGCAGGGCCACCTTGACATCCTCGACCTTGTCATCGCCGCCGCGAAGCTCGCTGCCGAGGGACAGAAAGGCCGTGTAGTTTGAGTTGACGAGCTCGAGGAGCTCTGCGCTGATGGCGGAGCTGCGGTCCCTCAGGTCGGAGCGCAGGTCCTCGAGGGTCTGGTGGCGGTGCGGCAGGGCGGAGAGGTAGGCGGCGGGCTGGAAGCCGGGGGCCAGGAAGTCGGATCGGGGGAGGACGGCGGGAAAGGGCAAGGGGGCGTCGTCGTCGCCGGACTCGGAGGAGCCGGGGGAGGAGGTGAGGTTGAAAGCGGGTGACGTGGAGGACATGGGGCGCGCGAGATGGGCCATTGTCGCGGTGGTGGCAGGAGAGGAGCGGATGTGGGAGACAGAGGCAAGCAAAGGCCTGTGTAGTGGCGACTGAGCGTCTGCTTGGAAGCCCATGCAATGGATGGGACGACGATGACCGGGGGGGAGGTGACGATGATTGGGGAGTACCCGTGGAGGGTCTCGGTGCCTTACCTAATCCGGGGCAAAGATTTCAAGGACTCGACCTGGGCCTTTTTAAAGACTTGGCTCTTTATTAGGTTACATCCCTAACTTATCAAGATACTGTAAATGCTCTCTGCTCCTCCTCCGAAGCCAAGAGGATGATAGGTACCAACGACTCGTCCATTTCTACTAGGGACCATTACGAGCAGGTATACTTGCCGATGCCTGTCTGTGATGAAGCCGAGGAGTACTGGGACTTTGACCGGCGGTCCATCAACGGCTCTGCAAGTACTCCGCCAAGGGAAGCTGAGCACGGCAGATGGAAAAGGCCGATGGGGCGAGGACGAGTTGAGCGCCCTGCGCTTGTTTAAGTTGTATTATGACAACCAGTATTCCTGCTTGAGAAGCTTAGCATTGGAAAGAACTGAGGAGCGCCCTATTCGAAGGAACTATCTTTTCATTTTTTCCAGGTCTGGGATTTTCCGGCCCCCGAATACCGTCCCCATGTCCTGTAATTCGTCGACCAGGCGGAAACGCCCCGCCTTGATGTGGCCCCGTCCGGTGGGGTCCGGCGAGCCTTGGAGTCTAAGATGCGAATAGTCTGGACCTCTAAATGTGACTGACTCGTCTAAGCAGCCGAGTCCTATCTCTGTCGGCTTCCCGAGGAGGGAAGGGATTCACGTCGTTAAAATGGACCGTCATTGCGAACTACAGGAGGCGAAATACCCAATGGTTCTGGTACGGACCATGCTGTCGTTTACCGCCGTCATACCACTCGATATATTCTACTTCTTGCTGCTTCACTCAGCAGAATCTCGCCACGTGTGCTTGTCAAGCTGTAAAATATCGCAAGAAAATAGGGGCACCTCCGTAGGGACATAATTGGCGCATATTATAAGCCTTCTCTCCGAGACGGTGCCTTTGCTTTCCCGGAAGTCTCCGACTTGCCCGACATCAATCTTCCTCAGGCATGGCCGACCTCCACCTTGCTGTTATAAGGAAATGCCATTGAGACCTAGCGACAGCTCCAGCTTGGCGCCGACTTCAGCATCGCTACCTCACCCGGCGATTCAACCCAGTTGCACTAGGCACGGGGGCATATACAAACTCCGCTCGACGCTGGTGCAAGTCTCGAGGCTGTCACAAACGCGGGCCTATCCAGTTCACAGATTCTACATGGGAGGCGTTTCGAGAAAGTATGACGGGATATGCTTGTCTCGCGGCTTACGAAGACGCAGTGGTGTCAGTAGATCGGGGAGAGGGAGTCTGTTCCAGAGGGAGACGAAACGAAGCGAGAGCTGTGAATAGTCAAAACTTGACCATGATTCGAGAACTGCGGCATCCAATGCTGAGAACTTCGAGATAGAGTGGGAATGACGTGTAAAGCAAACAACCGGCGTCTGGGTATAAGCTGCGTGAGTGTATCGCGTGTCCTGTTTCATACTCTCGCACCGTATAGGTATGGTTGATGCGTCTAGGACTTTTCAAAAGGTCTTGGGAGAGTGGAAACCTAGCGCATTCTTTGCTGCAGCTATCCAGCTACTCACATATTGGCATACTGTGAGGCAAGGGAATTCGGCAATTGCCGAAGTCGGCCAGCTGTTCTCAGCTGGGCGAGGCCGGCGGGATATGCAGAGCACAGTGCAGAATACGCGCACACTCCGTCGCCCGTCCTTTTGGGTGCCGCGTCACGCGCCCAATGGCTATTATTAGTCTGTACCTCGGGCGCCATCCGCTACGCAAGCAAAACAGACTTCGAGTTTCGCTAGCATTGATCATCGAACGCGGTCCCCATGGGGAGGCGTTGAAGCGGGAGCAGAGTGTGCTAGTGTTTGAAGGAGCCGGTGGGCGAGAGAAACGACGCCCTGCTGCATCACGGACACGCACTGTACGGGCACTCGTTGCACTGTGTCGCGCGGTGCGATTGGAGCATGTGCTGTGAAAAAACAGCAAGGGTGGTGGAGCCTCGGCTCACTAGCACAGCCACTGAGCAGGCCAGGCCCTGTTATCAATCGAATCTTATCAATCGATCAGGTCCCACCGCGTACCCAACAAGGCTTGGAATCGGACCACAGCGCCATTTTGCCTGCTGCTCCCGGACCGTAAAATGCGGCTTCTCTCCTTCAAGCCCCGCGCTTGTCCATGCCGTCCCGCTCTTGGCCTGTCGCGAATTTCTTCCTCTCTTCATTCTTCATTCATTCCTCCCTCCCCTCGACAAGTCGCGAGAGACGGCACTGAAACGTTGGCTGGGATTGTCGTCCAGCGCCCGGCCACGACTCGCAGTCGGCAGTACCTACCTCGACCTCGAGGGACACGCCCGACTTATACATCTCGTCGTCGTTGGCAGCGCGCATAGCCTGGGCCGCTGAGGCAACCAACCCCTCCCTCGTTCGAGTCGGCAAAAGGGGATTTCATTCCCACGCAAAACTCGGCTTAGGTACGCCTTTTAGGTACGCCTTCCGACAAGAAGCCCCGTCTCTCCCTCTTTGGCTGTGACATTTTTGTTTACGAAACAAGGGGTCGTCTTTTTTCCTCTTCAATTTTTGATACAGGCTGGCGTCGGCCACAATCTGATTCGACTGCTTTTTTCGCTGGGCGCGGGTCACCCGAACTCGGAGCTCCGAGGCCCAACGCGGACACTGTGCGACGAATCACGAGCCCCCTCAACCCCCCCACTAGCCAAACCTGCACAATGGCCGGTTCGTCAATCGCACCACCTCCGGCTCCCCCTCCTCTTGCACCGTCCCCTCCACGTCAGGGCGCCGCCGGCTCCGGCAAGCAAATCCCATCTCGCGAGTCATCGTCGACAAAGGGGGGCGACGACGCCTTTGCAGCCACCGCTCCAGCGCGCGCGCCGCTCCCGACCAAGCAGCCAAAGACAGCCACCACTACAAGAGTCGCGCCCGCCCCGCTGCCTCGCCTCTGCGTGCCCCCTGTCGACAAAATGGCCATGGCTGCCGTCATCACGCCCAGTCATCCGACTCCCGAAGCCCCCAAGATGTCCATGACGTCCAAAGAATGGATCATCCCCCCGCGTCCCAAGCCCGGCCGGAAGCCCGCGACGGACACGCCCCCCACCAAGCGCAAAGCACAGAACCGGGCTGCCCAGCGCGCTTTCCGTGAGCGCCGGGCGGCCCGGGTTGGCGAGTTGGAGCAGCAGCTCGAAGAGCAGATCGAGGCCCACGAAAAGCACGAGGCCGAGCTCAAGGACCAGATTCACGGCCTCGAGCTCGATCTGCAGTCGTTTCGCTCGCGCTGCATGCTCCTGGAAAACATGCTCGAGCGCGAGCGCAAGGAACGCATCCGCGCCGAGACCCAAACCGAGACGCTCAGGCGGCAGAGCGGCGACGCCTATTTCCGAGCCTCGAGTATCAGCGGGCCCCCCGGCCACGTTAATCTTCAGCAGCACAGCGCAGGTCGCCAGTCCCTGCGACACAGCGTGGCCGACGGGCGCCAACCCCAGCACGCCAACAGCAGAAATTTCTCCATCTCCCAAATCGTCTCGCCTCCACACGCCCTGAGCGTCAACTCGCAACAGCACGACGACGCCGACGTGCCTCTCACCTGCGGCAACTGCTCGCCCTCCGGGCCCTGTGCGTGTGCCGAAGAGGTCCTCGCCTCGGCCACCAGCGGCTGTGGCAAGTGCGGCTTCGGCGCGCCGTGTCAGTGCTTAGAAAGCTTGGTGGGCGTCGCCGATCAGCAAGTCTTGAAGCGGCCGCCATCGCCGTCGAACCCAATGTCGAGCGGGAAGCGGCATCAGCCGACCGCAAGCGCCGCGTTGGACAGCGAAACCAACCTGACATCGACGTTTGCCGGCAAGTCCTCCTCGCACAACACGCAGCATTCTCTCTTCCAGGTGGCAGTGTCGGCGAGCCAGATGCCGTCGTCCGACTCGTTGCCCCTCAAGGACCGGTGCGGCTTCTGCAAAGACGGCACGTATTGCATGTGTGCCGAAGAGGCGGCCATGGCCACTCCTGCCATGACGCCGACGGCAGAGACGCTGCCTCCCATTTTCCAGCAGACCCAGACGCCGCCGCCGTCGGAGCCCGACACTGTCTCCCCGCCGCTGGTCATGGAGATGACGGCCGACGGCGCCGTCAAACTGCCTCGGCGCACGCGCGGGGCTCGGCCCCACAAGAAGCCGACCAAGGCCAACCCGGGTGGCTGTGGCGTCAACGGCCCCGGCACCTGCGCCCAGTGCCAGGCGGACCCCAAGTCGGGCCTCTTCTGCAGGCTCATGGCAGCCAAGTTTGACCGCGAGCAGGGCGGCTCGGCGGCTGCGGGCGCTGCCGGCGGTGGTGGCGGTGGCTGCTGCGGCGGGAAAGGCGCCGGTGGCGGCTGCTGCAAATCCCGCCCTGCCGCCGAGAAGATTACGCTGCCGAGCCTGCCGAGCCTCGGGCTGAGCTGTGCCGAGGCGTACCAGACGCTGTCGAGCCATCGCAACTTTGACCGTGCGGCCGATGACATTGGGTCCTGGCTACCCAAGCTCAAAGCCACGACGCCCACCGACAGCCGGCACCAGAACCGGCATGCAGTCGAGGTAGAGGCGGCCAGCATCATGAGCGTGCTAAAGGAGTTTGACGTTCGCTTCGGGAGGGAGTGCTGAGGATGAAGGGGGAGGCGGGATCATTGGCATGGAGAAGTGGAGGTCGTGGCTGCAGCATTTTGATGTTGATACGTGGTACGGAACGATCTGTGTCAAGGAAAATGGGCGAGTGTATCTCAAGAGATGCAGGGCGGCGTGGTGTCAGTTGCGCGACTGCCGCCTTCAAGTGTTAACGCTGCTACGAGTCTATGCATCAATTCTTAACTCGATTACCGGTTGGTATTGTTGAAGTCGGTGCGCTGCCCTCTCTCACCCGAATATCCACCGCGCCACTCACCGTGAGATGCCCGCCAATGACAAGAGCCTGGAACAAGAGCGCTATTTACTGGCCAGGATACGGGCAGGCAACGTCGGGTGGTGAGCTACACCTCGGCAGCTTTGCCTGTCCGCGGCCGAGAAGACAAGGCAAGGTGTCTGGTCAATGGGAGAAGGGAGCGCCGGGCACGGCATCGAAATGTGTCCATGACGCCGGCATCTCCATACAGGACCAGTGTTTAGCCTTGGATTCTTCACTATCCGTAAACAAACGACGGTCTGGTCGACACGTTCTCTGCTTGCGCGAGCCGCAGGGGGCCCGGCATCAGCAGCGAAAAGGGGACAGATGATTCAGCCCGGGCGGCGAGACACGTGTCGCTGCAGCGGGAACCAAGAGCAGATAGCGTAGGCGAGGGGGACAAGTCGCTAAAGCAGGCGCTTTGTTGGTGCGACCCTCGAGGTTGGAGGAGCCGTGGTAGGGAGAGATTGGACGATGGGTGTAGGCGGCCCCAAGGCACAGCGGAGGCGGCTGGGGACGGCCGGAAAGACGAGATTTTGACCGGAAATGATATAAAAATCCGAGACAGGCTCGCGAGGCGGCTCGCCAGTCGGGCAGTTACGCACATGCATTGTGTCGGATCGATCGTCGCACTGCCTGCGAGAATATCTATATCGTGCTTGAGCAATCACACGGTACCGAAACCAAATACACTACCTACACTACATAGCTAGGTACTGTACCTTGGAAGACGAGGTGAAGATGGGGCGAGGCGGAACAGGGAGGGTCACCTGGGACAAAGCAGCTAACACGAGCTCTCCAAGCCGGCCGTCCTCGCATGTGCCGTACAGCATGCCGTCCGGGACTGAGCTGTCGATGGCCGTGGCTCCAGTCAGGTCACATGGAGCGTGAGAATCCACCCACGCATGTAGGGACACCGAGGCGGCTTTGCTGTATGTCGTTGGTGCGAATACGTTGCATGTACGTCTTCACCTCGGCCTGCATCCCTGTCGCAGACTTGAGCATGCCACGTCAGGAACCGACCGAGGGAAGCCTGGCTGAGACGGGGGATGGGGGGGCCATGGTCGGCGGCAGGCAAGATTATGTATGCACGCAAGACATGTGCAGTCCTCCTCGGTACCGGATGCATGGAAGCCGAGGGGTATAGAGAGAGCGAGGAGAAGAAACGTGTTTGGTCCGGGACGGAGACGGGGGCCGTGATTGGCTCCGGAGCAGCTTTGTCTTTCCATCCAGAGTCTCGTCGAGGCATGTAAGAACATACATACATGCGTCCAGGCGCGTATGTACATATGTACATGTGCATACGGCATTTGGGACACGTACTGTACGCACGTACAGTACACAGATGCAAAGCACCGACAGTCCTCTCGTACATGGGCCTGGATGGCGTGGAGGCACGAGATTGGCCGTCGAGGGCGCTGGCATGTTCGTGGGGTGAGTGAGATTGCAAGCAAGAGGCGACAATGCGTGGACGCATGATGCAGCTGCAGTGACAACTCATCTGGCCTTCAGCTCAGCCAGTCATTCCACACCCACCCGGGCCTCGTCCAGGCAAGTCAAGAGCTTGTGGGAGCGAGACTCTTGTTGAGCTGGTGAGGCCAAGGTGGTGGTGATGGTGGTGGTGATGGTGGTGATGGTGGTGGTGATGGTGGTGGTGGAGGTGGCGGATGTGATGGTGGTGGTGGAGGTGGCGGATGTTGTTGCGCCTCATGTTGACGGCCGCCTGCGCTGCAACGCATTCGCCGCAAGCCCCTGCGACCACGAGGGCCGTGTAAGGAATATAAACCTCGTGCTGGCCATGGTGGCCCGGTGATTCTTGGAACCGCCGCCTAGGCGGGGAGAGACGAACAAGGCCCTTGTCGGATCCATCCAGGGAGGCGGGGTCTTGCCCGTAGCCCCAGGACGCACGGAGCGCCCCGCCAGGGCAACAGAAGATGGATTCGCTCAAGTGAGTATTATTCGCGGTGTTGCCCCGTCTTTGGGTCTTGGACAGCGCCCGAAGACCCGATGCAGCCTACTGCGTGCGCTATGCCGCTCCTCATTGGAAGGGGGCTTGGGGAGCGGTAGGGAGGGAGGGGAGGAAAAGGAAGACAGCTCATCAACACCACCTCATCTGGACGCTGGGAGGAGAAGGAGGTGGAGGTTGGTGGTGCGGGGATGCACTAAAAGCATAACTAGTTGTCAGCCAGCAAGGTTCCGATTTCCCCCACCATGAGAGGGCAGAGGTAGTGGCATAGATGCGGGACTTTGACCAGACCCCGAAGTCTGTACTTGGCCGAGTATTTAGAGTATGTAGCCAGAGATGACTCTGTACTGCAACTTGGTATCTTATCTCCACGAGTATCCCTGCCAGAAACGATACTCGAAGCATGCACATCGGGGTAGACTTGTGCCCTGTACAGCGCAGCGTGCTTGGGGCCTTGCGCCGTATCGGCAACCAGAAAAAGACAGTGGGCAGAGGGCCTCTCGCAGTGCCTGCACCGCTGTCAGCAGGCGCTGAACCGTCACCGCGTGTACGCGCTACCTGCTTTGTGCAGATAGCCAGATACGGCCTCGCACTCTTCTTGTCCGCCGTCGATTCCCGTTCTGCCCGCCTCGCGTCCTCTTCGACTTTTCCCTCGCCCTCGTTTTTTTCCTCCTGGCCCTTCTCCTTGTCCTCGTCGTCTTCCTCCCCCTCCTCTCTCCCTCTCCTCTCCCCCTCTCCCCCTCTCCCCCTCTTCCCTCCTCCGTCGCCGCCCTACTCCTCGAGAGCCTGACCATCGTCGTGCGACGGCCGTTGAGCTGGATCGCCGCCCCTCTATCCTCGTCTTGATTTGATTCCTCCCCTCTCGTCAGCCTCGTGCCCAGGCGGCAAAGGGCGCGTCCTGGCCACCGCCGACGGCTTCCTCTGCCGGCCCTCCCTCGCTGCCCGGCTTGGGTCCGGCTCCCCCGCCCGGCTCTTCCTTTCGTCCCTCGTCCTGTCTTTCGTCTCATCTTTCTCTCTTGCTCAAGGTAAGTCAGTGCGTCCCGCCCGGCTAAGGGCAATAATCTCGACCCTAACGGCCGTTTGGACCGACAGCTTCTCCACGAGGCCGCTCCCGAGCGCCGGCGCTCACTCCCCCCATCCTTGCGGCATCACTATGATCTCCATGCAACGCTCCCTCTCCTCGCCAGTCTGCACCCGGTCCTCTGCGCGTACGTCTCTCGTCTCGACGGTCGGCCTCGCTTGCTGATGGTTCATGCCACCGCCCTAGCTGTGTCACCCACCCTCACAAACGCCTCGACATCTCCCGCTCCCCCCCCCGGCGACCATGCCGACGTCTCGACTTCTCGCCCTGTCCGATCCCGGAGCCCTTCTCATGCCTCTGACGCCACACAGACGCTGCCCCTGCGCCGTGGCCATGAGCCCCCGCGCCGAGGCCGCCGTCATCGCCAGAGCCCAACCACTGCCTTTCGGAAGCCTCTTGTCGCACAGCAAATGTCCTCGGTAGCCATGAGCGCACGGCATGAACCCAAGGATCGCCTCGTCACACCCTCCGTCATTGCCCACGATGACCTGTCCCAGCCTCTGCCGACACCCTTATTGGAGGATGTCTCCCTCTACACAAACCCCCATCTAACCCGCGATAGCCAAGGGACCACCCTTGAGGAGCTTGCCCATGTCGTGCGCCTGTCCAAGTACCAGGAGCGCAAGCGCGCAAACACCCGTATCCGCCTGCAGAGGAGCCTGGTTTCAACGGCTCTGAGCGCCCGTCTCACGAGGTGCGGCGAGATTGCCTACCGGAATCTGGTGGACAACTTCCGCAAGGACGACAAGGACAGCTTCGCCGTCCTCTTCAATGCCATCCATGACGTGCGAAAGAGCTGCGACGAGCTCCGCCGCTATGCCCTGCTGGAACCCGAGATGGAGGCCCTATCCTGCCCGACCCTGGCTTCCTCTGACAGCCTGGATACTCCGACGGGCTCCGTGGTGGGTGTTGGACCGCTGAGGCGCATCACCCCCTTCCTCCACGACATCTCTGCCTCGGCCCGGGATACGTTTCTTGGTTTCCTGTGCCAAGTCCGTTCCAACCCCGACTACCTGGCCGTCCGCATCTGTGCCCTCACGAGCTCCGAGCTCAACGCGCTGCTGAGCTTCCACAAGGGCCTGGAGCCGGTCGAGTCGGTTCTTCCATACCATGGACGGTCGGCTACGAGATCTCACGCAGGCATCCCCGGCCGCAGCGGCCACAACCCAGACGTGGAGCGCCTATTGTCCTTCCAGCGCCACGATCCCTTGTCCATCCTGATCCACACATGCTTTGCTAACTCGGCGGGGCCGGACAGCTCCGAGGATCAGCAGCGGACGGACATTTGGTCTACCGTCCTGGCCAGGCTCATCCAGCAGCCCAAGTCGAGCAGCGAGCATTTCCTCATTTCCGTGCTCAACATTTGGACGGCCATGCGTGACTGGTCCGGCAAATCCAATATGGAGTGGTACCTGATGAAGATCCTGGAAGACGGCGCCTTTCTCCTGGATCGGGCCGAGGACCAGCACGGCACCCGCTTCAACCTGTCAGATTGGAACCAGTCCGACGAGGTCGCGGCTAAGGAGTTCTATAACAAAGCAGTGGACGGCCTGTTCGAGCTGGTGGACGACGAAGACGCGACGGGCATCCCAGAAGGCCTCCTCGAACTTGGAAATGCCATCATCAGGAAGCTTGACGACAAGTATGTCGAGAACACTTCAAGATGGTTTGTCTGGAGGTGCCTCTTCTTTGTCTTTCTCCTTGGAGTCCTTGTCCACCCCGAGTCTCATGGCATGCTGGCCGACTACCACATCACGCCGTATGCCCGCGAGAAGATCCTGAAAAAGGTGGCCATGAAGGCTCACGAATACGTTTCGAGCATGTGGAGCGGCAAGCCGTCGGCGACCTGTGTCCCCGTAGAGGTTCCGCCTAAGATCAAGAGGCATGTCGAGAGCATCCTCGCCCGGTTCCAGGGCTCTCGCTCCAAGGTGCCGGCCGCCAAGCTACTGCCCGCCAGGTCCATTACGTCACTGAGGGAGACCGTGGAAGTACGCCCGTATCTTGTGGTTAGCCCCGTTGACCTGGTCACCCTGGTCAACGCCCTGTTCCCGGAGAGGAGGCCACTATCGGCTGGCTCGAGCATGCGGTCCGGCCAGGCGTCCATGTCCGGCCTGTCTGCCCTGTCTCAGCCCATTTCCGTCTCAAACCCCCGGGCCAACTTTGAGACGGCGTCCATCATCAGCACCAGCGTCTCTTCCGCCCTTAGCGAGAGCACTACCTCCCGAGAGGCCCTGTCTGATGACCCCAACACGGCGACTCCCCAGCGTTACTCTCCTCCCTCCGCTGACCCAGAGGCCCAGAGGCGGCTGAGTAAGTATGAAGACGACGGCTATCGGTTGAGGCTGGCTATCCATGAGCTGAGCCAGAACCTGGGGGCCGATGCTCTCGGGGGGACCTGCCATCCCTGCGCTGAGCGATGGGCGGTGCTCTTCATTTCGCCAGACGGTCGGAGTCTGTCGACGCACATGACATACGATCGGGATGACGAGCACGACGAAGATGAAAACTCGTCGAGCGTAGACACGGACGATGAGGACGACGTGGAGGGGCCGGATCTGGACAAGGATTACCACCAGCTCCGGGACTCCATCCTCCGGCTTGTTGAGGACTTTGAGATACCGCGCAATCTGGAACCCGAGGGCGAACGTGCTCAGCTGAGCAACCGAGCCTCGAGACTCAAAAAGTATAGGTCTAAGAACAAGATCATCACGCCCGAGAAGACCATGTCGAGTCGCAACCCATACAGGAAGCAACAGACGAGAGATACGGCGGACACGTCTTCGGCGCGCGGCCCGCCGCCGAGCACTGCACCGAGCGGGAAAGCGGAAGACCCCGAGCCCGTTCTCATCACCATGCTCAAGGCTGCGTCTGCACAGTCCAAGGCCCAGGCCGACTTCGTCTCGTCCCATGTCTACTGGAAGGCGCTGAAGCACCTAAGCACACTGGAATCCTCGTCTCTCCGCGACAACGGGTTCGCTGCGCTCATCAACATTTTTTCGCGGGGGCCCCGCGACTCCATTCGCCGGTCGGCGTCGGCCATCGAAGAGTACGATGCGTGGCTGGTCTGGCTCAAGCAGAGCCAGGAGCGTCACGAAGGGCTCATTGACCGCATGATGAGGCGGGTGAGGGCCATGCGCGACAAGATGTGGTACGTGACCGACGTTCGCAACTCAAAGGAGTACGCGCACAGCCGCGACATTTGCCAGGCTCTCAAGACGATGGGGATGCCGCGCCGATGGAGTTCTTTCCAGCGGTCTCGAGCGAACACGACGCGTGGTCCCGGCGCGTCGTATCTGTACCGCACCGAGTCGCAGATTATGGATCTCTTGGCCGCCTCGGAAGAGCAAGGGGGGCCCAACAAGCTCAGCGATGACCAGGCGGAGAAGACGTCGCTGTGGCTTCAACAGTACTGCATCGAGAACTTTTGCCAGGGTGAGGAGAGGATACACCGGTTCTGCTGCGAGGTCGACCGGTGCATCTCGCAGTTGATTGGCGAGACAATCCGAGAGGCCCCCGTCCTCTGGTCAGGCGAGCTCTACAAGCGGGATAAGATCATGTATGATCGAATGAGGGCCCGCGAACGGGAGTCATCGGCGAACATGGACGACGGCGCCAGCATCCTGAGCGACAGCGAACGGCGCCTGACCCCTTCATCCAGTCGACCGAGCTCGTTTGTTCGCGACATGAGGGCGATGAACGGCCACGGCGCGGTCCAACACGGCTCGGATTCGGCGCGGTTCGGTCATCACAGGGCCAACGCCGGCCTCTCCGACATCTTCGACGGCCAGGAGTACGTCGAAAAGACGTCGCCCATTCACACAATCGACTCTGCCAGTACCTTTTGGTCGCCGTTTCAGCCCGCCATGTCCCCCAGGTCCGCCGCTTCCAGGGCATACTCGCCGACGACGAGCCTCACAAACTTGTCGACGACCTTTTCCGGCCCGAACCACCACGCACACGCGCATTCGGCCTCGAGCCTGTCGGTTGGCCGCCCAGGCACAGCTGCATCGTCCAACGAGACAGTCAACCCGCCGCGGGCCGAAGACGAGAAGACGCGATTTCTCGACGACCTGAAGCAGTCTCTTACCAGCCTGCTGCTGTCGGATTTGGGAAATATGGTGTTGGGTCGCGGGTCGGAAACGGATCAGTGGTTTCGGAACCTGGGTCAGCAGTGCATCGAGAGAAAGGAAGCGCTGGATCGCCGAGCCCGCAGGCGATCGGAAAGGAGAGACAAGGAAAAGCACTGCAGGAGCTCCACCAGGCCCAGGATCATTGAGAAGAAGAAAAGCTGCGGCAACCTGCGAGGGGCGGGCGACTGCGTGTGCGAGCGGACACCAGAGACGGCGGAATGCACGCCCATGACTGCCGAGCTCGACGGGTCCGTGTCGCGCGGGGCCGACGGCCACGGTCGTTCGGCTGCCAAGGAGAGCAGCCCGAGTTTTCCGTTCAAGAAGGCATATCAGCGGCTCCTCAACATGTTTTGCGTCCATCCAAACCCCTATGCGAAGCTCAACGCCCTCATCGAGCTGGAGCACCTGATTGTGGCGTCGTTGCTGTCGAGCGGGTCGAAGAGGTTGCGAGCGAACCGATCGGACGCCGGGTCCAGCGTGGTTGAGGAGCAGGGGCCGGGCAGTCGTCTGACGCAGCTGGAGGAGACGATTGACAGCGTCAAGGAACGGCGATCGCAAGCGCTGCAGTCGGCCGCGCCGATGGCTGGCTTCGCGCATCCGTCCCGAAAGGGGAGCGCCGAAACGCGTTCCATCATGTCTGGCAGCGCAACAAACACGGATGCCATCACGAGAGAGCTGCAGACGCTGTTCCGAGACGCATCGATCCGGCCCAAGTCGCTGTTCCGCGACCTGCAGCTGATTGCGTCGTTTGTTCCGCCGTCGGTGCTCGACAAGCCCGACAAGGGCAAGGCGTTTTGGAACGCGGGTCTCGCGGCTCTCAAGCTCAAGTCGGAGGTGTGCCGGACCATGGTGGAGATGGCGGACGAGGTGATTGCGGCGCACACGCGCGCCCGCCAGTCTCCCAGCGAGGGCAACACGGCGGCAGAGGCGGTACCCTCGGCGACGGGTTCTCCACCGCCAGTGGCCATGACGTACAAGCTCGACGACGCGGGCAAGATGTGGGCGATTACGGCCAAGGAAGGCTACCCCACGGCGCAGCGCGAACTGGCGCTCTTCTACCTGTCAAACCCGGAGTTCGTGGAGCGGACGACGCTTCCGCTGTCGAAGCCGCGCGAGGTGTTCAAGCAGACGGTCATGGAGCGATACGGACGGAGCGAGCGGGCCAGGGGGAGCATCGGGGCGGCGAGTGCCAATGCCATGGGCGGCGGCGGCGGAGGCTCTCGGGACGCAGTAGGGGCCATGGGCGGCGGCGGAGACGGGCAGGGCGCCGGCTGCAAGAAGGAAGGCGACGTGCGAAACGACGCGGGACTCATGTGCGTTGCGGTGCACTGGATGGAGGCGGCGGAGCAGGGGGAGGACGAGCTGGCGACGAGCTTTTTGCGGCAGAACGAGTTTATGGGGCTGGCTTGAGGAGTGCGGGCGACGGCTTGCTTGCCTGGCGCAGACTTGATGTAGGTTTGTGCTTTGGTCTGGGGGGTTCACGTTTGCATGTCGGTGATGGAGCGGTGTAGATGATGTTGTTTGCCCCTCATGTCTGCAGGCGATGCGAGACGAGCGCCGTGGAGGATATACCATGATTCGTAGAAAGCAGCGCGGAGAAATAGACTCACGATGCATGTCGTGAGGTGCAGATGGCTGCCTGGTGACGATGTTGGTCAAGGTTGCGGATAATGGGTGCCTGGTATAGGTGGTGATGGGCCCTGGCAGCGGGGCAACAGTGCCACCAGCTGTCAGGCTGCTTCCATTGTTCCCAGAGCCTGCTTCTCCTTGTCATTTCTTTTCCCAAGCCTGGTTTCAAGACCGCCCGAGCCGAGATAAAAACCGTCCCTCGTTGCCAACCCGCAAGTCTTGCGTCTGTTTTGCCGTCAGCGCTCGGCCAACTCTGCGTGTCGAGGCACCTTTTTGTGTGGCACGCCGTCTTGGCCAATCCGCAAGGACATTATTGAACAAAGCGAAGGAAGGCGACGCTGGATAGGCCTGGCGGAGAGAGCCACAGAGGGCGAGGGTCGGCGTGGCGCCGCGTCGCGTCAGCCTCATTGCTGCAAAAGCAAGACTCAAGACTCGCCATCGTCATCGGGCCAGCAGCAGCAGCAGCAGCAGCAGCAGCAGCAGCCAGCAGCAGTGAGCCGCTGCTGCAACGGCAACAGACAAGCAATGGACATGGAGGACAGCGCGTCGGTGGCGGCGGCACTCGCGGCTCGCACGCGGACGGCTCCCATCCTGCGGCTCCCTCTCGAGGTGCTGATCCGCATCGCGGCAGGGCTCACAACGCCCGAGCTGTGCGCGCTGCGCCTGACGTGCCGGTTCGTCGAGGAGCTGCTCTACGTGACCTTTACCAGAGAGTTCTTCACCAAGAAGCAGTTCATGATGACAGACTTCAGCCTGCAGACGCTCGTCGACGTCTCCAGGAGCCGGCTCGGCCTCAACCTGCGCCAGCTCCACATCGGCCTCGACCGCTTCCCCGAGGGCATCCAGCGGCCCTTGGCCGACGACGACCGGGAGCGCAAGTTCAAGCAGAGATACTCGGACTACTTTACCCTCTGGAACACGGGCGCCCACCGCACCATGCTGGCCGAGGCGCTTCGCAACCTCGCCAACCTCGACGAGGTGGTGCTCCGCGACTTCAACTCGGCCAAGCGCTCCAGGGACGGGCCCACGGCCGAGTGGACGAGCTACGGGTCCACCACCATCTTCAACGAGACGGGCGTCCGCCTGAGCCAGGGCGCGACGGGCGTCTGGGACTCGGGGCTCCCCCTGCAGGGCTGCAGCCAGGTCTTCGCCTTGCTCCTGCACGCCCTCGGCGACGCCGCCGTCTACCCCAAGGGCATCCAAGTCATGGCGCACAACGGAAGCCAGCTGCGCGACTTTGCCTTTAACGTCCCGCGCTTCGTCGAGCCCTCCATCGCCCCGGTCCTCGACCGGCTCGAGAAGCTGCACCTGTCGATTGACCTGTCGTGGAGGAGCAGCCTCTCGGGATGGGCACACGGAGCCGTCGTGCCCAGCCGCCCGCAGTCGGACACCCGGCTGCTCCGCCGCTTCCTCTGCCGCACCCCCAATCTCAAGGACTTGCGCATCAACGAGCACCACGACTACAACCCCGCCCTGGCAGACTTTCTCGAGTGGCTGGCCGCCCCAGCCCCTGTGCCCGACGCTTCCTCGGCCGTCGACGACGACAACCCGCCCCCCGTGGCCATGTCGCACCTGGAGAACCTGAGCCTGGGCCTCATGAACGTGGCCCCCCGGACGCTGCTCCACGTCATCCGCAAGTTTGCCCCGCGTCTCCAGGGGCTGGAGCTGTGGAAGATGACGCTGCAGCGGCCCCTTCCCCCCGGCAGCGACCCCAGCGACCCGCCGCGGAGCAGCTTCTGGGTCGACTTTATGAACCAGCTCAAGCAGGTGCCCGGCCTGGACCTCCGGCACTTCAAGGCGGGCATGCTCAAACAGACATACGCGCATCGGCCAAAGGTCTACTTTGTCTCGTTTAAGAAGCGCGGGGTCACAGTCGAGTACACGGGGCCGTGCTGGAAGGACTTCTTTGACGAGGTGACGCCATTGCTCGAGGTCAAGTGGCCTCCCATGGTGACGCCGGAAAACGACAGCTCCAACGACCAGGATTCCGAGGATGGGTCCGAGGGCTCGCTTGCAGACGAGGGTAGTATGTTTGTCCCCCTCTCCATCCATGGGTAGGGGAGAACTGACACTTGTCTGCTCGCCGCCAACAGACTTGGCTGACGTCGCTGACGGCGAAGACGACGTCGCTGACGGTGGCGATGCTTGAGCCTCGGCTTGGTGAGTAAAATACATGCCTAACTGCCGCGCGGAAATGCTAGAGACTTGGGAGCTCATGGCGTGCAAGTGCAGGGTTGCCGGAGCACGAGACGCACCTCAAGGAATGAGGCTGGCGAGGACAAAGGGACAAGAGACGCCACACAGCACGTCAGGGGATGGAAATCTGTTACTCTACGCATGTACTTGGGGGGAGATGATGAGATGGTTGGGATACTGGCACACGAGCCGTTGTCTAGGGCCTGTGCCGACGGGCATTCCGACTTCCAGGAGCGGATGTGGAGCTCTAAGGAGACATGGCATGAAATGGAGATGTCTAGAAAGCAGTTGACCTGGTATTGGTGCGTCCACTCTGAGGCATGCCACCAAGTCGTACAAGATGGTGCTGGGAGGGGAGACGAGAAATGCCAATTGCCAGGCACGGCCAGGGCAGAGAAATACAGTGCGTATCGGCAGTAGACTGCGATCAAGCACGGTATGGGAAAGAGGCTTGGGTGGCACGTGATGTCGTGCGCGCCTCGCGTCTTGGGCTGGAGCTGGTGGCGCGCTGGTGCCTGAAAGCGGTAGGCCTGAATTTCCCAGGGTCCGAGGCGGGGGGGGACCTGCAGGTACCGCTACATTGTACTGATTCCGCGAGTCATTGAGCCGTCACGCCGTGGGACGGCAACTGGGCACAGGGGTCCCTGTACGGGCGAGCACGAGGTCACTGTACATGGTGACGCCAAGCAAAGAAAGAGTGAGGCCTCAGCAGGCCCTCTGGTTTCACGGCCAGCTGCCTGCCTGCCTGCAAGCCAACCAGCTCGGCTCCGCCCACCGCCCCCAAAATGGATGCTCTCTCTCTCTCCGCGCCTCGTATAAAATCCATCGCCCAGCGAGAGGAGAAGCTCAACAAAGCCCTGTCCGTTTCAACTTGCCAATGCCTCTTGATCTGCGTTGCATGTCCGAATCCTGCGGGACTTATTGAGAGTTTTATACCTTTACCTGTCTCTTCAATTGAGGGAGAACAGACCAAACAAGTTGAATTTTGAGGTTTGGCACAGCTTTCTCCGCTTCAGCATCGTGGACCATCGCTCTACTCACTGCCCCGGCGGCCAGCGCGTGCCTGAGACTGGTGAGCCATGCCGCCGCGAAGAGGAGCCAAGCCGCAGCAGCCGGCGGCGGCGGCGGCAGCACCCTTGGAGGGCTGCGTCGTCGCCTTCAGCGGCCGCTTCAGAGACAAGTACGACCATTCGCACGACTCGCTCATCAAGTTTGTCCGCTCGCTCGGCGGCGCCGTGGCCAAGACGGCGGCCGCCAGCATGACGCACCTCGTCTGCACTGAGCCCGACTACGTCGATGGCACGGTCAAGGTCAGGGCCGCCCAGGAGCAACACGTGCCGGTGGTGAAGCCCGAGTGGCTGTTTGCCTGTGAGAAGCAGCAGTCGGCGGTTGTCGTCGATGACTTTCTCTGGTCGGCGGCTCATGACGGCGCCGAGGATGATGATGGTCATGACGCAGCTCCGTCTGCAGCCCGTGGCCGGAACAAGAAGCGGCCCATTGCTGCCGTGGCCGATTCCAGCGCCGACCATGACAACACTGCGGTGCAGGCCAGCTCGCCGCAGGCCAAGAAGCTCAAGGCGAACGGCAAGGCGAGCGATGAGCCGCCGGCCGACGAGGACAAGGTCGTGGCCGAGGGCCAGTTTGTCAAGAAAAAGGGCGTCGCCATCCCCTTGGATTCCTACTGCCCCCTCACCTCCTACCGGGTCCACGTCGATCCCGACACGGGCATGATTTACGATGCGTCGCTCAATCAATCCAGCACGAGCAACAACCACAACAAGTTCTACCGTCTGCAGGTGAGACGCGACTCCCCCCTTGGCCGAGAGCCTCCGTGCACTAACCGGCCCCAAGGTCCTGCGCAACCCCGCCGACGGGAGCTTTAAGACGTGGACTCGCTGGGGCCGAGTGGGCGAGACGGGCCAAAACGCCGTCTTGGGCGACGGCACCATCAGGGATGCCATCAGGAGCTTCGAGAAGAAGTTTCGCGACAAGGCCGGCTTGCCCTGGGATCGGCGGGGAGAGGACCCCAAGCCTGGCAAGTATGCCTTTGTAGAGCGCAGCTATAACCCAGACTCGGACGACGACGACGACGACGACGACGACGACGACGGCTCCCCGTCCGGCGCCAAGAACAGCGCCCGGGAGGGAGGCGAGGCCAGTGTGCCCGAGTGCACGCTGGACAAGCCCGTGCAGCAGCTCATGGAGCTCATCTTCAACCAGAGCTACTTCCAGGCCGCCATGTCGTCGCTCAACTACGACGCCAACAAGCTGCCCCTGGGCAAGCTCAGCAAGGCCACCATCACCCGCGGCTTCCAGCAGCTCAAGGACCTGGCCGCCCTCCTCGACGACCCGTCCCTGGCCCTCAGCCGCTGGGACCGGTCGGCGCACGCCGCCACGGAGCACCTGTCCAACACGTACTACTCGGTCATCCCCCACGCCTTTGGCCGCAACCGCCCGCCCCTCATCGGCACCCACGCGCAGCTCAAGATGGAAATAGAGCTTCTCGAGAGCTTGTCCGACATGAAGGCGGCGGCCGAGCTGCTCAAGGTGGACCGCAAGGCGGCCGAAGACGTCCACCCGCAAGACCGCCAGTTCCGCAGCCTCGGCATGCGCGAGATGACGGCCCTGGATCCGGCCAGCCGCGAGTTCGCCCTGCTCGAGCGCTACCTGCAGGGCTCTCGCGGGTCGACGCACGGCGTCAAGTACCGCGTGCAGCACATCTTCCGCATCGAGCGGCAGGGCGAGGGCGCGCGCTTCGAGGCGTCGCGCTTCGCCAGCGTGCCGTCGGACCGGCGCCTGCTCTGGCACGGGTCCCGGGCCACCAACTTCGGCGGCATCCTCAGCCAGGGCCTGCGCATCGCGCCGCCCGAGGCGCCCGTCTCGGGCTACATGTTCGGCAAGGGCATCTACCTGGCCGACATGTCGTCCAAGTCGGCAAACTACTGCAGCGCCCGCGACTCCAACGGCCAGGCGCTGCTGCTGCTGTGCGAGGCCGAGCTCGGCCGCCCCATGCAGCAGCTCACCCAGTCGAGCTACGACGCCGGCGACGACGCCGCGGCAAAGGGCATGGTCAGCACCTGCGGCATAGGCGACACGGGGCCGAGCAAGTGGATGGACGCGGGCGTGGTGCACCCGACGCTGCAGGGCATCCATATGGTATGTGCCGTTCTTCCGTCCTTGGCAGATGTCGGAGGGTGAAACTGACCAGTTTGTGTTTTCTCTTCCCGCCGTCGCAGCCCGACATGGACGTCAAGCCGGGCCCGACCAACATCCCCGGCACCTCGCTGCTCTACAACGAGTACATTTGCTACGACGTTGCGCAGGTCAAGCTGCGCTATCTCTTTCGCGTCACCATGTAACACGGCCAGCCGGGGACCAAGATCAAGGGCGAGCACATGGCCAGGAGGAGCGCGGGAGCGCGCCCGAGTGTTGACGGGAGGGGCGGACAGGGCGAGCGCCCACATTCTATGGTGTTGCTTGGTGTTATATGAGCTAGGTATGGAGCTCTCTTGCTGAGCCGGCGCCTCCTTGGCCGACGCTGAGGTCTATGACATTATGATGATGAAACCTGTTTTACGCGGCCGGCACCAGGCCCTTTTCATCGCTTGTCTCTCCCTGTCTACCTCTCTTCCGAACATACGTGTTCTTCGGGCGCCTAGTCCCGTTCCGCGCCTCGATCCTGGTAGTGCCAAATGACGAGGGGGCGAAGATTCACACGTGGGCGCCGAAAACCCTCGGCAAGTAGAATGGCCCCGGTCAGACGCCCCCGATGCCAGCGCCATTCAGAAACTCGGGCCACGCCCACCACTCCTGACTCGACGGCCACGAAGCAGCATCCAAGCCCAGCGCAAGGTCCAGCCCGCCGTCGAGGCCCAGGCCGTCGAGGGCGCCCTCGTAGGCATTGTTCAGCTCGGGGGGCGGCAGGTCGTCGGCGGCGGCGCTCCTCGTGCGGGGCCTCTGCGCGTCGAGGTGGTCCGCGTCGCCGAAGCCCGTGTGTGCTGCCGCCGCCGCCGTCTCGAGGGCGTCGGACGCCGCGGCGGACGGGAGGGAGAGGCGGCTGGCCCTGTTGGCCGGGGTGGGACCAAAGGTGCTGCGCGTGGCCGAGACGACGTCCGGGTCGTCAGACAGCTCGATGCTCCTCAGGACGGGGTGGCGGGCGGGGCCGTGGCCGACGGGCCCGCCGTTGAGCCTAAAGGTGCCCGGGCTGGCGAGCTGGGCGGGCGGCGACTGGGCGGCGATTCCGTGGCTGATCCAGGAGGCCAGCTCCGAGGCGATGGCGGCGGCGGCGGGGCCCCTGCAGCACTGCTCAATGGCCCGCAGGCAGACCTTTGCCTGGTCGGTGACTGCCTCGGCGGTGAGCCCGAAGGCGTCGGCGTTGACGAGGTAGATGTACTTGAGCATGCGGGCGCACTGGTACGCGCACAGGGCCAGGTCCAGGTCGGCGACGGGCTTGACGCCCAGCCTCTGCATGGCGACGAAGATGCTGGCCATGGCGAGGGAGTGGTCGAGGCACTGCCGCTGACAGTGGCGTATGAAGCTGGTGTCGAGGCTCTCCAGCCGGGACGGGGGCAGCGACTCGCGGAAGCCGGCCAGGGCCAGGCGATGCAAGTCGCAGTGGCACTGGCGCCACCAGACGTGGATCATGACGAAGACGCATATGCGCGGCGAGTAGGCGCGCAGGCGGAGAGAGTTTTCCGAGAACTGGAAAGAGGTGGGGAGCCTGTTGGCGAAGTCGTCGAGCTCGGCGTCAAGGGACAGGACGGTGGACTGGAGGTGGACGTTGGTGACGCTGCGGCTGGCGAGGGTGTCCTTGGAGAACTCGAGTATCCTCTGGCGGATGTGGAAGATGCGGACGTGAAGGGCCAGACTGCCGACATCCTCGGGCAGCGGGGGTTCGGGCTCGTCCGGGTCGGGCACGAGCTTCTCTGCCGGCTGCGGCAGGTCAAACTCAAAGTTGCGCTCGTTGCAGGGCAAGGTGAGGTGGATCTTATCGGCGCGCCAGAGGGCAAAGTCGCGATGGCCACTGGAGACGCCGGAATCCATGCAGTACAGGGACCACATGAGGCGGCGCCGCGACTCCTGGGCGAGGAAGCAGAGGCCCGGGCTGTCGTAGTTGAGGCGCAGGGCGGCGGCGAAGCGCGAGACGACGGCGAAGAGGACAAAGGCGCTGGCGAACTTGTTGGAGAGGATGCGGTGCTTGATGATAAAGACGAGGGCCTGGACCTTGAAGGTGGAGGGACGCGTGTAGTCGGCAAAGATGAGGGCCTCGGCGTCGTCGATGCAGCGGTTGCCGTAGTCGCGGAGGCCGGGGCCCATGTCGGTGAGGCACGAGGTGATGCCGACGAGGGCGAGGAGCAGCGGCTTGTCGACCTTGGCGGCGGCATGCTGGGCCATGAGGGAGGCGCGATGCAGGAACGAGTACATGGGGATATGGTGGACATGGCGGAAGAAGAGGTCAAAGGTGCGGGCTATGAGTGCACCAAAGGGCTCATCCAGGGGACATTCGGGCTCCGGGTCCAGGGGCGGCCGAGGGCTGTCGGCGGCGAGACTCGCATGGCTCTGGGGGCTCGTGGCAGAGGCGACGGTTGCCGGCTGCTTGCCCGGGCGATAGACGCAGTCGAGTCCCTGGGCGCGGCAGCGGTCGCAGGCGGGCAGATGGCCGGAGCATCGGGCCTTGCGGCCGTGGCAGCTCAGACAGGCCTGCTTGACGCGGCGGCGGGGCAGGGCCGAGGAGCACTCGGCGTCGACGTAGGAGCAGGGGAAGGCGAGGCGCTGGCAGTTGGAGCAGCGGGGGCGGGCGCCGTTGCAGCGGACCTTGCGGGCGCGACAGGTGGCGCAGGTCGACGACGACTTTCTGGGGCCGTGGTGGCGGTGATGCTGGGCGGGCGACGGGTTGTTGCTGAGACGCGAGGGCGAGGGCGAGGGCGAGGGCGACGATTGAGAGGCCAAGGCATGGCGGGAGTGAAACTGAACGTCGTCGTCGATTTGGCTCATCGTCGGTGGGGGGGGGAGGAGTCGGAAGTCGGCCCGCCGTCGCACCCGCCGAGGGGGGAGCGCGACGTGCCGATGCCCGTCAAAGTCCGAGACAGTCAATTCCTTGGGCGGCAGCGGGGGGCGTGCCGCTTCGAGGATGGTTGATGATGGCTGCAAGATAATGGGGAGAGGCGAAGTCCAACGAGGCAACGACTGCCGCTTCCAAGATAAGAGGACGCAAGTACCGGAGCCCAGGCAGTACTTGAGTCTTGGTTCGCTTTAGTGTCGGCATTGATGTGTCTTCTGGACCGGGCGACTTCTCAAGCACTTGGCGGCCCTGCTAGCCCGATAAACGGCGCGCCGACGAGCCGAAGCGAGAACCCGACCTACCCTGTAGCCTCCCTTGACTCTACCGGTGCTAGTTGATGCAGGGACAGACTCCCCACTCCATTACCCAGCTCCCAGACTATACATCTGCAAGTAGCCGGTCGCTGTTCAAAGGCCGAGTCGTTGAAATGGGCGACAAAATAGACGTCCTCGTCCGGGCGCAAAAGCGGCCTCTCCTTCAACGCCCACACTCGGGCCGTCTTCCATTCTTTGCCATTAAAGACTGCGTTCACGACTTTGCTCCGGCCATGACAGACCGAGATGTGCAACTGAGTTTACCCATCTACTAGTCAGGCGGGGAGTGGCCAACCAACCTGCACGGCACCAGACTCTCTGCAGCTGCCCTTGCCCGCATCCCGGTTGTCGTCCAGTCGTCACAGCCCTCTTGCAACTTCTGCCTTAAGCTGCCTCTCGTGAGTTGGGCTGCTGGTGTATTTATTCTTTGACAATGCTCGTACCATCTCTGGCCTCTAGAGCCTCATCATGCCCTAGGGGACTGGGAGCCAGTAGCTCAGCAATGAGTCGCGCTTGGAAGTCCTTGAACGGCTTGAATGGTATTCTCTTGAACTTGACGGTAGGCCAGGGCGTGCGGTCCGTGGCCTGGGTCGGCTTGTCAAGCGACTCGAGAAGCTGGGATGTGATTTCGGCTTCGTACAGGTAGATAAAGTAACGGTGATGTGGCTTTTGGGTCGGCGTCACGAGAAGACGGGACTTGTAAAATGAGCAAGTTGCAGCCAGCGAAATATAGAAGAGGGCACGTACCGTGTAAGTCGTTTGCTGTGGCGAGGCCAACTTGCGCGCCTGGCGCTGCGCAAGAGAGAGCAAGAGACAGACGAAAAACGGGTCTCGAGATGCTTCGTCTGGGGTCGCCTTGGCCAACTTTTTCAGGGACAGTCTCGCGCCGGAGATGTTGCCACCTAGGCCTGGGTTTCGAGGAGCTTCAAGTTTCCGAACCCGCGCCTTCTCAAGGAACCCGTACTGGAAGTAGCCGACCAATAGTTGCGGTCCCGGGCCAGCACGGTTGTTGGGAGTGAATATCAGGCATCGGGATCGATATACGCGGCGGTTCGCGAAGAAGAAGCCAATACTTTCACTGCTCATAGAAAGGATTGGTCATAAGCAACACCTTATACAGTACACATAATGGCATCCTTACCTAGGTTCTTCGAAACAGCCCTGCTTATCGTAATGGAGCAGAAATTGCATGGCGCCATCTTTCGCAACCCAAAGTCCAGGCCCCGTGAGAGAGCGGGCAAAGTACTCGGAACGACTTATTTGCTTATATTCTTCATCGCTTAGGGGAGGCCGGTTTGCCGTTTCGTCGACGGTTGACAAGCTTGCTGCTTCGTCGTCGACTTGTTGGAACCGACACCCAAGCAGGTCGAGGAGGGAAGAGGTCCAGAGGATAGGGCTCACGCAGAGGGAACCGTGGTGGCGAATGACCTCGCGTAGCGATTTCGGGCTCGAAGCCGACATGCTTGGTAGTCGTTTCGATGATGGTTCGTCATGGTTTGATGACGCGACTCATTGTTCATTGTTGACCAAGTACGTAGCGCCCGGAAGCGGAAAATCGTCTTGGCCGTGTAGAAGAATAGGTAACATGTACAGTAACATGCTGTTGAGTGCAGCCATGCAGCCAGCCCCTGATTGGGCTAGCCTAGCTTAGTCAGTCTGAGCGGCACGAGTCCTTGAAGCTCGTGCCCGCGCCCACAGCTTGGGCCCATAATCATCATCTTCCTCTTCAGCCTCTTTCTCACATGTGAAGCTCTTCGTATTTATGTACACGTGTACGAATGCGGGCCCCCAGTCCCCCAGTCTCAACAAGCCAGCATTTCCCTCCCTCTCGGCATTCTCGGCCGCACCGACGACGAAAAAGAAAGCTGGGCAAATGGCGTCAATCGGGACACCGCGGGGGCCAAAGTATCGATGAACGGTGGGAGGCAACGCCGGACCACAAATGAAGCCCTCAGGAAGCCGACTACCGACCCCTAATCACGTTTTGCCCAACGCACCAGGCCACATATGTTTGAAACCATATGCTTCCGCCCACTTTTAGAGCAAAGGTCAAACCAGTGGGTCGAGCTGACATGCAGAAAAGTTGTAGGCGTAGGTGCTCTGAGGTCGTCAAGATAATCTAGACTTATATCGAATTGGAGAAAGCAAACATAGTGCTGCGTGGCGTTGATTAGTATGACACTATTGTTCCTTGACGTTAGCGAGATAGATATATAAAAGCATTGGATGAGGCCATGGTAAACGGTACCTCTCGCCAAGCTCTTCCAAGGGATCAGCCAACCGAGCCACAAGGGCCTGGCAGGTCATCTGTGCAAAACACTCATCTGAGATGATTGGGTTGCCGTCCTCAATATACTGGAATCGTTTTTTGGCCTCTAATATCGCTATACGGTTTTTATTCACCCTAAAGACGCCAGTCCCGAAATCTTGCCGTAGGCAGAGGCCCCCGTCGTCAATTGCCACCACCTTGTCGCGTATGAGGCCTGGAATAGATGCAGCCAGCCTCGTCTTGTCATCGCGGAATTCGGCGAAGCTTGACTTGGCTTCGGACTCTTGGGCTGATGTAAAGTATAAGATGTGTCGAATGGTGCACGATATAAGCCGTAGTGTCTTGTCTTCAGGGGCTGATGGGAGCGTGTGAGACTCGACGTCAACGAAACCCATAGAAGACGATGCTGGAGAGCTCTCGGTCAGGGGGCTGCTAGAGCCAACCCGCATCGTGGTGGAGTTGGCATAGTTGTCTTGACGGGTGCTTTGAGCGGCACGCTCTGGTCTTGACTCGCCGCCGTTGTCGCTGTCGTCTGGACTAAGACCAGCCCCGTCATCCAACGTGCGGCGGTTCCGGGGTCCAGTGAGCATCGCCATTGCTGCCCAAACTTGGCCGAGGGAGACGCCGCAGCTGTGCACGAGTAAATGCTCGCTTAGAGTCAGCTGGAGGGGCGTCGGGCCGTCGATAAACTTCTCGATCTCGGTCGGACCTTGCGTATCTATAGGCTGGCTATACGGCGACAAGATGGGAAGAATGTTGCTCTGTGCGCCTCGCCGTATAACGCGATAGGCAAGAAGATGGTCACGTCCCCATTGACTCGCGGGCGCATGGTGCAACTCCGACAATGTCTTTGCCCGGTCGTCGGCAAATCGCGTTCTGAAGGAGGCTCGAGAGGTGACGGTGCTGAAGTACGGTGGTGGGGCCATGGCGACGAGTTCTGGAGTGCTTGTGCATCTCGTTGGTTGGGCGATGCGTCTTCTGTATGTATGAACATTTGCATTTGTCGGCAACAGCGTCGGGCAGGCACAGGGGCAAGGGCTTCATGCAAAGAAGGCACCCCCTCACGGGCCTCGGCTGCACCAGCTTTACTTTCCCTCCTTTGGCAGCTGCAATACGGGAGGCAAAAGCCGACTCTGTACCCAAAAGTACCACCTTCAGCAGGTAAAGACATTTGATTCTAGTTTCTACAAATACCCCATTGCCGGCCCATCATCAACACCTACGCTCTCTCGCTGATCCACGCCACGACGTCGCTTGCAAAGTCAGCCTTGTGCCGGCCCGGCTCCTGGTGCAGGTTGTGGTAGCAGCCCTCGTAGGTGCGAAGGTGCTTGTCCTCGACACGCGAGCGGGCAAAGTAGTCCCTGACGGCGTCCGGGCAGACGATGCGGTCGCCGCTGCCGTGGCCGATCCACAGGCTCGTGGCCTCGTCCTCGGCCGCCGGCAGGTCGTGCAGCCCGTCGGCAATCTCGTCGCCGCGCCGCATCATGTCGGCGACGCCATGCAGCGTGCCCAAGTTGTGGAGGAGCGGGTCGTCGGCCATGGCCCGCCGCACGCCGCCGTCGCGGCACAGGCGCTCGAGGCGCGGCTTGTTGTAGAGCTGTTGGTTGGGCAACCAGCGCGCCAGCACGCGCGCCAGCCAGACAATGACCCGCGGCGGCGCCATGCTGGGGTGGAAGCGGAGAAAGGGCGCCGCGACGACGTAGCCGCGAACGGCCAGCCTCGTCTTGGCCGGGCCCCGCGCCGCCCACAGCAGCGCCTGCGCGCCGCCCATGCTGTGCCCGCCGAGGAAGAGCGGCAGGTCCGTCTGCGGCAGCGCCCTGACGAAGTCGGTCATGTCGGACAGCACCGTCTCCGTCGGCCCCGTCAGGCCCTTGTCCGACTGCCGCGCCACCGACCGGCCCCAGCCCCTCTGGTCCAGCGAGTGGACGGCGATGCCGTGGCTCGCCAGGGCCTCGAAGAAGTCGCCGAACGTGTTGCAGTGGTCACTGAACCCGTGTAGCCAGACCAGGAGAGCCTTGGCCGCGTCTGGAGGTGGCTGTTCAAGTTCAGCTTTATGAACAAGGAGCCATGGGCGTTGATCTGGTTTTTTGTACTGACCTCCCAGGCCTTTGTATACAGCGCCTGTCCATCCGCCGTTGTCAAGACGCCCTCGGTCGTCTTGACCGCCCTCGGGCCGGGCGTGGCCATGATTTACGTCACGGCCGGGAGGTCCCTTGGAGCACCAAGCGAGACGGGTCAATGCCCAGACCCGTACTCGTAACAGATCGTGGCGGTTGTTTCCACGAGGCAGAGGCAGAGGCAGAGAATGGGAGAGGGGGATCGTGAGTGGGTGAGAGTCTGAGAGGGGAAGAGAAGAGAGTGAAACAGCCCGGCCATGGGACAACATGTAGACGGAAACTGTCAGAGCAGACAAGGATTTATAATACGCGTTAATAACATCTCCGATCCCCGGGGGTGCCCTTATTTTTCATGGTGTAGCGGTACTTTACCAGCTTGGCAGAAACCATCCAGAGCGCGCTGAACTGCCGTGGCGGCGCTCCGGAATGGTGACGCCGCCGGGCAGAGTTCGAGGCGGGCTCCCCAGACGCAATCGGATGCTGCCAAACTAGCAAAACGGGGGTATTATTGGTGCGCACAATACTCCGTAATCGCCTGATAGATTCACCCTAATTTAGTCTGTCATAGTTAGTCCTCGCTGCCATTTCTCGCTTCCGGCCGCTCCTTTGTCTGAGAAGAAGCAAAGCCAGCAAAAGACAGAGCCTGCGGGATGAGACACTTTGTTCCGTACTCGATAAGAAGTTCCGGCTGGAAGATTCGTGTCTTTGAACCCGTTGTCCCCTACAATCGTGAAGAGTAGGCCTGTCCGGCCCATAAGTTTAGAGACCACGCATCATCTAGAGGTGCAGCCGGGTAGCTACGTAATATGGGTGACAGCTGCCATAACCAACCATTCTGCCTACCGGAGGCGCTTGCGACAGGGGCGCAGGACATGATCCAGGGGGGGTGGTCCTCCAATGGCAGCGGCAGGCCTCCTCGAGTCCTCGCCACCGGGCGATGCAGTAATCAATAGCCTTGTTTGCGGCATCGAATGAAGCAGGCGGCTCTCAAAGTGACGGTTTTCCCCATGTGCGTGCTGCGCCGCGAGAAAAGCCTCAAAACCCGGCTTCTATGCATTTATAGCCACTATCACCCTCCGTCTCGACGCCTGGTCGCCCGTTCCTTGGTAATTCCCGGGCTGCATCTACTATATAGTTGCGCCAGGACTCAGAACAGCTTACCTCAGCTCAGTAGTAAGCCCACTTTGCTTGTTTGCTGATTAACCAAACCTGTTTGCTGGTTAACGTAATCCACCCCCTTCCCGGTCAGACCCCCTACTCGGTCAAAAATTCCCCACCGACTAGACCCGCACCTTACGCGAGACAAACGGAGCACAATACCACGACATATTTACTCCAAGAGACAAGTAACTCGATTAGGACTATCTATTACACGTACGGGCAGTGTGTTCAAAAGACCTGCACTTACTACACCGTGGTGGTGCACGCTGTCTTGGGACACTCAGCTCTTCTATAAGTCGTTGGTCCCGCTCCCTTCTTCCCGCCGTCGCTTGGCCCGCTCATCTTCCTTTGCTCTCTGTTTCTTGACCCGCTCTCTTCTTTTCTCGCCGTAGCTTGAACCATTCCTCGTTCTCTTGTCGCCGTCGCTCGGCCCGCTCTTCTCCTTCTTGTCGTCGCTTGGCCCGCTCGTCCTTCTCTCGCCGGCGCTTAGTCCTCTCCTCTTCTTCCACTCTCCGTCGCTTAACCCGCTCTTCTTCTTCTTCTCTCCGTTGCTTTATCCTAACCGTGCCCTCTGCAACCGATAGAGTACCGCCGTCGCCAATGTATTCACGGCGCTGTTCTTTCTCTGCTTTCGCCGCTGGTTTTCTGACCGAAGTTGCCGGTTTTCGTCGGCAAGGAGGGCGGCGCTGTGCATGGCCATTTGACATCCTTTGATAAGCTGGTTGATAGCTTGTGAAACTGGCGAGTCTGTATTTTGTGGCCGGCGTTGAAGAAGCCTTTCGGCGTGAGTGGTAAGCTGGTTGACGTTATGCGGAGTCTTGGCTGCTTCCAGGCTCTTGTTGGGACTTGGAGTATTCTTGTCGCCGTGATCGTTACCGACTTTGTCAACCTGAACTTGTAACCGCGATAATACTCTGTTTGGGTCAAACGGAAAAAGGCCTGTTGCCATAAATCCGCTTCGGATATTCGACGGCGAAAGTGCTTGTCGGCGAGCGTCTAAGTACATGGGAAGGAAGTCCTGCTTGTCGATATGATGGATCCCAGCGAGCATTTTCTTGAACCTTTCGGCCGTATATGGTTTTCAACGGCGAAAAGCACCCGACATCAAGAGGCTGCAAGAGATGTGAGGAATGTGCAGGCATTTGAGTACTACGATGGAATTGGCCGTACAGTACTTGTCAAATTCCGGCGTGACGTGACTGCCGTGCCCGTCGAGAATAAGAAGTCGATGCGTACCAACCGTACGGCGCCGTGTATTCGGATCAAAGACTTCCTTTAACCAATTCAAAGCAAGGTCGTCGGAAGTCCAGCCATTCTCACTAACGGCGATATGCCAGTCATCGGGCACTCCTGATTCGTACCAGCTTGCTTGGTGTAACTTGCCCTGGAAGATAACCTTCGCCGGTAAAGCCCAACCTTGGCAGTTGATAGACTCGATCACAGTAACCCATTCTCGATTTCCAGGCTGCGTGAGTACTGCCCGACCTCGCCGGTCAGACCGGGTAAGGACTCTCGCCGTTGCAGCGACTCCCATTTGAAACCCCGTCTCATCAAAGTTATAGACATCCTCGTCAAGAATCCCCCATTTCTGTTTCGTCGCCGCGACTCGATCGTACCATCCTTGGATCTTTTGGGGGTCTTCGCATTTGGCTCGTTGGTAGTCGTATCGGCGAGAGTACTTTGCCTTGATTTCGCCGTGGCGGCCAACAAACTTCCGCACCCAGTTTTCCCCGACAGGATCTTTGCCTCGCTCGGAAAGCAATAAGTTGGCCATCCGACGAGTGTAAGCCACTGTCGGCGGCATCCTCGCTCGTCCATCGACAAGATCCATTGTACCAGGGCAGTCTCTTCCGTCGCCGTCAACTTCAGGTTGTTCATCTGAGCGTCGCGTCGGCGAATGACACCGCGCAGTCGATCAGATACTGTCGATTGAGGACGTCGTATGCGGCCGCAGCCTTGCGGGTACTTTTGAATTGGCCCTGCTGATAGGCCCTGACGGCGAGCAGGACCCGTTCTTCGCGTGGAACCGATTGGTCTCCCGTTGCCGTCATAGTGCTCGGTTTGTCTTGCCATAAGTGTGGGTCGCCGCGTGGAGACTTTTTCTGACCGAGTAGGGGGTCTGACCGGGAAGGGGGTGGATTACGTTAACAGAGACGTTGAAAGATGCCTCCGTAGAGTCCGTACGTGTGCGCGGCTGACTAAGAAGGAGACCGTAACTCAGGTTAATATCGTGACTGTTGAAACAAAGTACAGCTCAGCACCACAGTAATCATACCACCACGTCGCGCCGCCCATCTGATAAGATGGACGTGCCAGTCGCAGCCAACGCGCTGGGCGCCCTTGGAGCGGTATGCTGCACCGCTCCCAATGCCTTGCAACCGCTTACCCGTCTCAGGTTTGTTGGTCGGTCCAGGTTTGTCTTCTGCTGCTCATTGCCATGGCCAAACCCTCTCTCACGCTTATAAACGCAGCTGATTCCGCAAATCGTCATCAACCATCGCCGCCACCATGCCACCGGCCTTCAGCCATCCATGATGATGCTCTGGGCGTGCGCAGGCGTCCCGCTCGGCGTCTACAACATCGTCCAGGACTTCAACCTTGCCCTTTGCATACAGCCTCAGATCCTGACCTTGCTCAGCTTGATGACTTGGATGCAGTGCCGCCATTACCAGAGGGTACCATCGTCGTCCGCCTTCCGCGGCCGCGTCTCGGCTGATTTTTTCAATAGGGATGGACTGCGGCGCGGTCCCTGCTGGCGGCTGCACCAATTGCCGTCGTCATGGGCAGTATCCAGGCGGCCTTGATCATTGGCCTTCGCCTTCTAAAATATCGCCACCATGAGTGGCCGTTGACTCTCATGGCAGTCCTCTCTGCCGTCCTACTTGCGGCCGGCGTCGTCCGACACTACTGGGATATCTGGGTGCATCGAACCGTGCGTGGCATCTCCTTCATCTTTGTCGGCATCGACGCAGCCGGGGATCTCTTCTCCCTCGTGTCAGTCGTCTTTCAACCGAAGCTGCATGTGCTGGGCATGGCCATCTACGGATCCGAGCTGCTACTGTGGCTTGGGATTCTTGCTTGCGGTGGATATTACAACGCTTTGCCTTGGATACAGAAGCAGCTACAACACTCGGATCCTACTAGCGCGCATGGAATGCCGCCGTTCCATGCCGAATCAGCCGCGGGCCCTGTCTCCCTGCGTGACCTGCCTTCGTCGTCCTCGGTGTTTCGCACCGTCTCCGCCGGATCCGACTTCTTGAGACCCAGGGCTATGACTTCAATGGGAAGAAGCAGGGATGGGCTGGGTGACATCAGCTGATTAGGACCAAGGGGTCAAGGCTGTACCGCCATGTTGCTGGTATTGCGAGCCGTGTTGTAGTACAGCTGGAGACGAACCTCTTGCCTAGCCCCTCATGTTCTCCCTCCTAGTCGTCGTGGTTTCCATACCTTGGGGCCACTGGTAGCTATGTCGGCCGCCCAAGCCACCTCCAATCTTTTGCGGCGGAGCTGCGCGGGCACCTACAAAACGAATCCAATACATTCAAATGCCTTTTTCTTGCCTCGTGTTCTCAACAAGCTGTGCCATGCCAAAACGCCTCATCTATCCTAGCCCCATCTGCATACTCGTTACCCGATGCCGATTCTAATCGTGTCTGTTGATCCTCCGTATGCGTGAAGAAATAACGAAACCTCGACGGGCCTCGGCACTCAGCGAGGCTTCATCATCATCCACCATTCACTGACGTCTTCTCCATCAGAACCTCGGGCTCATTTGACAACTCTTCCAAGAGGATCCTCGCCGCCTTCGCTGCACCGCTGCCGCGCTTCTCACATAGACTTGCCAGCTGCTGGGCTTTGTGTGTCATGGCTCGAGCCGGCTCACCGTCTAGAACTGCCAGCAGTTCGTGTGAGAGCTCGGGAGCTGTCCACCGCGGCTTTGTCGTTTTGCTCCCAAGCCGGCCGATGCCGAGCACCTGGACGAGCTCGGCGTAGTCATAACAGTCGGACCACTGGGGGAGGACAACTTGGGGGACGCCGGCGCTGAACGGGACGGAGTTAGACGAGATTCGAGCGTCCAGGACAGCAATGGGACAACTCACATGACTGCCTCGTTGTACGAGTTTGCGCCGCCATGGTGAACCGAGCACGCGATGTGGCCGCTTTGGAGGATGGATATGGGCTCAGCCTGGACCCATTCGACGATCCTGATGCGGCCATCCTCAAACTGACGGGATAGAGTGTCGAGGATCGGGAACACTCCATTTCCGACGCAAGGATCTTTACACAACTTCAGCTTCCAGAGGACCTGTACATGATCGGCGCCAGGCTTCTTGTCAAGCGTATCGAGGGCGATTTTCAAAGCCTGCGCAAGCTCCAGTGCCTGGTCCTGATCGACGGAGAAGAAGGAACCCAGGTTGATGTAGACGGTGGGACCCCTGGCCAGCCAAGTCAGCAGCTCCGGATCGGCGTCGGCGATGGCCGGGGCTGCGCGGACAATGGGTCCGCAGGGATAGACGTGTGGGGGGTGAACGAGGGGAAAGTCGAGTTCCGAGTGAGTGCTGACAAGGATCTTGAGATCGGGGAGCCGTCGTCGGGCAAGGTCAATGGGTGTGAAGAGGTGAGCGCCGATTTGGGCCAGGAGGTAGTCTGTTGCCTGGCGGCGGTGGGCGTCTCTCCTCCAGATGATGACCATGTAGATGATGAGGCAGAGGTTGAAAGGGATGAGGTGCAGCGGAACGGGATACGGGTATCCAGAGAAGAGGCTGTTGCGAGTCAGTAGTTCCTGTGTGAAAGTAGTGGTGAGCACTTACGCAGGCCATTTCCAAAGGCTGGCTAGCCATGGCTGGGCTGGGCCGGCAAACATCTTGATGTTGTTGGGGCTTAGGCAGGTGAATTTTATGCCCAAGTGATAGCAGGCAGTCAGGCCGGGTGTCATGAGGCTGTCGACGACGACGAGATCGGCAGCAACTTCTTCGATGATAGCGGCAATATACGATATTATGTCTACCAGCTGGGAACCCCTGTACGGCACGATGATAGGGATCGTGTCCCTGATGGCGCGCAGGGAAGAAAAGAAGCGCAGCGGCGTCATCCATGATTCCGGGGACCCATCCGCCTTGCGCGGGATGCAATTCCTGGCCAGATGTTGCATGATGCTCTCAGTCATCGTGGGCCCCTTGATCTGGTGAAAAACAATGGGCTTTGCGTGGGGGACGGCGCGGCGGACATTGTCAGACACTTGGGCGACGGTTTGTTGAAGGCCGTCAAAGGTGGCGAAATGGAGCTCGAGGCCCGGGTCCGCCTCGAGCAGGGCATGGCAGGTGGCGAGGAAGACGTTTGCCTCGCCACGCTCGGCATTTGTGAGCATGAGGATCTTGTTGTTGGCGCGGTGCCCGAGGGGGAGCCGTTGAGGAAGCCGTTGAGCTGCCATGGCTATGTGCGTCCTTGGTCAAATCCACGGCGTGACGGTGGGGAGGTTGAGTTTGCGGCGAGAGAAGGATTGGCGGCTCAGGGCAAGGTAAATAACGAGACAATAGATGATGTCTCGTAGACCCGTCCCAGGTAACATGGTGAGCCCACATGACGGGCGGTTGGCTCAGTTCACGCCCGTTTGCGGAAGGACAGAGGTAATTAGAGACAATGTTGACGATTCTCCAGCCAGGACCTGAACGCCACCGGTCTAGGCTATTCGAGGAAAATAAACAAGAGGGCCACGGCCAGCGGGAGAGCCAGAGGGGGAGGACGGGAGGACGGGAGGACGGATGCGGACAGGTTTCGGCTGCCTGGGAGGAGCCTGAGTATGTATGTATTGGTCAATCGGGGCAACGTCTGGTATGCGACAGACGGGTCGGCGGATACGTAATAGTTAGTTATGCGATTGTACGAAAGGGGTAATTACCACCCCCCCCCCCCATGCCTCGGCTGATCAGCGGCGGACTGTCTCCGCGACTGCCATGTCGGTGCTGCACTAACCTCGGCACCCAAGAGCCGAGTATCCTCGCCCGGAACTCCCCTGCTCAGGCCCAGAGCGGCTAGAGATTCCTCAGACTCGGCAGATGCCAAGATACCGGACGGGAAGCGGTGGGTACTTGATATCGTAGTCACATGTCACATTTATCTGCGTTTTCTATTCGCTGGAGAGTGTGGCCTCCAGCGCGCCTTCCTGGTCCTCTTTTCCTTCCCTGTCATCATGGTAGTCTCTCACGTCCTCACTCGATCTCCAACGCCTCCCTGTCGGCCGCGCCGTCATCCATCTCCATCTGGCAACAAAAGAAACAGTTGATTGTTGGTAAGGAGCGAAGTAGGACTTGGCCTTGCTGTGCCCGCTGATAAGCACAGCCAGCACCGGTGCTAGAAAATACCCGGGGCCGTTGACAGCCCGAGCCGTTGAGTTTGCACGAGCACGCCAAACAAGCGAGCCTCGTTCGTCGTCGGTCGTCGCAACATCGTTTTCGTCCGCGCATCCCTGCCAAAGCAGTTCATGACTCCCGTCAATGCTGTGGCCGGCGCCGGGAGCTTCTCGTCCTCGACCGGCTTGATTTGTCGGCGCGGAAGACGGATGCTCAGGGCGGCCTTACCCTCAGTGCTCCTTGCCGCCTTGTTGATGAAGCCGTATGTGCTGGACGACTTGTTAGTGCTGCTGGCATTGTTTCCGAGATAGGATACGTACGACGTGACACCTTGTCTCAGCACCGCCATGGCCGGCGAGTCGCGAGTCGCGGTGAGGGAGCCGTCTTTCGAATGCCGACCTGATGGCCAGCACCCGTTGTTGGACGGTAGGCCGAGCAAGAGAGCCCGAAGCGCCTTCGCGGCCTCGGGCACCGCTATGGCGGCCTGTGCCTCGTCACACAGGACTGCCATGACGCTCGTGGTGAGGTCGGCGGCTGGAAACCCAGCAGCCACCATGACCGCCACCACGAGTGCCACAAGGTAGAAACAGGAGCTCATCGTATCGACGAGCATCCCCCAGATTTCTGAAGGGGGAGAGGAAGAGGGGAGAGGAATGTGGATGAGAGAGCCTTTTTGATTCCGGCCTGTTGGGTCTCGCGGCCGGTCGGCGGTGAGGACGACCGGGATCGTGAGCTCCACCGATGGCCGGTGCTCTGTCCCGTCCAATCATCCGTCAACAAGGGCTCACCGACTCGGGTATCACGACGCTTTTGTTGGGCAGCCCTGCCTAGCACCTACATACGGTACATGGGACGTACATGCTTGTGCAGCAGCAGCTTCGTCGTACAGCGTGCAGCGCTCGACCATCAGACCGCCTGGAGACTCGTGTACCGGCAGGGAAGTCGTTTGGCGAATCAAAGACGTCTGCCATTGCTGTCTTGTAAGTTCAGATGGTTCGCCTACAAAGTTCGGGACAAATGGGGTAAACAAAAACACGGCCGCTCTCCCTCCATTTGCCTCCCGCTGTACCGGCCGTGTTTTTTTGCCCTACTCGGGCAGCTAAAGCGGCAAGCTTCGTACGACTAGGGAGGCACACAGTAGTTTGTAGGCTCGGTGCTTCAGACCAGCACATGACATCGAAATGCGTACCTTGCCTGCTAGCTAGATATACCCCGTGATTTGGACAATAGCTTCGTGGCATACCACCATGGCAGGACGCAGACACGAGCCCGCCGGGTTATTTACCAGCATGGCGAACTCATGCTCCGAGGACAGAACAGTTCATAGTCTTGGGGTGATGCGCTTCCACAAGCGGCACTCTCGCATGCCATGGCAACAGCAAGAATGACACTAGCTCGACAGGCAACGGATCCCGCCCGGTTATCCACCAAGAATGGAAATGCCCGACGAGAACATTGAAGGGGGAGCGTTCATAACATCGACGATGCTTATGCAACAAAGATGGAATAATCAGCAATCACGCACTGGTCAGAATAACAACGCTTGTTCCGTTCCAAGTCGAGAGGGGCCTGCCCAAACCAGCTCACGGGAAGCATCTCTAGACTCTCACCATGGAATTTTCAGAGAACATTCAAGTTCAAGCCGACTCATCTTGCCGAGGTGTCCAAGACGATGACGTCTATCCCGTCCATGTCTTTGACGACGCCAAGGTTAACCGCAAGCTCCTCTCTTGGGTGATGCGCTTCAACGATGTCCTGGACCCCGAACGCTTACACGCCGCTCTCTCGCGGCTGCTGGAGATTGGCGACTGGAGAAAGCTCGGTGGGAGGCTGAGGCTCAAAGTACGAACACGCGCAAATAGGGTAGAGGAATGAACTAGGGCCGAATCTGTTTTCTTGTTCTTCGATCCTGACACTTGCCATGTAGGAGACCGGGAAGCTGGAGATTCACGCCCCGACACCCTTCACGATAGATCGGCCCGCCGTCGCCTTTACCCACGACGGCTTTGAGGACGTCAACATCGAGGACCATCCAATAGCGTCCAGCTTCCCTGCGCCAACCGACGGGCCTTCTATCCAGCCCGTCTCAATCAACTTCCGGCCCTTTCTCGCACCGCCAGGCTATCCCCCAACCCTCGGGGACATGATTCGCAGACATGCGCCCCAGGTGTCGCTACACGTCACGTCGTTTCGCAACGCGACCCTCGTTGCCGTCGCATGGCCGCATACCTTGATGGACGCCGTCGGTCAGCAGGCCTTGCTGCGTGGCTGGTCGCTTGTGCTGGCTGGGCGCGAGCAAGAGGTGCCGCGTGTGCTCGGCGCTCGACAAGATGTTCTCGAGCGAGTCGACGATGAGCAGGAGAGCCCGGAAGCTCTGGGCATCGAGAAAGACCGCCTTGGGAAGCTGGGGAAGCTCGCCTTGATCGCGCGTTTCCTGTGGGACAAATTCTGGGGCCCTCGCTTGGAGCTACGAGCCGTCTACCTCCCCGAGGCGGCCTTCTCTCGGCTGCAACGCCAGGTCCGGCAGCAACTGGCCGAGTGTCCCGAGAACACCGATCAGGACCGCTTCGTCAGCGAGGGCGATATACTTACAGCCTGGGTGACGCGAGCAATAGCGTCAACCAGATCAGCGTCCCGGCCCGTGACGGTCATCAACCTCTTCAACGCCCGGTTCCGGCTTCCACTGCTGCGCAAGGAAGAATCTGCAGCAGGCATCTACGCCCAAAACATGGTGCTGCCAGCCTTTGCCCTCCTCTCCCCCAAACTCGCCAGAGGTCCTCTTGGGCCCATTGCCCTGCAGCACCGACGCCACATTGCCCAACAGACGGCGAGGCCCCAGACGCTGAGCATGTTGCGCGCCATGCGGCGCGACCTCGAGGCCGGCAAGGGCGCAGACTTCTTTTTTGGCAAGCCCAACGCCCTGCTCGTCTTCTTCAACAACCTGACCAAGCTCGACCTGATGCAGGCGGCGGACTTTGGCCCGGCGGTGCTCCGCCAGGGCGAGGACAAGGAGGCGAGGACGAACCCGCCGGGGACCATGGTCGTGTACTGGAACCAACTCGTCGATGAGGTCCCGGGAGGCCCTGATTGCTTTTACATGCTTGGCAAAGACTTTGGGGGCAGTTACTGGCTCATGGGCAAATTGCGGCCGCAGACGTGGACCAGGATTGGGGCGGAGTTGAGGGAGATGGAATAGGATGAAGTAACTAATCAGCTGCTCGGATCAAGGAATAGGCCAGTTTGGTTGTTTTGTGTCGTACGAGGGCGACGCTCGTTGTGCATGTCACGAGTCCCGCCAAGCGTCATGCTAACATCATACCGCAGCGGTTTGAAGTCATCGAGGCAAAAAGAACCAGGCACCGTTTCTAGCCCAAAGACGCCAATTCTGCATTCTTCTTCCGCATCTCCGGAATGATCATCCAGTCTGTTTTCTGATTTTCTTCAATCCAACATTTCCAGACGCAGACACACAGAAAGAAACAGTTTGGAACCGTCATGGCGCCCCTCATCGCCCGCCGCGCTTCCCGCGCCGTGCCGCTCCGCAGTCTCGCCGCCGCCGGCGCCGCAGCCCCACTCCGGGCGCCGCCTCTCCGGACACAGCAGCAGCAGCGCCGAGGTCTCAAGGACAGGCTCGACGGGCCGTTTGGCCAGCAGTCGCCGCCCAAGAACCCCGGCGGGCCGGACGCGATCCGCCGCAATTGGTAGCCACACCTCCTCTCCTATTCTCTTATTTCCGAAGACGCAATCTACTTTACCCCGGGTTTCTTAACCGTGAGAGAGAAAACGGGACAATGCTGTATTCGGTTACACGCATAGGAGAAGGCAGTTTTCGCTGACGGTGTTGCGCGGAACGCCAGGGTCCCCGTGGGGGGCGCGCTGCTCCTCGCCGTCGCTGCCATGGCGTACCTGGTCAAGGACGGCGGCGCGGACCCGGCGGCGGCGGCGGCCGAGGCGGGAGCGGGTGACTTGGCCGCCGCCGCCGCCAGGGACATGGCCAATAAGCAAGGCCCCAAGGCGCTGGGCGAGATGAGCGGCAGGAACAAGACGGGCTTGGGCGGGTTCCGGTCCGAGTGAGCAAGGGGCGAGGAGCCGAGGGGGGCGAATGTCGAGAAGGGATGGAAGCTGTCCGTATCTGCCGCTCCGTTGGGAGGTTGGATTGTACATAACTCATGGAAAAAATACCGAATGGAAATGGGCATGGTTTGATTCTGGTCAGGCATCTAGCTGACCAGCGAAGCCGTCCAATGCCGTAAACTCCGCTGCCACTGACCATACTTCCATCCCTTCATACAAGAGAATTGGGCACAGCACTCAAGCGACGTGCTCACACAACCAACGAAGAGCAAACACAAAGGGGAATGGGCTCACCCGTCATCAAAAGTTCAAAGTAAAAGCGTCTCGATTTAAAGCCCTAGCCTCTCCTTCTCCCCTTGGAGCTGCCTTGCTGAGGCTGACTGCCGTACGACCTCCTGCCCTGCACCTTGTCCCTCCCCATCGACTGCCCCAGAGAAATATCCACGCGCGGCGGCGTGGTGAAGCCGAAGCTCTTGGCTATCTTGGTGAGGTCGAGCTTGTTCACGTCGTAGACGGACCGCAGGCTGTGGCTGGCGTAGGCGTGCAGGTACGACTTGAAGGCATCCTTTGCGCTCTGCTGCAGGTAGTAGTTCTTGCCAATCAGCTTCTCCAGCTGCGACTGCACGTTCATAATCTTCTTGGTCGGAAAGTCAAACTCGACGACGGGGACGCGCGCCGCCTTGAGGTGGGACAGGAAGCCGACTTCGCTTGGCTGCAGGAACATGAGGCTGCGGCCCCGCCCGTCGGCGCCTCGGGCCGTCCGGCCCACACGGTGGATGTAGTCGCGCGTGTTGTCCGGGGGGTCAAACTGAACGATGAAATCGACGGCAGGAATCTAGAACCTCGTCAGCAGTGTCCAGCCAGAGCGCAAACTCATCTCCGTTGGTGCTTACATCCAGGCCACGAGCAGCCACGTCGGTGCAAATCAGGATGCCGTGCTCGGCGTTGCTAAACTCGAAAAAGGTGTTTGTCCGTTTCTGCTGCTTCTGCTTGCCGTAGAGATCCAGGACGGGGCAGTCGATGTAGTTGAGCAGCTCGGCATAGTACTTGACCGAGTTGCAGCTGCTGAAGAAGACAATCACCTTTTTCTTCTTCTGCTTCATCCTCATGAGGAAGGAGAAGAGGAGGATGAAGCGCTTGTCGGCGTCGCAGAGCACGTAGCCCTGCTCCAAGCCCTCGACGGTGCTGTACTGCTTTTCCTCATCGACGTTGATGTATAGCGGGCCGGGCCGCAAGGAGATTCGGGCAAGGTCCTCTGCGCAGGAAAACAAGTCAGTGATTGGCGCCGACAGCAGGGGGAAGGAACGTCAAGCACGCACCAACTTTGGTCGTCTGCGTGGCCGAGAAGAGCATGGTTTGCCGGTCGTCGTTGGCCAGGACCTTGACAATCTGCCGAATCTCATCCTCGAAGCCAACCTCCAATATGCGATCGGCTTCGTCGATGACGAGCGACTTGAGGTTCTTGAAGACAAAGGGGGTGTTGAGGAGGTGGTCGAGCAGCCTCCCGGGGGTGGCGATGAGGAGGTTGACGCCCTTGGAGAGCTTCTCGGCCTCGGCCTTGCGGTTGGCGCCGCCAATGACGATGCCGTACGTCTGCGAGTGGTGCTTCATGAGCTCGCGGGCGACGCCGAAGATTTGGAGGGCGAGCTCGCGGGTGGGCGAGACGACGATGACGCCGGTGCCGTTTCGGGGCTTGAAGCGCAGGGCGCTGAGAATCTCGATGGCGGGGATGAGGAAGGCGAGGGTTTTGCCGGAGCCCGTCTTGGCCGCGCCGAGCACGTCCTTGCCAGCGAGCAGAGGAGGGATGGCCTAGAGGGGAGAGTCGAGCGTCAGCCGGTGCCTGAGGGGTGAGGAGCAAACGAACGCTGCGTTGGATGGTGGTCATTTTGGAGAAGCCCATCTCGTTGATGGCCTGGAGTGTCTTTTCCGAGAGCTTGAGCTCGTCAAAGGTCTGCGAGTCGGTCGTCGGAGGCAGCGTGAGGGCGGCGTCTGTCGGCAGGACTTTGTCGTCGTCGCCATCGTCCGAGCCAGGCGCCTCGGAGCCCTCTTCAGGTTCCGACCCATCAACCGGCTCTTGCTCCTCCTCGGCGGGGCCGTCACTGTCGCTCGCGGAGTCGTCATGCTCGTCGTCTTGGGGCGGCTCGGGCGTCGGCAGAGGCTTCTTGGCCGGTTTCTTTGATTTTTTGATTGCGGCTGCGGGAGCGGGAGCGGGAGCGTCGGCGCCGTTGCGCTTGCGTTTTTTGCTCGTCGCCAGATTCATTGTGATTGCTAGGGCTGTGAGGACGGCCGATGCGAATTGTATGTCTTGGTCTATCGGGCGTTGAGGGCAATCCGAGGCGTTTCTGACGAAGGATTCAGAAGAAAAAAAGTTGGACCCTCCGGCTGCCTCTGCTTGACGAAAATTCGGTCCCACTCTCCGGGTGGAGGTACCCAAGTATCTCGGATGGGGTCACATGGTCCGTGCCCGCTGCCAAATGCAAGGAAGCCTCACCAACGGTTAAACAGCAATTAAATGATACAACATCGGCGGGCCATTTCTCGATGACATTCATTCGTCAGGTATACCACGCTTCCCTTGTTTCTCGTACTCTGCCTAGACGGATTCGTACTTGTTCCGACGTCCATGCCGTGTTGGGAAGCCGCCCTTTCCAGCGACCCGCTCCCCACATCGTTCGGCCACGATAGCCTCATATATACAAAATAAAAAGTAAATCCTCCAACATTTCCACCAGCACCTGGCCAAACTCCCTCACAGCTTGCTCTTGCCGCTCGCCAGATACGTCCCCCCCAGCTCCAGCATCTCGACGGCCCCGGCCACCATGTCGTCGACAATCTCCCTCGCCGGCTGGACGCGCCCAATCGAGCCCGCCACCTGGCCCATGAGGTGCGGGATGTCGATGTCGTCGACACCCTCCTCGAAATCGTGCTCTATGGGCACCACGCCGCGGTCGCACAGCGCCTGGATCTCCTGCGGCCGCGCGTGCCAGCGCCGGATGTAGTCGTTGGGCTTCATGCGGATGGGCCGCCCGGAAATCACCAGCGTGCGCTCGGTGCCGTCATAGTCGCAGTCGACGACGGCCTGCTTGTGCTCGGCGCTGCAGTTGGCCTCGGCCGCCGCCACGAAGCGCGTGCCCACCCACACGGCCGTCGCCCCCTGCATCAGCGAGCTGGCCAGGCCGCGCCCGTCGCAGATGCCGCCCGCCGCCACGACGAGCGCCGGCGACGAGCCCCCGAGCATGGCCGGCCTGTAGCGCCGCGCCACCTCGACGACGGCGGGGATGAGCACCGAGTTGGCCACGTCGCCCGTGTGCCCGCCGCCCTCGGTGCCCTGCGCGCACACCATGTCGACGCCCAGGTCCAGCGCCTTGACGGCGTGCTTGGGGTGGCCCACCATGTTCATGACGAGGATGCCGTGCCGGTGCAGCTTGTCGATGATGTGCTTGGGCGGCACGCCGATGGCGCTGACAAACAGCCGGGCGCCGCTCTCGACGGTGATGTCAATGAGCTCCTCGAGCCTGCCGCCCGTGTAGTCGTGGTTGGTCTTGCGCGCGCCGCCGCCAATCTGGGGCAGCGCGAGGTCGATGCCAAAGGGCAGGTCGGGCCGCGCCAGCTTGGCCTTCATCTCGGCGATGATTTCGCGCAGCTGGTCGGGCGTGTACTGGAAGCCGCCGATGACGCCGAGCCCGCCCGCGTTGGACACGGCTGCCGCGAGCTCGCCGCCCGACACGCGCGCCATGCCGGCCAGCACGACCGGGTGCTGGATGCCCAGGAGCGTGGTAAAGGGCGTTGTGATGGGGGTGGATGGAGCCATGGTGCCGGTCGTGGAGGTGGTGGCAAGTTCGAGTTCCTGGTGCACGCCTTCTGGCTGTCGACGGATGGTCTGCGAGGGGAAGACCTGACAGTCTGTGGTACGCCCTCACCGGCTGCCCCTGAAACGAGGCTTTGGGGGTCGGCCAACCGGCCAGACCAGCCGGCCCGCGGGCGGATGCCAGATGCCGGTGGGGTTGGACCGAGAGGAGCCAAAGGTGGAGAAACAGGGCGTGCGGGGAGGCGGACGGTGCCGAGGCTCGCTTCCGCCCGGGCCTCGGCCAGGCGCGCGAGGCCTCTCTTCTCTGACGGCCACCGGCTATTACTCTATTACCGAATTACTCATACAGTACATATCAGATATGCCATGATTGTCGGCTTCAGCATGGTCCATATCATCACGCCGGAAACATCGGTAGCATCGGCCTTTCTCTCATCCAACGCGAGCAAGACGGATCACAATCATCCGCACATCACTGCAGACGACGGAATAGTGCCTGCTCCCTCTTTTGTCTCTATACATGCGTGCTTTGTAGGCGTGCCATGTGCGCGTGCGAGTCGTATCCCCTTCCACTGCCAAGGCCAATGCTCTCCCTCTGTTCCCACCCGCCGCCCGCCTCTCTTCTGCGCAGATTACAGACAGCTTCCGCCTCGCGAGCCAGCAGACACCCCAGTATAATACACACTGTCCCTCCCATGCACGTCTCGCGCAGCAGGCTTGGCGCTCTTGTTCCTCTTGCCGTCAACCGAAGCTGGGCAGCCGTGCTGCTTGAAAGGCCGTCTCTCCGCGCGCCAGCGAGTTCCTGTTCCGCCGTGCGAGGTCCTCGCCCTCCCCGTGACTGTCTGCCGCAGCCTCGCCACCGCGGTTTGCTGGCGCCCTGAGTTCCGGTTCGCGCGTCTCGCCTTCTCCGGGGGGCGGCTTCTGCTCCGGCACCGGCACGGCTTCTTGGGCGCTCAAGCCTCTCTCCGACGATACCGAGAGCATAAATGCCTCCTTGTCTCTCGCCATCTCATCCATCTCTTCTTGACGTAGCTGCTCCTCTTCCACATCCACATCATCATCCAGAGGCGGGGCGTGATCGGCGTCGGGCGTCGGAGGCAGCGACTTGGACGTCCGGTCTATGACGGGCGAGTCCGTCGACGTCGCCGATCCGAGCGTCGTTCTCGAAACCGTCCGCGAGCCAGACAGCCCCTCCTCGGGCCGCTTCCCCTTGCTGCTCCTCGTCTTGCCGCTTCTGCCGCTGCTGCGGTCGTCCTTTCGAATCATGTCGTACGTCACGTCGTCGTCGAGGGCTACGGCGTCCTCCTCGCCCTCGCCGTCGCTGGGGAAGATGTCGCCGCGTGAACGGTACGAGTCGGACGTGTCGCCCGAACCCGTGGTCCCGCTGCGTTGCCGCGGCGCGCGCAGCTCGGCGCCGTAGTCGGAGCCGTCGTCCGACCCCAGGAGCGGCTCGGTCTCGGCGGCCCCGTGTTTCCCGGGGCGGTCCTGTAGATCGGCGGCGCTGGGGCGGTACCGCAGCGTGCCGCCCAGCTTCCAGGGCAGTTTGCTGAGGAAGCCGATGGGCTGCGTGCTCGGGATGATGGTGGGGTCGTGCTCGCTCGTTCTCCGCCGGGCCCCCCTAGTGCCGTAGCTCATGCCTCGCTTCCTACGCGGCTGCTCCGTCGTCTCGGCCCCCGTGTGTTTCCTCTGGCTGCCCGTGCCGGCCAGCAGCCGATCCCAGTCCTCGCCGCCCCAGCTCCCGAGCAGGCCGCCGCCCTGCTCGTCCTCGTACCAGTCGTCGTAGAAGTCGAAGCTGTACTCGGCGCCGCCGCGCGCGTGCTCGCGCTCCCTGCGGCGGCGCAGGCGGTCCTCGGGGTTGCCGAGGCACAGGGCGGCACATTGGTCGATCGAGGCGGCAAGGGAGCCGAAGCAGGGGTTGATGTAGTTGTGCTGGATCGACCAGATGCCGGCGGCAGCATTCTCCGTGACCGTCTCGGCGTCGTGGGCAATCTGGTTCCATCGCTGGCGCAGTCGCGGGTCCTCGAGAAAGGCCATGGCTGCTCCGATCAGTCCGGCGGGCTGCTGCTGCACTGAGGGCGTCGGGGTCGCGGCGTCATGAATGGCCGGGCTCGAAGCAGCGGCGTCGGGGCGATGGTCGGGCGCCGGAGTCGTGCCTCGGCGGGCGTGGATGCTGAATGGATGGCCGGTGTCGAAGCTGGAGTGCGGAAGGGGTCAGGATGTCGCATCCCGCCGTCGTCGCCGCAGCCGCTTAAGGGGGGGCACGTGCGAGCCTGCCCTTCACTGGTTTCTCGGACACTTTTGTAGGAGGGGTTGGCAGAGTGATTGTGGGCTTGAAAAGGCGTAGACGGGGCGTGGTGGAAAAGGTAAAAGCGATATATACAGAGTTATATATATATATAGCACGCCACGGGCAGATGCACTTCTTAGCAGGCAGCCCCGTAAAGCCTCATCCAGCAGGCAATGTTATTGCTGCCCTGTGCAAAGTTACATGTAGCCACCACCGGGTACCACCAACATGGGATGAGGGGAAAAGGTGATGTGCCACGGTCGACGGTCAGGAAACAGACGCCGCGAAGTCAAGAAACGGTTCAGATGGATTAAAGAGTCGAAATACGCGCTTTGTTGGACGTAGCCTCTTGTGCAGACGAAATATGGGAATACGAATGGAGACATGGCGTAACTTAGAACGAACAACACTAAAATAAAGTGAGCCACCTCGCACGTCGAGAATTATCACCACCAAATGGGTGGTTCCTGCTGAAAAATAGGCAGATTTTGTGTCATCTTGATGACGGCATAGTCCGTACGCGGTACATGGGTACATTGATAAAGCAGAGGACAAGATATTTGACTTCAATAGCATCTCGTCGCCTTCGGCGGAATCAGCAAACTTAAGCACCACAATCAGCTAGGGGAAATAATCATTGTTGGAAGAAAAAAATAAGTTCAATAGAGCAAAAGAAAATAACGAGCTCGGAGCCGGGTTCGAACCAGCGACTTTAGGATCTGCAATCCCACACTCTACCACTGAGTTACCCGAGCCTCTTTTGTTGCTATGCACAGACATCAAATATTGGTAAGTATAAACGCCAACTTGTTCTCCCCCCCAGTGCCTCTGTCTACTCTTGCTGTTTCACCTTTCATTGTATTCGTAATGCCCCCCCATCTCCATGTTAGGTTTTCCCTCCGGGACAGGCTCAGGAGCGGGCTCTTCTCGTGGCCGCGTCTCCAGGCAGACCGTCGATGCCACCAAATAAGGGCCCAAAAGAACACAGCTGAGAACGGCCTGTCTACGGTTACCTTCTACTTGGGCGCCACACACATCGCCGAGGGTGCACAGTTAGAAGAGATAAAGTGTCTATACGTATAGACTTCAAGTTCTGGGTATCCTCATGTTTGCCAGCACACGCGCAAGTAGCTCCTCCCTCGTGCTGCCGTCTTGCGGTACTAGGTTTCTCTGCACATGGCAGTGTCAGTCTCGCCACTTACTTGCCACTTCTGCCCCAGCCGAAGGGATATGCTGCCTGTCTTCTCTCGCATGCTTACCGCCGCCAACCACCGCCTCATCTCCCCCCGCGTCCAGGTTTCCGGGTCTCCTGTGGGGTCTCGCTCGGGGGGGAACACGTCGCTGCCCCAGATCGCCCAAGCTGCAGCGGCGGCGATCATTCCACCGAACGCTTCGGCGCGCCGTTAGCAAAGTCGCCGAACTTCATCCTTGCTCAACTGACTTACCAAGAACCAGGCTCTGTCAGAATCTCGGCGTATCGAGTGAGCTATCGTTTACATCCCCAAAACCACACGGTTGACCTGGGGCGTGCAGATGCATACCTTGGACTTCATCGCGTTATCCAGCCGAGTTGCCATGTTTGTCCAGGGTAGCCAAGTGATGGGCTCGAGTGACAGGTGATTCGCGGAGACAGCAGCAAAGTCGCAAAGCAAAGTCCTCTGAGATTGATAAATGACGATGATGCGCTGGATGTATTGTATAAGCTGCCGCGATTGCTGTTGTGTACTGTACGTAGAAGCGAGGTCCTCTTGAGCTGACGAGGCCCTCCAGGGAGACGCCACATCATCCGAAACTGCGCCTCACTTCAGACTGAAGAACGATTGGTGGCTTGACTTTCGACAAACAGAGCCGATTGGTCCGTGCGCTCGCGACCCCCCTCCACCCCGGGCGAAAAAGCCGGCGCACAAAATCAGAAAGTGCCAAAATACCGTCGAGGGAGCAACTCGTACCCGTCAAGACCCTCCGCAGCAGAGCCATTCAACAACCGCCAAAATGCCCAAGGAGGTCGCCGATATCAAAAAGGTTCGCATGCGTTGCCCATGTAGTTTGTCGTCTGCTGGATCCATGCTAAAAAGCTTGTTGCTCTAGTTCATCGAGATCTGCCGCCGGAAGGACGCTTCCTGTAGGTGTTGAGTTGGAGCTGCCCTCCTTCCTCGCGCACGACGAATGAGAGATGGAAAACGAATCTGACCGGGACCATGCAGCCGCGCGGATCAAGAAGAACAAGAAGGCACACAATGTCAAGTTCAAGGTCCGCTGCCAGAGGCACCTCTACACCCTGGTGCTCAAGGACACCGAAAAGGCCGAGAAGCTGAAGCAGAGCCTCCCTCCCAGTACGCGGCCCACAGCTCCTCCCGCAACCCTTTGCGGCAGAGTATGCCAGGAACCATGGGGGATATCGCGTTGCTGACAAGCCGTTGCAGACCTGCACATCACCGACCTCTCCAAGAAGAACTAAGGACGAAAGGGCGGTCAAAGGCGGAGAGGAACTTGGGGCGCGGTGACAATCAAAGCATGCACGAATGGGCGTCTCGGGATACCTTGCATTTCTTGTGCTCAGAACGCGCTCTCGATAAAGTTGAAAAGAACGATCTGAAGCACACAAAGACCCAAGACAGAGTTCGCTTAACAAAGCAGAGCGGAAGCGGTCATGTTGATTGAACGGCCTGTCTACACGACGTGCCTGAAGCGGTGATGAACCTTGTTGTCGGAAAAGCTCATGAGATGGCGCAGGCGCTCACTCGGAACGTTGTCGCTCCAGAAGACGACAAAGTCGTGCGCGTCGCCTGATGTTTCCAGCTTCCACCCTGCCCACACCTCGTCGTACACTCCCCGGCCGACCAAGTCGTCCTCCAATGATCGATACGCCTGCTGCAGGGGGTCTCTTTGGCTTGAGTCGATGGATATGCGGCAGACGTTGAAGGTGCCTTGCGAGAAAAAGGCCCTCCGTATCTGGGTCTGGGTTCCGGCCGGCTCCATGTGGAAGAGTAGGACCGAGTCGCAGCCCGGCACAAGGTACTCGGACAGCTTGCCGTTGCAGGCCTGGTTCTCCCTGCACTGGATCCACTCGCCGTGTGCTTCGGCAGACTCCCAGGGGGCGGTGATGAGCAGAGACGGGGCGGGGGCGTGGTCGGGGTCGGGCCGCTCAAAGTACATGCTGCTGAAGTTGACGTTGGGCTCGACACTGCAGGGCTGGTTTCGGTGCATCCATTCGTCCTGGAGCTCCTGACACTGCATGAGGGTCTCGAGAAGCTCGAGCTGGTCGTGGCCCCGGCGCAGGCTGAGGATGGCGAACTCGGTGACAGGCATTGCGGGAACTCAAGGTAGGGCCGAGCTGGATCAAAGGGTTATCGACGGAGCTGGGCTGGAGCAGCACTAGAGAGAATCTTGGCGGGTAGAGGAGGAGGTGGACGAGTGAAGGGAAGTTGGGAATGGCAGCAGGCAGCGCGGGGTACGCAAACCTTGGGCTGGGCACGGACATGAGAGTCTGATGGGCGTGGGCTCTGCTGCAATCTACATGAAAAATCACATTTTTCTACTCTATTGTTTCCCGGATTCGCTTCCCTTGCGAGCTCAGAAGGAGGGCATCGTGACGAGTGTCTATTGCGCCCGCCTGGAGGGCAGCCCCGTGTCTTTTCCCCCATGAGGATACCCCGCGTAACTTACGGAGTTCCTTGGCTGTACTGCCCCGGAAGTCGGGGATTATTATTAGATGAGGTACGTAACAACACTGCCCTGCGATCATTCGGCTAGCCCCTGTATTCCTCCCCTGCACGACGCCTATTCAGGCAGCATGTAATCCACTATCACGCAGCTTTTCTGCGCCAACCACGTTATCCCGCCTGTCAGCAGTCGACGATTCCTCTCCTCCCCCTTTCACTCCTTATTTGCCCATAACCTTTGCGATAGCCCCCACGGTGCGGCGACCAAAGACAACCGGACACTGGCAGGCGACACGGGCTCGAGACTGGAATCTTCGACCCAAGACAATCACGTGAGGCGGCCAAGTCCATGACGGCCCATGGCACCGATGCCTCCCCGAGGCCCAACGATGGCGCCATCCCCTTTGTGAACGCCAATGGCCCTCTTGCTCAACGCCTCAAGATGGATCGCAGGCTCTCCAACCCCATGGCGCCCGCCTTCATGGTCTCTGCCCCCGGCAAGGTCATTGTCTTTGGCGAGCACTCGGTCGTCCACGGCAAGGTAGGCCATCAGCCCACTCCTCTTCGTCGCCTCAATGGCTGACCGTCATCTCGACGCCAGGCTGCCATTGCCGCCGCCATCTCGCTGCGCTCCTACCTTCACGTAACGACGCTCTCCAAGTCAAAACGCACCGTCACCCTACGCTTTCCCGACATTGATCTTGTCCACACGTGGAACATTGACGACTTGCCCTGGCATGTCTTCCAGCAGCCCTCCAAGAAAAAGTCATACTACGCCCTCGTCACCGAACTCGATCCAGACCTTGTTGCCGCGCTCCAGCCCCACGTGGCTGCCGTCTCCCCAGATCTGCCCGACGAGATCCGCAAAGTCCACCGCAACTCCGTCTCGGCCTTTCTCTACCTCTTCCTCTCCCTCGCCCTGCCCTCCTTCCCCGGCTGTCTGTATACGCTTCGATCGACGATACCCATCAGCGCCGGTCTTGGGAGCAGCGCCTCCGTGTCCGTATGTCTGTCGGCCGCCCTGCTGGTCCAGTTGCGCGCCTTGTCCGGCCCGCATCCCGACCAGCCCTCGGAGGAGGCTCGCCTCCAGATCGAGCGCATCAACCAGTGGGCCTTTGTGGCGGAAATGTGCATCCACGGCAATCCGTCGGGCGTCGACAACACCGTCGCCACCCAGGGCAAGGCCGTCCTCTTCCAGCGACACGACTACTCCAAGCCTCCCTTGGTACGTCCTCTGTGGACCTTTCCCGAGTTGCCGCTCCTTCTCGTGGACACCAAGCAGGCAAAGTCGACTGCCTACGAGGTGGCAAAGGTTGCCAAGCTCAAGCAAGCGCACCCGAAGCTCGTGGCATCGATCCTCGATGCCATGGACAAGCTCACCGGAACGGCCGCTCAACTGATTGCCAACCAGTCCTTTGACGAAAAGGATGAGGGGAATCTGACCAAGGTGGGCGAGCTCATGTCGGTGAACCACGGCCTACTGGTATCCTTGGGCGTATCGCACCCTCGCCTGGAGCGAATACGCGAGCTAGCCGATCACGAGGGCATTGGCTGGACGAAGCTCACGGGTGCCGGCGGCGGCGGCTGCTCCATTACCCTGATGCGCCCCGACGTGCCGGAGGCCAAGCTGGCCAAGCTGCATGAGCAACTACGGGACGAGAATTACCTCCAGTTCGAGACGACTCTCGGTGGTGACGGTGTCGGCGTCCTCTGGCCGGCTGTTCTCAAGAACGGCACAAAAGAGGACGAGGAGGGCGGCATGGAGATTGACTTGGAAAAGTTCCTCAACGCCGAGGGCACCGAGGGCGTCGAGCGGCTGGTCGGCGTACACGGCGACGGGGGCGAGAGAGAAGGATGGAAGTTTTGGCGCGTAGAGGGCGCCTAGACGGCAGCTGTGCGGTCCGTTTCTGGAACAGGGCTGGACACCCTACGAAGCATCGAGATGGATCATGGCTTGAACAGTTCATTATTAATATTTACTTTTTTCACTTCATCTTGTTCTCTCTTTCATGGCCATGTTCACTTCATCTCGTTCTCCCTTTCATGGCGTGTTCACTTCATCTTGTTCTCCCTTTCATGACCATGTAGGCTTCTTTTCTGCCCGCAGCCTATGAATGTCGAGAAGACTCGAGAATGCTCACCAACCGTCAAGGCGACACGATTTATTCTCTTCGCATCACGTCTGTACGCCTGAACCGATATTGAGGGAGGCCACTCTACGCTCCCCGGCGGACCAACAAGCGAGTATGTGCGGTCTTATCCAACAACCGTCCGGGAAGGTTCTCGAACACAGCGAATCGGCCAGCCGCGCACTCCTGCCATTCGATCATGAGAGGGATGAGAGGGATTCACGGCGTATAAAGCCTAGGCTTCTCCTGTCTCTAGAGATGCGGCTCGAGCAGCCTCTTGGACCAGCATCGCCTCTTGTCTCTCGCTTCCTCGCCTATAATCCTCTATGCCTGGAAGCCACTGCAGAACACGCTTCGCGAGGAGCTTCCCCCAGGCGCCGGTTTTATCTACCGAGGGTGATTATCGATACTTGATTCATCTTGGACGTGCATCACCTTGACGGCCAACCTAGTCAACTTCGCAGCTGTTAGCCAAGCATCGCTCTTGGAAGGGTTGGGACGTCCAAGAAACCAAGGAAGCACGAACAACAGCACCCAGCGCCTTGGATCATCTTGATCAACCGGTCATCACTGGAGCACCCGCGGCGGATCGTGTGAGTGCCGTTCACGATGTCAATCATGCCTTTCACCGGCCATAATGTCGCAGGCCACCGGGTATATAGAACTACCAAGTATTGCGCCGTGTGTCGCGAAAAACCTGCTGATAAACGTCCGAAAAGTCAAACGGTCTACTTTTCCCCGTGCGGGCACTTTGTTTGCGAGACGTGCTTTGGCAGGGACCCGACCAAGTGTTTTGTGTGCGTCCAGTGCTCAACCTACGTCGCGCGGGCCACCGAAGGGCTTGCTTCCGAGTGCAAGCACCAGATCCCGATGGCCAGGTTGCCTGCGTACATCCTACGGGCGAACAGGGCGGAGACTGAGGTGGAGGGTCTAGCAACCAACTTTTTTCTGGACCCTCTCGAAAAGATGCCGAGTAAGTGCGCGCGGTGCATCGCTTTGGGCATCTTGCAAGAGATCATGGCTGAGGTTCGGGCGTCGGGGCTCCCTAATTCCGAGAGGGCATTTGTCTGCCTCGGTCATGGCCTTGACGCCATCAACGCGCGAGAGTTTCCCGCCCTGGGGCTTCACGAACTGGACGTCATCATAAACGCGCCCGAGCTGGAAGCCTTGGCGGAGAAGAAGCGCAGGAAACTTCGCAATACGATGCGCAACGTGTACAAGGAGCCCGGGTGGAGTCATGGACTGGTTGAAGCAAAATTCGTCTTTCGCTTATGCCAGATAACGTCCTGATTGAAAAAGCGGTCAGGGGCGGACTGTGAATGATGATGGAGTCAGGACAGACACGGCACGGGCAGCGTTTTGCAACGCAAAAGGAACATGTTTGGCAGGAGGAGGAAGCGAAGAGCACAGGACACGAAGAGATGAGATTGGCAGAATATCGAGACGAAGGATTAGGGAACCTCCTTGACTATCGGTCGCCAGGGCCGCAGGAGACGCACAAGGAACACCTATAATGCCATTGGGGGGGGCAAAGCAGCCCAGGTGCCGTTCATTTACATACTCATATCGCTCATTACAATGAGAAGCACCCACATCAACAAAAGAACTTGTCAAGGCCCAAAGTCAAGGCCCAAAGTCAAGGCCCAAACGCTTTTTCATGCCCGTACGCGACGCCCATTGTCCCTCGAACCCCGAACGCGGCTCTGCCCCCTCCTCCCCTTTCATGCCCCAGCACAAACAAACCTCCCGTGTTTCATTGCAAAGACAAGAATCAGTATGCCTTGCCGCCGCCGGCGAGAGCCGTCAGGTTGGTGTTGCCCGTCTTGAGAATCGTCTTTTGCTTGGGCAGGTTGTCGACGACCTTGTCCGGCAGCTTGAGGTGGTCGACGACGGTCTGCTTGGGCGTCAGGGCCAGCCACTGGGCGACGGAGATGTCGGAGAACTTGGGCGCCTGGAGGACCTCGAGGAAGACGAGGTCCTCGGTGCCCGTGTTCTCGATGTAGTGGGCGTCGGCCTGCGAGATGTAGCCGACGTCGCCGGCGGTGAAGTCAAAGGTGCGGCCGGCGTCCGGGGCCACGTAGATGGTTGCGCGCCCGGAGCCCTGCAGGAAGTAGTCCCACTCGTCCGACGTGGTGTGCCAGTGCATCTCGCGCATGGCGCCCGGCTCGACGGTGACGAGGGCGGCCGAGAACATGGCGGCGACGGGGAAGCTGGTCGGGTCGAGGATCTTGACGGAGCCGCCGGGCACCCTGTAGGCCTCCTGGCGCGACCAGTGGTACGTGTAGGAGCCGTTGCCCGAGAGGAAGCCGCCGGGGGCCGTCGTGTTCTGCTCGTGGATGTCCTTGGGCTGCGGCGTGCCGTTGAAGATGTACAGCTCGTCCTTGGGCAGGTCCTTGAAGGCGTCGACGTCGGCCTGCATGTTCTTGGACAGCACCTCGCGCGGCGTGCGGGCAAACATCTGCGAGACGAGAAAGGTGCCGTTCTCGTCAAAGTCGCCCTGGTCGAAGACGAGGAGGAACTCGACGCCCCGGTCAAAGGCCTGGATCGAGTGCGGGATCCCCGGCGGGAAGAACCACACGTCGCCCTCGCACACGTCGTCGGTGAAGGACTGGTTCTCGTCGTTGACGGCCGCCACGCGCACGCACCCCTTGAGCACCAGCGCCCACTCGCCCGCCGTGTGCCAGTGCAGCTCGCGGTACGCGTGCGGCGCGAGCTTCATGTCGACGCCCGCCATCTTCTTGGCGTTGGGCAGCACCGCCGTGTTCTGCTGCCGCGCCCAGCCCGCCCGCCCGCGGTACCCCGGCCGGTTGTGCGACAGGCCCAGCGGCCACTTGGCGTTGGGCACGCCGCCCTTGTCCGTGCCGGGCGGCGCAAAGAGGTCCGGGTTGAGCTTCTCGTACTCAAACGTGCGCGGGCCCGCGTCGCTCGACCCGTAGTCGCCGCGGATCGGCTGCGGCCGCTTGACCCCGTTGAAGTTGAGGTACAGCCCGAGGTCCGCGTCGGCGTCTTGCCCGTTGACGAGCTGCGGGTCCGGCACTTCGGCGTCCCCGGCGTCGACGTCCGCCACCGGCGCGTTGCCGCCCTGCAGGTCGCTGCCCCCGCGCAGGCTGCCGGACGGGGCTGTGACCTTGGGGATGGGCGGGCTGACGCCGCCGACGGGGCCGGTGTTTTCGCCGTATTTCATCCTGTCTTTGGTGTTAGTCGCGGGAGGGTTTTCCTGCGGCTTCCTCATCTACAGAGGAAGAGGGGAGACATCGTGGGACTCACTGCGGCGCCGCTGCGACTAGTATGGCGGGCAGCAACAGCCCGGCCGCCGCGGTCTTGGAGAGGGTGAGCTGCATCTTTTCTTGCCCGGCTGGGTGGCTGCGAGGTTGCTATACACAGTAAATGGTGCGAGTAAGAATAGTCTTAGGCATCCACGATGACGAAAAGTTTCAACCCGCCGGGTCCCCCTTCCCCTTTTATAACAAACCTCACCCCATCCAGAACGACTCGCAGCTCGTTGCCCACGGCCGGAACGATTCATCAAATAGCCGCTGCCGAGCTACCCGAAGAGAAAGCTCAGCACGCCTATCCAGGTGTACGAGCAGCTCTGCTTCACTCCCAAGGCGTCACTGAGAGAAGCCAACAAGCAGACGGAGACTGGACGGCACACTATGCCTACACCGGCCCATGGGGCTGCCGCACGACATTGCTTGACGTCACGCACACGTCCCCGAGACCGGCTGCCCGGGGGGGGGGGGGTCCGGTCAAGCTCTTTTGGGCCAAAGGTGCCCTTTTTAGCCTCGGATCAAGCTCGGGGGGCGGAAGCTGTCAGTCCTTGTGCGGTGTTGCTTGCGGCGTCGTCTCGGTGAATGTCCGAGCATTGCCGCCTGGTCGATGCATCAGCCACGGCGACAAGGTTGCTAGAAGGCAGAGAGACGAAGGGCGATCCCCCTGTACCTTTATTTCTTTCTTTTCTCGTGTCCTCTTTCGGCCAGTCTCCTGCATCTCCGTCTCCGTGTAGCCGGCTGACTCGGCTCTTGCTCCCGGTCCCCACTCCTCGGCTCGTGCCGATCTGGTGGGGCGCGCTTCTCCGGATCATCGGCACTGAGTTCGGCCCTGTCCCGCCGCCCGCTGCAGATCCTCCGCTCCGCTCGGACCTTCCGCTGTCTCGAGGCAGACGGAGAGAAACTTACGTGAGCCCCTCGCATCTTTCCCTTGTCTGTTCACTTTCCTTCTTCCCTCGTTTGCTTCCTCCACTTCCACGCCGCAGCAGTCGTGCCGCCGCCGTGTCACTTGCGGCCATACATCCATCGCGTTGCCTGCCTGCCCGGCCGTGGTGATCGTCCACGACCGAAGCATGGATGAGTTGATGAGCTCCCCCGTCAGCTGAGTCATCCCGACCAAAGAGCGAACATACCCGAGGACGGCGCGGCAGGCAACCACAGCTCCCCTCGCTGGCTGTCGAAATGGGCACGGCCAATTGGTCGAGCGCTGCGCCGCCGCCGGCATGTTCCTGAAGCATGCGCAAGCAGAGGCAGTGGGCGAATCTCGGCGTCTCACCGACACGGGTAGAGGGTTGCACCGGCCCTCCCGCAAAGTTCAGCATCCCGGGAGGCGGGGTCTCGACTTGGGCGTCAGATGCAATCCTGGATCTTCTCGGCATAGCCGCTGCTCAGCTGCAGTTCATAACATCGTCGTGCAACAAAGCATGCTTACCGTCATGCATAATGCCCTAGAAACGGTTCCCAACTTCTGTCTGGCCGTCCACCACAAGGGGGCCACCCATGGCACGGCACGACGTGGCACGGTGAGGACGTGTCCGTTTTGACGCGCAGCTAGGAGTCTCAACTTGGCCCCAATATGCCCAGGACTTGGACAAGGTGCATGGTCCTATTTCATCCAATGGACCAGCTTCATGCTCCCGTGAAGAGCCATGGAGTGACGTGTAGCTGATTCGCGTCCAGTATACTCTGCATCTGGCTCGCACATCGCGGGCGGGAATGCGCTGCAGTCAAAATGTTACTACACCAACACTCCTGCAGCACGAGGATGATCCGATAAATGACACGTGAGGATTAACGCCAAGACGAGTGAGTCTCGGCTACGAAGACGTGAAGTCGATGCGCTTGAGGGCTCGTATATGCAGACTGGACACAATTTCCGCCTTGAAACCTCGGTACGCAGAGTCGTGAAAGGTGTTTTTGAATTGGCGGAGCGACTAACAAGCTCGGTTCGACCCGTCATGTCTTGACATTGTTTATTCCCACAGACTCCATCGCCTCCGTGGGGACGGCTGGCTCGACTATGCTTGCGCCGGAAAACGGACAGATGCCGTCGCGAGGCGCTGCGCCTCCGCTGCCGACGCTAGGGCCTGCGATATCTGCCTTATCTTCCAAACCCTCGCTAAGAATCTTCTTACCGTGCAGATACCCTTCGCGTTCGACTTCAATGTCCGAGTCCCCCGTGTCGAATTCGGCGCCATCTCTGACGTGCCATTTGGCCATGAGATCGTTTTGGATCCATATCACCTTGTTGAGGGCCTTTACGAGCGCCGTCTTGCGCTGCAAGTGCAGTCGAGGGTGGGATAGGATTGCTTCGGTCATGATGTCCTGGATGAAGCCGAGACAGGCGCCCAGGTGCACGTACTCGACGTGCAGGGGATGCTTGCGGCCGAGACCGACGTGCATCATGCTACGCCTCATCAGCACTTTGCATTACACATGCGCGACAAAGAAGCCATCTCGAGGGAACCGCCGGGCGCAGCGATTCCACTTACCCGACCTTGTCTAGGTACTCCCAAAACTCCATCTTGCTCGGATCGGAGCACAGTTTGTTCAGGTAGGCCCGCAGAAACATTTTGCGGTGGAGAATCTGCGGACTGTTCTCGTCGGGCATTTCATCGACGGGGCCCTCGAACGATGTGCTCCGAGTGGTGAAGGCGCGGGCGGTGATGTCGTACTGCAGCAGCTTCTTGTAGACGATGTTGACAATAGCCGGGATCAGGGCCTTGACATATTTGGCGCCGGTTATCAAGGCCTCGATGTCGCCTATGCAGGTTCCCGAGGTCAGACGGTCAGCCACAAGAATGAGTTGGGTAGAGGGAGTCGCGCACGGCTGGAAAAGTCGAGGAATGAGTGTAGATAGAGAATCCGGGCCTCGAGATTTGTGTATAGATCCTGGCGCGGGATGTGCTTCATGGGTCTCGGAGACGCCATGACGACCGGGGGAGTTGGTTGCTTTTCGATCTTGTTGCAGCCTCTGTCCGTGCCAAATAGGAATGACAATCGGTGGTAGACGGCAGGTTCGACGTCAAATGCTTCGATGGCCGCACGCGCTCACTGTTGGACTGGCTGACCGAGGAAGCAGGGTGCTTTGCGATGAGACGGGTCACGGCGATTGTCAATACCACGAAGCAAGCGGCGGGATGCAAGGCGAGGGAATGAGTCGTAGCTACGGGGGCTGCTGCTCTTTCCGATGAGATATTTATCCGCTCCATCTCGTCTTTGCCATGCTCCATTTGTTTGGAGTGGGATGATGGTCCTCGCATTCAAGCACACACTAGAGCTGGCGTGGCTGGTGGCGTGGATGGTCTAGGTGTGTTTTGACATCAATATCAGGCGTCGAGTTCGTCAGCAGGCCAGCGGAACAGCAGATAGTGGCCTGATGAGTGGAGCCGTGTCTGGGGAGCCCCGAGGGATGAGCCAACAAGCTGGGATTCGTATCGTGACGCCCATGACATTTTGACTGGTTTCCATTGGCTGCAGCACGTTAAGCCTCGTCTCGTCTCGTCTCTCTTTGTAAAATGCCGTGGAATATGGGGCACCTGAGATGAGGCTCACATCCAAAACTGATCGTCGCTCCGTGTGGCCGGCGTGGCGTGTCTGGTCCGAAGAGCCACCGGGAGCTTTATGCCAATCTGTTGCTGTTGAGAGGTCGCCGCAACCATGACAAACCGCCTGGCAGGTCGAGAAGACTTTCTCATGGACGGATTGGTAGTCAAGATGGCATCACACGAGTGATCAGGGCGTGTTGACCATGAGCAATCTGTTGCTCGAGATGATGGGGCCAGATGAGGTTCAAAAGTCTCACGTGCTGTCTAGCAATTTGACACCAGGCTGCCCTGCTGATGTAATCCAAGCGTGGAAGCTTGAGGTACGTACTGGGCCCAGACAGCTTGCCTCCATCACCGTCTGACCTCGACTCGGCAATCCATCATCTCTCGCATTTTCATCCTGTAACGAATCCTGCTACTATTGAATCCGCCGGCTTGTGCTAGGCTCGGACACAGCCCCTGAAGTCTACTCATGAACATATCTGATCAGACCCTCTGCACTGAAGGCATCCTCCAAAACAAACAAACAAACAAACAGGCAGATACGTCGTGAAGCTGTCGACGCAGTCATGGTACGCGAATCATCCTCCATCTCTTGGCCCCGGCATCATGGAGCTTCACCTCCTGTCCCCCGTTGGCGCTTTGTCTATCTCGTCGCGCCTTCCCCTCACCTTAGAATCATCCTTGCATGAACGAACGAATGAAATGCTTGATACACACCCTCCGGCATTGAGCTAATTCTTGCTGTCTCCCCCTTGCCTAGAACAAAGATTCCTCCTTTACCCACATCCACATGCACCGCTCCGGCGACGCCGACCTCTTCGACGACTTTTGCAAGGACAGGCTGCCCCCGGACGACATCTACGTCCCGCCCCAGCACCAGCCTATCAACCCGGAGGACGAGGATGACGTGGTCCCTGACCAGCACGCCGCCTTTGGCATCCAGCGCGCCACCCAAAAGGTCAAGGAGCCCGTGTGGAAGGACCTTGGCCTCGCAGACCTCATGACCAAGGGACCCGGCCCCGGCGCCCGCACCCCTGCCGCAGTCGCGGGGGGGAGTGGACGAGGAGCGACCCGGCTGCCGCGGTGATGCGCCCCTTTATCTTTGGTTGTCTCTCTTAACCTTTTGCTTTTGCTTCTGGCCCCGTTTGTAGATGTGAAGACGGGAGTTTGCTCGTGGCTTCATGCGTGGTCACAGGCGTCATGGGAGTCTGTGTTTTTCTGGAGGCGTTTATGAACGGCACGGTGTTCTGCTTTCATTCTTCATGACAACGTAATCCATCTCATGTTTTGCCACGCCCTGTCAATGAAAGATTGCATTTGTTTCCCACCGAATTCAGGGGGATGAGTTGGGCAGCGTAAAGTCTACCTCGCCATGGAGAGAGACTTGCGAGCCATGACCAGACGGCTGCACAAGAACCATTGTCTTTATACAGTATGCCTCATTTTGCATTGAGCCCAAGATTGTGCGGAGTGACCTCTCTTCCTTTGCCTCGCGATAAACCTCGCTAGAGTGTTCGGCACGCACTCACCGTAGTGCGCCCTGTCCAGCAAACGCCCCAAACTCCAGCAACACCATGCCCAAGTGTCCCAATTTCATGCCCATGCCTACAATGGTATCCATGCCACGTGTCGGTCGTCTTCGTCTTGACCTTCTCTGTCGTCGGGTGGAGACTCAGCCCTTGCCCATAAAGGCTTCCCGCTCCACCACCTCACCACGGAACTTGACGAGAAAGACCGTCTTGCCGGGCCACATGTCGCCCTCGCCGACGGTATGTGCCGTCACGCGGGCGGGAAAGTCTGCGCCGTCGCACACGCCCTCGATGACGCCGGCGATAAAGGCTGCGCAGTTGAGCTGGCTCATCTCGCGCGGGACGCTGATGTAGCGGTTGACGAGGGGCTCATTGTCGATAATCATGTACTCGTCGGGCGTGTCTGGGTTATTTGACTTCTCGAGGCGGTCAGCCTGGCGCCCAAAGAGGTGCTGCCAGACGTTTTGCTTGATGAAATGGAGGAGGGAGACGATTGTGAGGGGCCGGAGCTGTGACCGGGGCGGTTCGCGGTAGAGGAGCAGGTCGAGGAGCTTGACGCCGATGGGATAGCCTTGGAGGTTGAGCCTGTTTCCACTCCACCGTTTAGTCATTCGTCTCGATGGGCTGGACCGGGGAAACGGAGAGACTCACCGCTGCTCGAGTTCTTGAATGCCCTTGACGCGGCGCTGGGCGTACGTCACCATCTCGCCAAACAGGTAGGCGAAGCTCGCCTGGCTCAGCTCGGCCGTCTTGGAGCGGTTGAGGGGCCGGTGGTAGATGGTCTTGCCGTTGCTCGGGACGCGCAGCCCGGACGAGTCCTTGCTGGCGGGCGCGCTGGGGCCGATGACAGGCGGGAGGTTCGCCATGGTCGGGCGAGAGGGGGATGCGGTTTGAGCGGGAATACGAAGTCGGGCGCTTGGTGGTGTTGTGAGTTTGCGTTGCTCGCATCTGGGCGTGCGCTGACTCTACCTTGTCCCCCGTCTGCCCCACCGCGAGGGCTGCCTGGGAGCGAGGTAATGGGGAGTTTGGTGATGAGGAGGCGTGAGGTTGAATCCAAGAGATTCTATCACTGGTGGTCATGAAATGGCAAGTCCCGGGTACGAGGCAGCTTCTAAACCAATCGCGGAACTCGAGGCCCTGGGGTTGTACTAGATACTTACTTAAGCACGTGTCTGGTGGGCCCAAGCACTTCCTCCTCAACTTGTCACATCCCCATCATCTGTGCAATTACAAACCAGACGGGTGGGCAGACGCTCTTCAACAGTACCTCGGGCCCGTCTCTCGATATACATCGCTTCCTTGTCGGACAAGTCATGACTTGAATATTTTTCTTCCCCTGTGGTGTGCCGGACTGTCTTCGGGACGCCATCACCATGGCTTGGAGCACTATCCTGGCAGGAAAACCGGGATGAAAAACACAGAACTCTTGGATCGTGCTCAAGATGATCAAATCAGCAGTCTCTTGTCTTGTTCAGGCCGTCTAGCTGCTTCTCACTGCCCTCGCCCTCGCATTACTCGTTCTCATGCGGACATAGGCCTTTACAGCCACGGTTCTGGCTTCTCGGCAGACATGCGCTCCTCCGTCTTCAAGTCTTCTCTTGAGGATATTCAGTCGCTTCCCGCCCGCGCTCATGCGGTGGATGCGCATCCCTACTCAACAACAGGCGCCCTGGGCATTTCCGAGCCTCTCCTCACTGCACCGTGGACACCTTGGAGTTGGCCTCCTTCTGCTTCATCGACGCTGCAATCCACCCCTCGACGTCCTCGAGCGCCTTGCGCGGACGATGCTTCCTCTTGAGCAAGAAGCCCTGAATCTCCGCCGGCGAGAACATGTCTCCCGGGATCCGCCGCCCAAACTCGTCGGCAATGGCCACCAGTTCCTCTTCTCCTGAAACGTCCAGCTCGTCGCCCGGTACCGCAGCCTTGGTTTCGGACGTCTTGTCCTGGTGCCCCGGCGATGATGGTGACGGGGGCAGCACCGGAGGGGGCGGCTGCGGCAGCAATCCAGCAATCTCCTTGCGCCTTGGCCGCGAGGCCTCGTACATTCTTCGAAACAGCTCGGCAGCTTGCGTGCTCGAAGCATTCATAAATGCCACCTGCACGTCGACGCGCCCGGGCCGGATGAGTGCCTCGTCGAGCGATTCGGGCTTGTTGGTCGTCATGATGAGAATGCGGCCTTCGTGCGAGGCAACGCCGTCGATGGCGTTGAGCAGCCCTGAAAGCGAGATGCTGTCCAGCCCCACCTTAGCCTTGCCGTTGGCTTTGTGGGAGCTGCTTGAGCCACCACCGGCCTTTCTCCTCCGCGATTTCCTCGCCTTCTGGCTCCGACTCTTGCGGCTTGAAGAGAGCGCTGACGACTTCTTTTTACTCTTGGAATCTGAGTCGCTGTCACTGTCGCTGCTAGTGCTGTCATCGGTGTCATCGTCGTCGTTCGAGTTGGACTCTCCACCATCTTCCTTCTTTTCTTCTTCCTTCTTACTCTTCTTGGTCGTCTTCTTCTTTTTCTTCTTGTCTTTGCCTTGCTTCGCCTGTCCGTTGCCTTTGCGCCCCCCATTCGTCAAGGGAGCCTCATTATCGTCGTCGTCGGCGTCTTCCGTTTCCGTGTCGTCCGTGTCTCGGCGAAGCCCCGCCGTGTCAATGTCCTCGAGAAGGACGATGCATCGGCGCGGGAGCCTCGTAAACAACGTGGCCAGGTCCTCCTCGGTTACGTTGAGGTCCTGCAGGCTGATGACGTAAATGTCGATGCCGAAGACGCCAGCCAGCGCAAACGAGAAGCTCGTCTTGCCCGTGCCCGGCGGCCCGTGGAACAGATAGCCACGCCGCAAGGGGATGCCGCGCGACGCGTACCACCTCGGGGTCCTCGGATGCAGGTAGTCGTTGACGTCGGCCAGGACGCTGTGCTTCTCGTGCGAGTCGAGCACGACGGTGCTCATGGGGCGGACCGGACGCCGGGCCACCTGCTGCCACATGCTGCTGTCGTGACGCTGCTCCTTGGGCTTGGGGCGGTAGATGGTCGTCTTGCGGTACGTGTCTTGGTAGTAAAAGGCTTTGGCCTCGGCGAGAAGGCGCTTGATGGGCTCTGTCGCGACATGTCAGTCGTTGGGGTCGGCACATGGACGACAAGCGAGGCTTCATCGCCTCTGCCTCGAGCCACTTACCCATTGAGCGACCAGAGCAAGATATCTTGATCTCCTCGAGGTCTTTGGTGCCCCCCCAGCCACTCGTGTTGACGAGCGACTCCTTCTTGCGGTAGACACGGAAGTAGGTCCCCTTGTGCCAGAAGCTGGTGACACCCATGGCGGGGACATATCTCGGGCTCTGCGCGACCGTCACCACCGCGTCACGTCGTCAGCAAGCCGCCCACAGCCACGGGGGAAGCACACGCAGAGGCAGAGGCGCAACCCACAGATCTCGCCGCCTGGTTGGAAAAGTTGAGGTACTTGGGCTCGCCATCACCGGCGTCGCCGTCGGTCCACGACAGCGCATGCTCCAGATCATCCTCCTCCTCCCACGCGCTCTTCCAGACTGTCTGGGCCATGAGGAAGCGGCTGCTGCGGATGCTGTTCTGGTGCGACAGCCACTTCATGAGCTGCACGTAGATGTGGTCGTACTCGGACACGTACATGGCGCACAGGAAGTAGCGGTCGAAGAGGCCCTCGACGAACTCGTAGGCCTGGGAGCCGAGCTTGAACAGGCCCCAGAGGACGCCGAGGACGGTGAGGACGAGCGAGGGGTCGAGGCCCAGCTGGGTGCCGAGCTGGCGGTAGATGAAGATGACGAGCTGCATCAGCGGCGAGGCCTGGCCGGCGCTGACGAGGAGCGTGTCCATGATGCCGGGCGAAAAGGGGCCGGCGGCCGACGTGTTCAGGGGGGCCGAGGCGTTGTCGGCCGGGGAGCGAGGGAACGATTGGCCCGGCTGAGAATGTTGCTGCTGCTGCTGCTGCAGGAATGGCGGCAGCTGGAGTCCCATTTTAGCCCATATGTCCATGGCGGATGTCATGGAGAAGCCGTCTGCCACGGTATAAGCGTGGAAGAGTCTCTCGGTGTGAGTATCCGTATAGTTACTGGAGACTCGTCTTCGCTCAAAGCACCAACGTGAGAAGACAGCAGCAGTTCTCGCACCGACAAAGAGGTCCCGTCATCAGCCCCTTGTCATGCCTCGGTGGAACTGGGGGAGGGCGGGAAGACAGCTTAGTTAAGTAGGTAATAGGCAGGCAGAGGCCATGGCTGTGACCAACGGAGAGAGAGAGAGAGAGAGTGAGTGAGTGAGTGAGTGGGAAAGAGAGAGAGTGAGAAGGAGAAAGAGAGGAGCATCTTATCATCCGCTGGCCGCCTTTTTCGATGCCCCATCACCGACAGCCAGCCAACAACAACAGCCTGTCCATTTCCGTGAAACTAGGCACGCGACGTGCACGAATGGGCTCGTGAGGAACGCTAACCGCACCACTGACGATCAAGGTAAGGTAGCGATGCATTGGCCTGCCCCCCTCCCAACCATGAAGGAGTTGGGAACCAACCAGACGTGTGTGCGACAGACGACGTTGTGTGCTCTGTCTCTCGTCTACCCCCTCACCTTCTCGTCTTTGTCCCCCATTTGCCCCCTTACTGCTTCTTCTATCCCCGCTGCTTCTTCCTCGTGCTCCATTTTGGGCACTATCACGGGGGGAGACACGCTTTGGGGTGACGCAGCGTAAGAGCTGTGGCTGTGAGCCGCACTTTTACACCGGGGGGCGAGGGAGGGTTGCAATTGCTCGCCCAATTTGTGTGAGCCGAGGCGGGCAAGCGAGAAAAAAGAAAAAAAGGGTGAACTGGGAAGCTCGCTGCCTGGAGCCTTGAGATGGCCGGGGGCGGTTTTCTACAGTACATTTTGGTTCATGTCGGCTGCCTGGGATCGTGCATTGGCGCTGATAGGGGCTGACGATGATCACAGTAAACTGCATTCCCAGCTCACCACCTTTTGCCCAAATGACCCTGTCCATGTCCCCCGCGGTTTACATGCCGGGGATGGGATGCCGGGGATGGGAAAGATAGGAAAGGTGCGCGCCTTTCCGGAGGTTGGTGGGAACGAGGCTCCGACGGCCTTGCCAACTCGCGGGGGCTGTGTATAATCGAAGGAAAGGGCACGAAAACAAAGGGCCCTGATGGTGATTTGGCGCCATGACTCGTTCGTGGGGGTGAAGATGAGTGAGTAAGTGAGAGCGTGAGCAAGTGAGAGCGTGAGCAAGCGGGAGCGTGAGCAAGCGAGAGAGCCAATATTCACGCTCCCACCAGTCCAGCCAGAAGACCCGGAACACCAACCCTGCCACAAGTCATTCCATTTTTTCTTCTGCCCCCAAATCCATACTCTGCATTGCCCATCCTTTCTTCCCTTCTTCTCAGGGAAAAAAGCTTGATTTGTGGCTGTCGTGCAACGCGACCTGTAGCGCCGTCCCGGGAGAGGCTTTTCCAGGGACCGTCGCCCCCCCCCCATCCTCTAAAGACAGGCCCCCTGCCCGTGTCCAGTGAGTTCGCTTGGCTTATTACACCAAAGTCGCACACTTGCTGCTCTCTCGGCTCTCTTTGTTCTAGGCTGTCGCCGGGCGGGAGCTGAGCGGCCCACTCACCAGGGCGCTCTCCTCGTCGTCGTCCATCCAAAGGGATGACTGCCTTGTCCCCAAGCATGGCGGGCGTGCGGCAGTCAAGTTGCTATCTGCAATACTACCGCCGTACGTCTGGCAGTGGCAGGCAGCGGCAACACGTCAGAGCCTGTGTCATATGGCCCCCTCTCCTGGCCAGGCACGGCAGTCTTGCGCACCCCTTTGGCTGGCTGGCTTTCAGGGCGAGGTCGGAAGGCCATGCCCAAATCTCGAGCCTCCTGCTCGACGCTGCCACCAGTAACCTAAGTGAGGGGGCGCAGAATGCCGAGGGGTGCGTGCGTGCCTTCGCCATGGCTGGCCCAACCAGCGCAGGCAAGACGAAGCACTGACAGGCAGGCAGAATAACCTTGTGAGACATGGCCACAAAGCTGGGCCAACGAAACGCAGACCTGTCCAACCCGCAAGTCCATGCCTGCCTTTGTAAGCTATGTGCATGTCTACTCGGCATCCGAGTTGCAAACAAGTGCTTCGTGCCAGCCCAGGGCCCAAGAGCATGCAGGCTTCTCTGCTCAAGCTGCATCCGCCGCGACCACCGCCTTTCTGTTGTCCTTGGTCTCCCCCGCCGCGGCGTCGTCGAGCTTGGCGGCCGCCAACTTCTCGTCCACCACATCCACGTCCGTGTCCAACGCCGCTGGCGCCTCGGCCAGCTTGCTGCCGCTGGCCCCTTGGCTGGCCTCGTCGTACCTGAACCCTGTCACGCTCACGGCCGTTCCCCCGGCCAGATACTCCTCCGACTCGCCAATCTCCATGCCCGCAGCCGCCCACCGGGCCGCCTTCTGCTCCCTCCTCCGCTGGCACATGTCGTGCAGCGCAGGCCAATACACGCCGTGGTCGTACTCAAGGTCCATGTTGCCGCCCCAGTCGGCGCTCCACAGCTGCTCCGGCGGCACGTACTGTTTCATGTCCTCGTTGAACTTGAGCTTTCCGCGGGTGACGGGATCGATGAATGGTTGTATGATCTTGAAGAAGCCCGAGACCAGCCACGGCACTGCATCTCGTTAGCGCCTTGCTCCAACTCGGCCTCCACGGTGCGAGTCGCTCCGGGGACGGGACGATGCGCCCGGCGCGGGAATGCGACGGCAGACGTAGCAGCCGCTTACCATTGATGATGAGCGCCTTGCCCAGCCTCTCCGGGTAGTGGTTCTGCAATATATTCAGCACCTCCCTCGCCGTCGAGACAGGCACGCTCGTGTTCTGGCGCTGCTTCGAGGGCTTAAAGTTGATCAACAGGCTCAGCGTCTCGACGCCCGGCGGCATCATGTCGGTCACGCGCTCGACCATGTAGAAGAGATGGTGGATCTGCCGGGGGCTGGCGTCGGTGTTCTGCCGGCCCGGGTTCAGGTACTGGCACGGGCGGCCGAGGCGGTCGAAGCCGGCAATGATTTGCTTGCCCGTCTCCTGCTCGGGCGAGATGTACTCGGCCGTGAAGTCGTCGAGGCCGTACTCGCGCCGCCACGCCAGTGTCGACAGCAGCCGTTTCGCCGACTCATCGACGGACCACTTGGTCGCTCGAAGGTATCGGAGGAGGCACTCGCGCGTGAGCCACAAACGTTCCCGGTCCGTCAGCGGGCCCGACTTGTCCTTTTCCTTGGCGCAGGTGACCTCGGCGAAGCCCTTGACTCGGCCCAGGAGCGCCTCATACTTGCTCTTGTGATCCTCGGTGAGCTCGGGCCTGGGCGCGGGCTCGCTATCGGCCGTCGGGGCCTCGAGCGGCGTCTTTCGGGGGGCGGCCGGAGCTTGGTCTGACATCTTTCACCTCGAGGGCGCTCGATGGGGAGCGAGCAGCGCTTAACGGCGTCGCAGAAGCGGCCAAGTCGCGTCCTGATGGTGATGATGCGCTCTCCGGAGTCGACCCGTGGCAAGCAAATCGGACAAGAAAGCACTCGCCGCCAAAGTCAGGGGAGAGTCGATCCCTTTCTTTTTTGGAAAAGGGGCTGCGACGAAAAGAACTTTTCCACGCTGCGAGTCATAGCAGCACAACAAAGTACCTCATGAGTCGCAACAGCAGCTCTTCTCGAGGCGTGCACGTGCTTATCACGTGGCAGGGGTTCAGGGTTCGAATCTGAAGATAGGTGCGAATTCTCACCTTTGAACCTTCATCAAGCGGTCCATCTGTCATCATCGTCGGGGTCATCAACTTGCCACCGCTCACCGGTGCGCGCACCTACTACCACGGCGACTCAGTCCCCCACCCACTCACTGGCCCGTTGAGCGGCTTACGCCACCTTTTCTGGCTCCAGCACCTCCTCTCTCACAGCCATTATCCCGCACCAGATGGCAGGTGTCAACCACAAACGGCCTCGGAATTCCGGGACGTAATAGATGTCGGCTCCTTTCTGGTCAAGAATTTCGCGCCATTCATCCACTACCTGGCGAAACAAGACGCAACCTTGGGACCTGCCGTTTCGCAACATATCGCCCGGCGAGTAACAAGCGATTTGGAGCACCTCGTACTAACGGCAGTAAATGCCTAGGTCGGCATATTAGTAGTGGTCTTTGCCTCAGAGAAGAGGGTCTTCCAAGTTCGTGCATTCTGTACGGCTCTAATGCTGGCTGAAAGGCATTGAGCTGTGTAACTGCAGTTGGTCGGGTAACGCACCTCTAATTTAGCCGTCTTTTAGCCATCTGCTAGGTGTTCGCGGAGTAATTACTCGTGCGTTCAGCTGTGAAATTTCGATTGTACCCCTCGAATCGCCTCGAACCCCGCGGAACAAGATGCCATGATGCTCACCGGGGCCTCCATCGTCAAGCGCGAGCTTGTGCGCAACCTGCTCTCCGCTACGCAGCAGCTACAGCCGTGCGGCGTCGACCTCTCCCTACGGCGCGTCCTCCGGTGGACATCGCCGGCCACCGTGGACTTCGACAACGCGCGCCGCCAGGCCGCCGCCACAGCCGAGCTCCCCTTCCGCGACCAGGGGGCCGGTACTGGCACCGGCTCCGTCGCTCTGGCGCAGGGCGCCTATCTCGTCGAGTTCAACGAGACGGTCCATGTGCCGCTCGACTGCATGGGCCAAGTCTTTGTGCGGTCGTCGCTGTGGCGCTCGGGCGCGCTGCTCACGGCCGGCGTCGTTGATGCCGGGTACGAGGGAGCTCTGGGCGCCCTCCTTGACATCCGGAACCCAATGGGCATCGTGCTGTGGCGCAACGCCAAGCTGGGACAGATCACCATGCACAGACTCGAGGACAAGGTTGCAGGCTACCGCGGCATCTACCAATTCTCGGCGAGCACCATCGGCCGAGATGGAGCAACTACGCCTGCTTCCGGCCCAAAGACTTGATAGATTCACACCCATGGCAACCAGAGACTCAAAAGAACCGGTGGAAACTTGGGTTGGGGTATGGAAAGCAAGCATAGACGGCAAAAGTGGGAAAGAACAGAAAGACCAGCGTCAATGAACACCGGCGGGCTCCCCTTCGAGGCCTCAATGTATTGTGGAAAGATGGTGCCCCAATACATCCTGCACCACGTCGAAGAGCCTCGACCTCCGGGACAGGACGTTTGGCATCCTCTCGTTGGACAGGTCTTCTTCATACTTTTCGGCCACGTTGTCCGAGATGATGTGGAGGTAGCCGAACCGGATCCCGCTCCTCGCCGCCGCCTGCGCCATCATTCCTATCTCGGGGTCGACAAAATCAACGGAGGCGGGCAGCGCGGCAAGCCAGTCGCGGGTCTCGTGAAGTACGCTGCTCACCGTCAAGTGATTCCCCACAAACGTACAGTCGCTGGCGAGGCGGGCGACGGCGGTGTCGAGCGCGTTTTCCCACTCGACGGGCTGGCCGCGGACGTGCGACACCCCCCCCGTCGCCAGCCAAGTGTTTGGCCTGACGTCCTTTTTGACGCTGCCGAGCTTGCCGAAGTAGAGGACCTCGCGGACGCCCAGTCGCGACGCGAGATAGTGGACCACTTCGCCGGCAATGTCGCCCCAGAAGGCGGGTCGGAAGCCGACAAAGGCCACGCTGCGGCCGTTGAAGCGCCGCACCGTCCAGTCGAAGCAGCCGTTCTCGTCCCAGTCTTCGGCGGCGGCGGGGCCCGTCAGCCGCTGCAGACGATGGACGAGGCCGAGGACCACGGTGTCAACCCCGCTGGGGAGGTGGCCAAGGTTAGTGGCCTCCAGCGCAGTCTGGGTATCGGAGCACGACAAGGGGTGGAAGGACACCCTCGAGGGCGGGGTCAAGCCGGCGCCCTCTCGTTGGCGGATGCCGAGGTAGGTCGCGATGATTTCGGCATAGTGCTCGACGTGATCGTAACCCGGAAAGCACTCGATGTACAGGTGGTTGCCGGCGGCTCGGGCGGTCGGGCGCTGCCAGTTGAAGGGCTTGTCGCGCTTCTCGCCGCGGAAGACGGCGGACGGGGGCGTGCGCGTGTAGGCACCAACGACGGTGATTTCGTCGTAGGGCTGCTCGAGGACCGCCTGGTGCACCTTCATGTCGAGGTAGCGCGGCAGGGAGGCGCCCATGGTGTGGTTCGCCACTGTCGCCTCGCGGCGCGGATAGAGCTTCTCACGTCCAGACGCAACAGACGGCGGTGGTGCCCGCACGGGGCGGCTCGACAGCAGGGTAGCGGCGCGCCCGACGGGGAATCGCGTCATGGGGAGCGGCGGCTATGGCTAGCTGGCGGTGGCGCGACTTGTTCTTGGGCTCGAAAAAGGAGGAGACTTGAAGCACGAGTCTGTGACTACTCAGTAGTCCATGGATGGACGGTTCTCGCAGTCGACACGGGTGTCGTGGTTGCAGAAGCTGAAGCTGATGCTGGCGATGCATGTTGCCGCGTCCACCATGAATCCTCCGCTTCATTCCGCTTCCCCGTCTCTTGGCGGCGGCACTCGTACCAACCACGGTGCTACGTTTGTGCCAAAAATGGATAGCTGGCTAAACGTGAAGCTATATGGTCATCATCAGTCTTATTCTGTGGCCAAGTGTTGCGCATTCGTCACTTTCGTCTCTGCGGGCAACACTAGACCAGTCATTCAACGAACTGTCCGCCGTGTGGCGAGGCAAACTTGATGTGTACTGTCTATTAAGGTAGTCGAGAGTTAATTAACTATGAACCCAGGGCGCCAATTAAAGACGTCGACAAAGCGCGAGAGCTGCAGGCGTGCCTCGACAAATGCGGACGCGGGCCAGCAGCCGGCGGTGAGTCATCCCCCCCTACTTTCTCCGTCCTACGGTCACCAAGACGGCGCGGGTGCTGTCCTTATCTCTACTACCAAAACACCAAGCCCGCACTCTTACGAGAGTCGAATTTGAGGACATCATGACCTCGCAAGCCATCTCGAAGGAAGAGGCGGCCGCCCTCTTGTGACTAAAGGAGGCACAGCATCTCGCCGCCGGGCAGTTGGAGGATACGGGCGCCGACGGGACAGCCACACGCACACCCTCCGTGGAACATCGGCTGGCTTCGTCAAGGATCGGCCGAAGACGCTCAGAACCGACCAGCGGCACCTTATCGTAGCAGATGAGTGCCACAATCCAAAGACGCAGACATCATCCTAATCGCCGGCCACCCCGACCTCGAAATCTACCATTGATCTTACGCGACATATGCCGAACCACGCCCCATTTTCTGGGCCGTATTCTCCTTGACGCCTGTGGAATATCAAGCCCCTCGGCCTACTGCATCATTTTCCGCACCACAGTGTCGACAATGGCCGCAGTCTGGCCCGCCTGCGACGTGCCCCAGACGTCAAAGTGGCCGCAGTCCAGCTCATGCATGGCCACGCCGGGAATCACAGCCTCCCACTGCTTCTTGACGAGCGGGCATGTCCCGGATTGCCCAGCCGCAGCCCCGACATAAGTCGCATGCTTCACCCGGGCAAGGGCCGCTCTGCTCGTCTTCTCGAGCTCCGGCCATGTGTCAATCGGGGGGCTGTCCAGTGCAATCAAGCTGATATCAAGCTCGGGACGTTGCTCGCCAATAAGGGCCGCCAGGCCCAAGGCCGACAGGCCACCCAGCGATATTCCCACGATGATCAGTCTCCGGCTCTCCGCACAGGCTCGCGCTGGTTCGAGGTAGGCATTGACGTGACCCATCGTTGGATCCTCTTCCGGATGCTCGAGAGCCATGATCGTCAGCCCCTCGGGCAGACATCCGACCAGCGGATGAGCCGCAGCGCAACTGCCTCCCGACCCAGGCAGCAAGATGATGGTCGCGTCTTTCCCAACCTGCAGAATCGTCGACGTGACCCCGTGAGGCTTCGCTCCACGCAGCTGATCTTCATAAATCGCCGCCAGAGCAGACGGTGTGCAAACCCCAAGCAGCATTCCCTTGACCCTGCGCAGCCACCATCAACATCCGTCAAGCAATGAAAGAATAGCAGAAACTTACCCCACAGAAGGCCCCGGCAAGCGCTTCGATGCTGCGCCAACCAAGGCAGTATATGACTTGCTGTCCAGGCCGTTTTGCTTCAAATCGGTGTCGCTGTCAACGCGAATACCAAGGACATCAGAGGCGCACTTGGAGAACACTAGGCTGGCCAATGAAGCGCTCGTCTCCCGCTTTCCCCCTAATTTGGAGGATCTCAGGCGCGGCGCCCGAAGAGCCTTGCGCTTGAATGTTGTCTCGGGAACCAAAGTCGTCGTTTCCTTGCGAAGGCGCTGGTCGGGGAAGCCCAGCACGACGTGCGAGTTGACGCCGCCCCATCCTGCGGCCGATACAGCCAGGATGTCGTCGGGGTCAAGACGGGTCTGCTTCGATGCCAGCACCACTGGCAAGTCGGGGTTAATCATGGGGTTCGCCTGCTCGAGGCCCTTGGTGGCCGGCACTACACCAGCCTGCATCGACTTGCACAGCTTGATGAGGGACACAAGCCCGGATGAATGCTGACCAACTGTTAGCGCAAGGTGGCGGACTTGCGTCCAGAATTCTCGACTGGGACTTGCCTGGGCATTTCCAATGTTGCCTTTGGTTGACCCAACAGTGAACTGCCGACCACCACCCCCGAGCTCCTTCACTGCGAGGCTCAGGCCTTCGAGCTCAAGAGCATCGCCAATGGGAGTGCCACTTCCGTGAATTCTACACAGGGAGACAAGTCAGCTTTCCGTCTGCCGGGCTCATCGCCAAGGCGCCAGGAGCATACTCGGCATATTTGAGCTTGTCTGCCGTCAACTCAGCCACCTTCCATGCCGATTTGATAACGTCCGCCTGCCCTCGCGGAGACGGCACCTGGAAGCCTGCTTTGTCCAGCGCTCCGTCTGCCCCAATGCCCGTCCCCAGAATCTTGGCATAGACCGGCGTCTCGTCCGAAATCGCTGCTGAGTATCGCTTCAGGATGACGGCAGTCACGGCGTCTGCTGGGACGGTCCCGTCGGCTCTTGAATCGAACGGATGGCATTCTCCTCGCGAGGAGAAGATTTGCCCCTTTTGAGTAATGTAGCCTCCGCTAGATCAAAGTCGTTAGCCAATTGCAACTAATGTTTCTCATGGAGGGAAGCCGAACTCATAAAGCTGGACAGACACGCCGCCGACCAGGGCCATGTCACATCGGCCAAGTCGAATGGCGTCGAAGGCTTGGGAGAGGGCCACGGTGCTGCTGGCGCAGTTTGTTTGAATCGTGACGTTGGGGCCGCGGGCGTTAAGATGATATGCGGTTCGAGTGGAGATGGATGGCGCGACAAAGGCCCGGTTCTCGCGCATAAAGGTGTCGGTGACGACTGACTCCGTATGCAGATGATACGCATGGTTCGCAGATCCCACAAAGACGCCCAGTCGCTCGCCGGCCATGCTGCGACCATCGATGCCGGCGTCTGCGAGAGCTTCAAACGCCACCTCCAGGAAGAGACGCTGTTGCGGATCCATCTCCGTCGCCTCCTCCTCACCAAGGTTCCAGAACTCGTGGTCAAAGTCCTCAATGTCGTCGAGCGCGCCCGCTCGAGGGACCCAGACATTCCCAGGGAGAGTTTCGCGCTCGGCACATGTTTGAGAATCACGGATTCCAGATTGTCCGTTCATCAGCATGCTGTAAAATTCATCCACGTTCTTGGCACCGGGGAAGCGTCCGGCGAGGCCGACGACGGCTATCTCGGGCATATTGGGAACATCCGAGACCGAGGTCGCGGCCGTCCTAGTGAAGATTGGAGTTTCGTCGATGGTGGAGACTGAAGAGCTCAAAGACGCGGGGGTTTTGGTAACTGCCGGCTTGGGTCCCCTGCGGCGGACAGGCATGGGCCTCTTCTTTCCATCGCTCAAGAGCACCGCCTGACTCTTGATGGTGGACTTGTGGAACAGATCCACAAGCCGAACTGCCTTTGAGGGGAATGTAGCCTTGAGCTTCTCGTGCAGCTTCGGGACGAGGAGACTGTGACCTCCAATGTCGAAGAAGTTGACGTCGACCGGCGGAGACGACGACATCTGCAAGATACCCTGCCATATGCGCGCGACCGCGGTCTCGTTGTCGGCTGACTGGTCGTCACCGGAAAGCTCCGTCTCTGCATCCGAGCTGTCCAAGAACTCGACGCCCTCCGGGGCACTGCAGCGTGTGAGCTCACTGCGCCTGGATCGGACAGCCTTGTGGTCAATCTTGCCGTTGGTGTTCTTTGGCAGGGTGTCAACAGGGTGGACCTTGGACGGGACCTTGTAGCTCGGGAGTATGCCCTTCAGAGCATCCGTCAGAATCTTGGGCGATACTGTGCTTGGAGCAACAAAAGCCAGCATCTCGAGGCCGTTTTCCGACGGCTGGACCGAGGTCTCCTGAACGCCGGCGCCAGCGCTCAGGATGGCGTTTTCAATCTCTTCAGGGGCGATGCGGAATCCGCGCACCTTGAGCTCCCTGTCGATTCTGCCCATGATGAGAAGCGACCCGTCCTCGAGCAAGAGCCCCTTGTCACCAGTTCTGTACATTCGCTCGCCGGTTTCGTGGTGGACGGCGAAGCTCTTTGCTGTGAGATCTGGCTTCTCGCAGTAGCCTCGTGAGATTTGTGGCCCGGAGAGACAAATCTCGCCCTCGACACCTGTTCCGAGGACCGCTCCAAAGCCCTCGGCGCACACATGGGCTGTCGTCTTTGAGTTCGGGGGGCCGGCGGAAACGACGTCCGGGAGATCATCTGTCTTGTCAATCTTGTTGAACGCCACGGCAATTGCGGCCTCTGTCGGACCATAAGCATTAACAAGGTTGACACGGGGATGCCACCTCGCGAATATCTCGTGCGACGGCGCCTCACCCCCTATGGAGATTTGTTGCAGACTGGGGACCTCTGCTTCCAGGGGCAATGTCTCGAGGGCCGTAGGTGTGATTTGCATAAAGGTGACGCCGTTTTTCTCGATGACTTCGGCAAGATACTCGCCGACAAGCTGCTTGGGATACTGGGCGAAGCAAAGACAAGCCCCGGTGCAGAGTGCGCTGCTCCATTCTAAAATGGATGCGTCAAAGGTAAAGGACGCCAGCTGCAGAACGCGTGTCCCGAATCCGACCTGGAACATGTTCGTGGAGGCTTGCACAAGGGCGGCCAGGTTGCCGTGCTCGACCATGACGCCCTTTGGCTCACCGGTAGAGCCCGATGTGTAAATCATGTAGGCGAGGTCGTCGTCTGCGGTGGCGTATTTGACCTCGTCAAGAGAGCTGGCCGTGCTGGCGTTGTGAGTTTGGGCCAACTCCTGCACTAGGGCTTCATCTACGACCAGGATGGATTTGCTGTTCTCCAGGATCGAGGCCCGCTGACGCTCCGTGAAGTCGATATCGAGGTACACGAAGGCGGCGCCGCACTTGAGGATGGCAAGGATCCATTCGATGATTGCGAAGCCGCGTCCAAGATGGATGAGCACTCTATCTCCACGACACACATTGCGCATTCTTAGGACTGGTTTGACCAGGTGTCAGCAAGACTGCATGACGCGGCGACCTTCCAGGGACTTGCTTACACCTAGCCTTGTCTTCCGAAGACTTGTATAGCTCGCCATAGGTCATCGACTTGCCCATCTCTGCCGAGTGCAGAGCCGGGCTGCTCGGGTTGCTCTCAGCATGCGCGTCAAACCAATGATGGACATGGCAGAGAGGGTTGGGCTGCGGGTCGGCTGGTGCGACTGGCAGGCAGGGGTGTTTCGGGAGCCAGTCGAGCATCTCCGCCAACTGGGCCCCGTCAACTTTGCTGAGAGACACCATCCTGTCAAACTGCGTTTTCATGCCGTTTAACGCAGCGCCGGAGAAGACTTGGGGGTTGTAGATGACCTGCCGGCGTTGATGTCAGCGGGATGAAGAGGAACATTTGACTGGCTCGGCCACGACTTACCCCAAGCTTCACGTCCGTGTCATACTCTAGGAAGCAAAAGAAGAGGTCCCAGGAGCCCTCGACGGGGAACAAGCGGCACTCTGATCTGGCCAGCTTGGGAGAGTAAGTGACGGCCACTCGGGGGGGCTCGTAGTCAATGTTGAGACCACGGCACGACCGGGCGACTTCGACGGCCGGGAAGAGCTCGGCCTTCTTGACGGCGCTGACGTTCTTCCCCACGGCTGCCACGAGAGCCCTGAACGACCCATCCGACTCGTCGAGGGCCTTCCACAAGGGTACGCGCACAGGCAGAGCGTTGGCGAACTGGCCGACGCATGCCCCCATTTCCCTCGGCCGGCTGCCAAAGCCCACCGCCAGCATCTCGTCTTTGCGAAACTGGGGCCTCTTCTTGTCGACCACGAGCAAGCCGACCAGGGCGGTGGCCACGCGGAACCAAGAGGTCTTGAACATTTGGCTCCAGACATCGAGTTCCTTGTCATTGCGTCAGATGTGCAGTCCAAACCCGGAGAGGAGTTGCGGTTTCGTGTCTGGGTTTACTCACGGACTTGGGAAACGTGCACCAGCTGTCAATCTTGCGATAGCTTGCGTTGGTCGTGCTGGGCTTCGATACTTCTTTCGACCAGGGGGTGTTGCTTTGGTCTCGCACCTGGTCCATGAGAACCTTTTGGTTATCGAGATATGCTTGCGATCTCGCCCAAGCTCGCTGGAAGGAAAACATGATATGAGCTGACTGTCAATAATCGCTACACCAGATCAATTCTCACCTCTGCCATGTGCATGGCGTTGAACTGCACCGCCGGCGGCAGGACAGCATCGGGATCCTCAAGCAGCTCGAGAAACTCTCGAGACAGGTTGGTCATGGACTGGCCGTCGACGACAATGTGGTGGCCGACAATGTAGACCCTGAAAGCCCTTGGATCCTGCAATATCACCCACCGAGCGGGTAGTTGATGCTGCAGTGCAAAAGGGGTCCGCAGGATGCGCGTCATGGCGTGCTCGGCAATCGGGGATGTCTCGCGGTACACGATGCGGACTTCGGGGTCGACGTCCTCAGCGGCATACTCTTCGAGGTGAGGCTTGCCATCCACCACGGCAATTTTGGAGCGCAGCACAGCATGGCGCGCCGTAAGCTTGTGGATCACTGCATATCTTGGTTAAAGGGGGTTTGATTCCATGCGTCAAACGTTGAAGATTCCAGGACGGGTTTCGCTTACCTTGAAGGATGTCGGTGATGCTGGGCGGCGCCACGTTGGATCCTCTACTCAGCAGATCCCACTCCAAGGTGAGGTTGTACTGTGTGCCGGCCGGGCTCATCTGGAACTCGATCCACATGCCTTCTTGACTCTTGGTCAGCGGGTAGACGCTTCGGGGGATGCTCATCTCCCGATGCGCCGAGCTCGGAACCGGCTCTTTGCTGTTGCTGGGCGGTCCCGAGAGGAGACACATGTCATCCTGGTAGAGGGACATGATGTCGGAAGCAAAACACACACCCCCAGCTTTTTGGCTGTGTGATTGAGGCGAAAGAGAGGAGCGTGAAACAGCAGGGGTGAGTAATGGGCTTATATGAAAACTGGCCACGAGGCCGTAACGAGAGAATCAAAATTAACCAGGAAAAGGGCTCAAGAGAAGAGAAGGATCCTCTGAGAGACGCGGATGTGTGGTAGATATAAGAGTTCGGGTGGACAGGCCAAGTCAAACAAGCTTGGTGATGGTGAGAGCGCTAGTTTACAACTAGATGAGTCGGCACCTCTTGCTCGCTTGAAGATCGGAAGTACGAAGTACGTAATGCCGAGTTCCAGAATAGAATCCGGATCTTACGTCTTCTATAGTCTGATGAAAGCGATATTCTTTGCTCTAGAATCGTTCTGGAATGGTTCGCAAGGCAGGTTCCTGACCCAGACATCTGTGCGGGATAAATAGTCAAGAGCTGACAGCAGGGGGGTGGGCGTTTGAATCTGCAGGAGATTCTCTCAGAACCACGTGGTTGCGGCGGCAAAGATGCGTTCAAAGGTTCCCGGGAAGCTGTCATGTTGGGCCGTGGACACGAAGAGCAGCAAGAGCCGGCAAGCCGAAACTGCTGACCCCCACGCCGGCTCTCCATACGAAGTCAAGATCACCGTTGAAGCAACAAGTACATGGAGAGGCAGAACAAGCAAGGGGAGACAATGATTGCTGCTGCCTAGGCCGGCCGCAAACGCCCATCAGGGGGGGAGGCCGAGATGCTTCACGTTGGACTCGCCCGCGGGAGCCAGTCGATGCTGCCCCGCTCCCACGCGGAGTATGAATTGCATACTCTGTACCGAACACCTCGAACAAGCCCTCGGATTCACTACATGGGCCTGCAGGTGGTGCGTTGGTGGGCTCGCGTGGCCAGGCCGCAGGCCGTGACAGACGTCAGCAACACAGGCACGCATCTGGAGACGAAATTTTTTCTCCCAGTTCCTTATGCTGTGCGTGGCCTGATCTGTGCTTGTTGCTTGGACGGAACACTCGGGGGTTGTTGCTTGCAGACTCCCTTTTCTGGTTCAAGCTAAGTTGCCTACCGGGCTCTTCCAGTATATTCTCCTTCCTTCGTGTCGATCCATGAGGCGATACAACCAATGGGCGAGTGGTGTGATTCCACCCTGGGTTTGTGTTGCAACGCCAAGCAGACGGACAGGGGCTGTCTGTGTACAAGGCTGAGAAGGCGTTCGTCCTACAGCAAGGAGGAGGCACCAGCGGGGGACGGAACTCGAAAAGGATGCCATTGCATCGACTTGCGGTTCCTCGCGGTTCCTCAGCCATGACGCAACTGTCTGTAGCCAGTCGTGGAGCTGACCAACAGATGCCCGCCTTCAAGGCAGCACCTCACGTTTGCTCGAGCGATCCCCCCTTCCCCCTCGATCGCAGCCTCCGTACGTCGGTCAAGGAATCGATTACCTCTTTGCGCATCGCGTAGCTCCGGCTCGGAGCATTGGCAACGGCCCGATGCCAGCAACCTGTCAAGCCCCACGGCAAAGTTGTCCGGGCCCGGCCCCACGGCCGTAGACAGATTAGCTTCCGGTGGAGGAGGCTGCTGCTGGTCCCCGGCTGCTTCTGTGAGTAGGCCGTGGACAAGGGGGGTGACAGGACAGTGGAGACGTCGGGGCTCCTCCAAAGCCCCATCCAGTCAGTCCTCCACCATGGGCTCGCCTGGGGGCGCCGCCGTCGGACTCACGTCGTCGGGTTCGCGCTGTTGACGGCCGAAGGTGCCGGAGCGGACGGGGCCGAATGCACCTTTGTGGCCCTGATGCTAACTTTACGTATTGCGATGTAGAACCGGACCGGGGCCGTGGCATGGGTACTGTTTCTTGGGCGGCTCACAGGGATGTACGCGTATATGTGTGTACTGACGGTTTGCCGTTGCAGTTGAGTGTCTATGCCTAAGCCGACCCAAGCCATCTTGCCCAGCACGCCGTTGCTTCCTCTCTACGCATACATGCAACGCTTGAGCTTGCCCCTGAGTTTGCCCCTTGGCAGTACAGGGGAATACTCTCCACACCACAGCCATCACTCTTGCAAGGAGGCTTGGCACATTCATGGGCCTCATCTAGGCAATGTCCTTGCGAGCACGATGGCGACGGCCGTCCGAATCCCCGCGAAGTCTGCCCATCCCCTGTTAACAGGCGCAAGTCCAACAAGCCACTTCTCATTTATACATATGCGTAAGTCGACTCACGGAATCCGTCGATCATACAGCCCTTCATGCCAGACTCTAGATAGCCAGCGTAAAGTACTGCCATCATTGGAAGATGGTTCCGGGCATGGGTTGAGGCCGCTTGTTGTGTACTCGGCCAAGGCGCAGACTTGTGCGCCGTCGATTGCATCCCGCCCGGCGTCATTCATCAATTGATGGGCACAGGGGTTTTCATTCCTCGAGCCGGCGTCGTGACTGCTCCACAAGCTTCTTTTGTTTAAGCTTATCCCTTGCCAAAAGCCTCGTGTATGGATGATACGGTCGGACGGCGCCCGGCGAATGAGGACAGCCATGGGCTCATCTCAGCTCGGGGCCGGCGAGTTGCCAAGCACAACATGTCTTTGTTCCGGCACGGGTCGGGCTCAAGTAAGACGGTGGAAGCGAGAACTGGCTCGCCGGATTCAAGGATGGTGCTTGTCGTTCACGGACAGCCCACACGTCAGACTGCCGTGGCACACACGTACGGTACACATGCCGAGGGCAGAAGGCTCCCTTGCTTCCGAATAGCAGCGCATGTCTCAACAATCTCCGCCACGGCAACACGCGGGATAAGAGTATCCGTGTGTGTCCGTCGAGTCATCTGATGCCGCCATGCCCGGCGGCCAAGCAGCCACTTGTTTGCTGGGTTCTTCGCCCAACCATGGCGGCGCAAAAGATCCCATCGACATCCAACAGCAAAAGTCTCGGAGCAGTTCCGGCAACAAGAGCAGGGGAAACCCTGTGCCCCTTTTTCGGTGGGCCGGGGCCTTGTCATAAGTTACAACATGTATGAAACAGTAAGACCAAACTGCATGCCATTCATTGCCTCTTCAAGCCGCTCCCAGCCATCTGAAATCTCTGTCGACGGCTTAGCTTACTCTTGTTGGTCGCCAATTCGCCGTCGAATCATGTCGTCGGCGTGTGCTCACCCAGGATGCTGCCCCAGCGTACCTATTCTGTAAATTACGTCCCCAGTCAAAAAGGCCCATGATAATAAGCCAGGGCCCTCGTCTCCAACGCCAAGAAACATGACGGAACCCACTCTCCTCGTGTTGCCAACGCCATCTTACTGCATGTGCATCCATGAATGTCCTCGGCCGTCCACACCGGAAAAGCCTGCCCCGGACGCTGAGGCTCAAGCCCGGATCGGGCCGGCCTGTTGGTAAGGGTTACGTTATGAATAGAGCACGCCGTACGGATACTGCTGCCGGGTCGCTGCCAGGGGCAAAGATGACACGGACTGGGTCCTCTCCGTCTCTTTCCGAGCCGTGAGACGACGGGGCAGTTGCAGCTGACAGTGCTGCGAATGTGTAGAAGAAAATAGACGAGGATAAAACAGCGCCTTGTTGGCTATCAAGCAAGGCGTTGCTCCCCACTGTTAGTTCGGCACAGCGGTCTGCTGGATAGTCCAAGGCGTGGCACAGCTGCATGTTATGTTATGCATGTGTTGGAAAACCACCGTGGCGTGCAGACAACAAGGGAAGTGTACAGACACTCCAGAAAGCGTTCTGCAAGTGGGCCCTATACCTCGTTGAGGTGCTGGTGGCAGCGTGGCAGCACGCGTTGCGTTGCTGATGTCTGCCTACCTGGCTCGCCGTCATACGCTTTCTCCCTCCCCCTTTCCGCCTCGGAATCCAGTTGCTGTTTTGGCCCCCGACAACGTACATCAAACCGTAGAGACTTGGAGACATAAGACCTCAAACCTACCTTGAACTGCTGTTTGCCAGCCCACCAGCGTCGATCCAGAATGGCGGTCGCTCACACGCCGCCCAAGGGCGCGTCCATCGCGACCCTGACCATCGTGTAAGTCCAACAAAGACGTCGACGAAGCCAAGGAGCAGGGCTTACGCTCTGCACACCCGCCGTCGACGACGCAGATGCCTCGTCTTCTTCGTCGACATTGCCAACATTGGCATGGCAAACATTGCCCTGCCCACCATCCAGACCCAGCTCGGCTATGACGACGGCTCTCTGCAATGGGTGCTCACTGCCTATGCCCTGACGGTGAGACTCTGCTTGGCCCAGAGCCCGCCGACATGACCAAACTTGTTCCATTACATGGAACCCCTTGGCTGACGATGCCCGCCCCTCGTCCAGTTTGGAGGCTTCCTCATGGCCGGCGGTCGACTGGGCGACATATTTGGCCACAAGCATGTCCTGGTATTCGGCATGACGCTCTTCAACATAGCCACGCTCGTCTGCGGTCTCGTCAACCACAGGATCGGCCTCGTCGTCGGCAGAGCCTTCCAAGGTATGACCTTTCAGTACATTGTCTCGGCTGTCAGAGAGTGAGAGAGTGAGTGAGAGAGTGAGAGAGTGAGAGAGAGAGAGAGAGAGAGAGAGAGAGAGAGGGGCACCAGGGGCTAATCTCATACGTCCGCGTGCGCCTCGGCAGGACTTGCGGCCGCATTCACCATCCCCTCGGCCCAGTCGCTCGTCGCCCTGTCCTTTCAAGATCCCCAGGCCCGCGTCAAGGCCTTTGGCGCTTGGGGCGCTGCCGGATCGACGGGCTTTGTGTAAGTGCCCTCACCCGCATCGCCATTTGTTGCTGCCGCTGACCATTTGCCCGTAGCTTCGGCCCCATCATCGGAGGCCTCTTCACCTCGCTGGTCTCCTGGGAATGGGTCAGTGAGGCTGAGCACTCGGCGGACTTGCCAGCCTGCTAAGCTCATGTAGATCTTCTGGTTCAGCCTCATCGTCGAAGGCGCCCTCGAAATCGCCGCCCTCGCCCTCCTCTTCACAAATGGCCTCCCCGGCCCGTCCCCCTCTCAACCCGACAGTCCCAGCCCCTGGTCCAGGTTGCACATCCGCCTCGACGTCCTGGGAACCTTCTTCTCCGTCTCCGGCCTGATACTGCTCGTCTACGGCCTCACCACCGGCAACGTCCACGGCTGGAACAAGCCCGACGTCATCGCCACCCTCGTCGTCGCCGTCTGCCTGCTCGCCGTCTTTGTCTTCGTCGAGCTCCGCGTCTCGTCGGACCCGATCCTGCCGCGATACATGTTTGACGATAGAGTCAGGGTCTTGGGCTGTGTCGCTGCCGCCTTGACGTATGCTGTGTGGCAGGGCAGCAACTATCTCTTGACGCTTCAGTTGCAAAGTAAGATGATTCGTCTCGCTCCCCTTCCCTCTTCCCCTCAAGGCTCGCACGGCAGCTCACCAGCATCAAACTCATTCTTGCCATCAATAGGCTTTGGCTTCTCGGCCCTCTCCACAGCCGTCCGCTTCCTCCCGCTCGGCATCACCGCCATGGTCGTCAACTTTGTCATCCCCATGCTGCTCCGACCCGTCGGCTCCCGCAACCTGCTCCTCGCCAGTTGGGCTCTCTGCATCGCCGGCCTGGTCCTCCTCTGCCGCATGGCATCGGCCGACGACTACTGGCGGCTCTGTCTGCCCGGAATGATCCTCTACATTGCCGGCGTCGGCACCGTCTATTTCGTCGGCAACGTGACCGTCGTTGCCACGGCCTCTGAGCAGCTTCAAGGCACCGTCTCAGGCGTGTACAACGTACGACGTACCAGAAGCTCCCCCTTTCAGCCTTGATCATGAGAAAATGCGTGAACCAGTCCTCTGACCTTGGCCTTCCGCAGATGTTCTTGAACGTTGGTGGTGCTGTTCTTGGCGTCGCTGTCCTCACCGTCATCTCCGACTCCGTCACCTCCAACCGTGGCGGCAAACAAGATCCCGGTGCCCTTCTCGACGGCTACCGCGCCGGCTATTATGGCGCCATTGCCATGGCAGCCCTCGGTCTTGTCCTTGGTGTCTTCTTCAAGCCCAGCAGGGACAACGGCGAGCCAAGGGACGGGAATGGCGAGTCTCCTCAGCCGCCCGGGGACGCAGAAGCAGCCCAAGGGCAGAAGGCGTGATCAGCGATGCTGCGAGGAAGACTGTCCAGCTTCGTCGTTATCTTGTCGGCCCCTGCCATGCATGCTCATGGCGACGGGGTCTTTTTATCTTCAGAAAGGCAATGTGGCTTTCTACAAGCCGCCGTCGAGCCTCTCATACGACTCTGGCGACGCAGCGATTTGTATATACCCATGTAGGATACGTGAGATTCGATAGGCCACAGTCCGTTCCAGGGGGGAAACAAGCCAAATATGTCTTTGTCTATATACCCTCACTGCGCCCCAAACATCAATTCATGCTGTGTGTATCCCGTTAGGCGTCCAGGTCAATTGGAGGACCCCGTATTCGCGCCGTTGAGCCTGCGTATTATTCCTCGCACGCCGTATCGAACCCCGCAAAGACAAAAGCACAAGCCTCGACCTTCTCAGTGGCCACCTCCGCTTCTGCTGGGACTCCTGTGGGCCTTGCGACCGGACCTTTCCCGCACAAAGTTCCTGCTCGATTCCACGTCATATCCGCAGGTGTTGACCAAGTAGAGGACCCTGATTCCATGGTTGTCAGCGTTGTCATCATGCCAGACATCAAGGTGACGTGACTTACTGTTCGTCGTCTACTTCCTGCTGCTGCAGGTCCTCGAACCCTTGCTGGCTCTCCATCCACGCATGCGCCCGCTCTCTGGGGTTGGTCTTCTTCACCCAGAGGCGGAAGCTGCCGGTGACAGGTCTATGGTCGCTCACTCGCACTTCATGCCTCTTGTAGTCCAGCTGCTGGACCCGTCCGCGACCTCTGAATAGGAGCCGGTCACACCACGCCGGGCTCCTCTTCTTCTCGCTTGTGTCGTAGTTGTCCGTGCCCACGTCGTACTTGTACGTGGGGGCGAACGTGATGGGCAGCTCTTCGAATGCGCGCAGTCGGAACGCTGGATTGCGCCGACGGGCGATGAGAAGTTGATCCCGCTCAAGAAGTTTCGCCAAGTTCTGCTGCTTGACAGCCTTGACAACCGTGTCCCGAGACATGGTGTCGATGCGATAATTCAGGTCGCCGTTCAGAACACACAACTCGTGGTCCAGGACCATGGTGCCATCGCCGCCTCCGGTGAAACTGTCGATGCGGACCACCGGGTCGCGCTCCGCGGGAAACAGGCTGGCTTCGAGGATGGCAGCAATATCGTTGTGGCGAGAGCTCGACTGGGATTGCCCGGCCGCCAAATGACAGTTGATGAAGCAGAGCGAGGTGTCGTCGACCTGGAAACGAACGACGACGGCCCCCTTGTTTCCGTGCAGTCCGCCCATGCCCCGTTTCACTTCGGCGGCGCTCAAGTTGCGTATCCGCTCCCGGAGGCAAGACTTGACAAACACACACGTGAAGAGACCCACGAGAGGAGCCGAATGTAGGAGGTGGTACAGGTCGCCCGCGGGCATGTAGTCGTCCAGGGTCTTCATCAAAAAGTCGCGCCAGTCGCGGTATTGGTGGCTCATTCGCTCCTGGTCCGTCCCTTCCTTTTTCTTGGACGACTTGAGAAACCGTTTGGCCGTGGCCGTCTTGTCTTCCAGGTCGACGAGTTCTTGAAATCCGAATATAAACATGTCGGGAGATCCGCTCGACTGCACCAGCTCCTGGAAAAAGGCAGCATCTCCGTCCGAGTAGCGGAGGCCGTGAGGCGTCGATGCCCCGGCATTCCACGTCATGACCATGGCATGGAGCTCTTCAAAATCGCAATAGTCGACGTCCTTTGACTTCATGTCCTCCTCGAGCCAGTCGTCTTGCAACAGGCCATCCCAAACCTTGAACTTGTTATCGCCCCCGAGAGTAATGACTTGCAGCCGATCAAGTCGGTACGAGCTCGCCGGGTCGGCCTTCATCTTCATAATGGGCTGGTCGTGCGCCTGCCATTCCTTTTTGACAACCCAGGGGCTTTCTCCCATGTCGTACACGCACATCTTGCCTGTGTTGTATGCAGCCCACAGATGCAGGCCGACGCCTGCCAGCGCGTTGATTTTCCACGAGCTGATACTGAGCACGGCCAAGCACGAGTAGTCGCCAGTCGAGAAGATGCTGACCTTGCCGTCGAGGTGACCGAAAAAGACCTTTCCTGGGTGCGTCTTGACCTCTGTGCCCGCGGTCACCTCACCTGCGCCGTCTGCAGCAAGAGGCCTAACCAAGACTTGGAATGGCCGGCTCCCATCCAGCGACGGCGCAAATACGCGAATGGCCTTGCCGGCTGCGTGCCACAGTTCGTCGCCAGCCACCATCGAAAACGTGTGTCCTCTCGGTAGCTTGTTGGTCTGATGAGGATGGCTGTTGAGATTCGGCACTCCATCGACGCCGGGTCCCCACACGTGAAACGTGCCCGCCTCGTCAAAAGTCCAGAGCTCGTTAACATGGCGATACATCCTGATGACGTCGCACCGCCCGTGTACGCCGCCTCTGTTGAGCAGGATGCGCTGCGTGGACACTTCGACCTCCATGATTTCTCCCAAGTTAGTACCAATCCACAGCACGGAGCCCTCCGTATCAGCGCTTGGCGCGGGTTTAAAGGCAACCACAGTCGCCTTGACGCCCTCGGTATGAGCCAAGCTCATAACTAGCTCACCGTCCAAGAGGTTCCAGACGCGCGTTAACTGGCCGCTTGTGCAAACGAGCTCTCCGCAGACATCAAATACTCGGGGATCAAATCGCGTTTGTATGTCGTGACAGCCTTTCTTGATAAAAGGCGGACGGCGATTTGCACTCGCTCCGTCGGGGTACGTCGTTACCACGCCGAGAGGTGTAGAGGATGAAGCAGATTCGGGGACCAAGCCCGAGAAGGCGGACTTGAGCGTGGCAGTCATGGGCGCTGGCTTGCTGTTGTTTTCTGGACGTCCTCTTTCGGGTACTGCATCTCTGGGTCTGGTGTCGACTGTCTGTCGAGTTGGGTGGACAGCGAATTGACGGGCAATGGGTTGAGATGCAGAACGATTTGAAGGCGCCGGCAAGACACGGGTATCAAGATCGGGAGTTGCGTGTTGCGCGGTGGTCCTAGGGGGCCTCAGGGAGGCCTCGGCGATGGGGGTAGTAGGAGTCTTTTGCTGAGCGGATTCGGGATTCGAGGGTATTGACTGGTAAGCAACTCGGTGATCACTGGCACGCGGAGAGGTCATGACGCTTCTCCCAGGACTACTTGGAACTTGGCCCTGTTCCATGCGCTTCATTGCAATCGAAGGGTGCACTGGAGGAGGCTCGAAACCATCAAAGCCCAACTTGGGCTTGCTGGGAATGTCGCTATTGCCTCGCGGTCGAGGCCGCGTTGGCAACTCTGGCGGCGCCTCATCGCCAGCCTCGCCAGGGCTAGTGGGAGGGCTGCTGAAAGGAGACGTCTCCTGGGAGATCACTGTCCGGTTCAACATGTTGCTGCCACGGGGTTCCGGCAGGCTCGAGGGCTGTTGGCGGACGCCCAAGGGTCTGTTTGAGCGTGGGGCCGGGGGTAGCGGAGCTTGCTTGACGTCCTTTTCCCTTCGAATCTCGCCGGAGCGCCGTGGAGGAGGGGGGGATGGAGGATTCGATATACCAGGGCGAGGCGATTTCGGCGCCAAAAGGGGCAGAAGGGGAGTCAGCGGCCGGCTGGGTAACTTGATCGGGTTGGGAGGTCCGCCGACGCCTTCGTGACTCGTCGTGGACACGGGGTCAAGGAATGGAGAATGGCTTCCGGGCTCGAGGGGGTTCGCTCGGCCCTTGGGGGGTGACTGCGGCGGCTGAACCGTTACGGCCGGTGTGTGAATGGCCAGTCCCTGCGGTTTAGCCAGGGGGGTGGGCCTGGTCGAGGGGAGCGACGGTGCTGGTGCGTCGTTGTCTTGCGGCGTCGAGGCTGCGGGCCCATCTTGAACCGTGATGGACGGCTTGGTGGGAGTCTTTGGTGGGCCAGCGGCAGCCTCACTCGACGGCTTGAAGTTGCGTAGCCTCCCAGGCTTCGGGGCTGGAGAGATTGGTCGCACGGGAGGCTGTTCTTGTTGCTGGGCAGCTGACATGTTCTCGAAGCGGGCGAGCAGAGACGAAACCGGCTTCTAGCAGACTGTTAGGAGGCGTACTCGCAGGGACAGAAATCGGACTGCAACTGACGATGGAGGAGCCATCAGGCCCGTCACCGGTAGAAAGGTTCATGGTGGAGGCAGAGGATGTCTTGACGGCGGGGTGGCGGGGTGACGAAGCCCCCTACCCATGCCTTTGTGCCGCCGTTTTTCGCAAGGACATCAACAGAGGACGACGGTGCTCGGTCAAAGGTGCCTCGAGGCGTGCGTTGATGGCAGCAGGCGGCCGTGGTAGACTCTCAGGCTGGCGACGCTGATGACGATGACGAGCCGGCGCGTTTTGGTTGGGGAGCGAGGGACTGGTGGGGGGGAAGCGGGTCGGAGGCGGAAAGCCTGGCGATCATATGGCATTCTGATTCTCGAGGTGGCGGTTGCGAGGCTACAGGCTCAGGTCCTGTAGCCAGGTGGTTGCGTAGGGTGCGGGAGAGGCGATGGCATCCATGGCTGTGGACATTATGGTGGTTTGGCGGGCGTTGATCGAAGTCCCCTGCTATGTACTCTTTCTTAGCGTTATTTTGGGGAGGGAGTACAGTAGGGGGGGGCTGGCTATTGCTGTTAGTGTTGAACTGAATCTAGCCAGCCGAGCTGTCCGACTGTACCTGGATACACAGGTACCCCCTAGTGAGCTCCAGCGGACGGAAGACTCGCTGCTCACCCCGTGACAGGTATTGCAGCCCCACCGACTGGAGGTTGTCGACTAGCGCCCGGGAGAATGCATTGGAGCCGAAGCTGAGGCCCGACACGCAGCGTCCATGAGGCCATACCAGTCTTTGCTCTTTGTCCATTTGTCTCTCCAACGCTTCTGGCTCACGATTATACAGCGTGCCCAAGCCATCGCCGGCAAAAGCTGCTTACACGTGGCTCGGCATGTGGGTGCTGTCTAGTCCAGATTGACGGCAACTTATTGGTCAACTTTGGAATAAAAATCAACTCCAACATGCGACCCGTAGATGCTGGTCTTTCAACGGCGTCTGTACAAACACCGTCGACGTCATATCTCAAAAGGCCCTGTATCCGTACCTGATGGTGCCCTGCAGGCATTGGCCGGCCCCGCCAGCAGCAGCATCAGGTGGGGGCTGTTGCACCGTCTTCAGACCTGAGCGAGTTACCTCATCCACGACTTTTCTGCATCCTCCACAGACGTGCCTGCGCCTATCCCAAACACGCTCCAACCTCTTTGCGCCCGACCGCTTAGTGCCGTCCGCGATCGATTCCGTCGGCTTTACGTGCATCCTCCTAGGACATTGTCAGTATGAACACGGTAAGTGCCGTCTTCAAGTCCCGCTTGCTGCCGGCAGCCCACTGACCAGCAACAGGTCCGGTCTTTCTGGTTCGCCCCGGTTTCGCCGCTCTTCCCGTCGTCGCGTCGCTGACTTCTTTTGCAGGCTTGGCTGGGGCTCCCTGTGTGTCGGTATGCTTGCTCTCTTGACCCTCTCTCGCTGCGCTTTGCTGACTCCATCGTAGCCGGCGCTGGAGCCTATTACTTTGCCAAGCGAGAGATCAACGCCGACCGCCAGGCCAAGCTTGAGCAAGCTCGCAAGAAGAGCGACAACATCCGGTCGCTCGAGTACGCAGCCGCCGATCCCGGCGCCTCGTCTGGTACGAGCAATGGCGGTCCCGCGCGGACTGATAGTGCAGGTTCGCCGAGTCAAGAAGCCAGCAACGACCCGGCGCCAACGAGACATGCACCAGCCACCGAGTCGCAACGCGTGACGGAGAAGAGCAAATACGAGAGCAACGCACCCTACCGCAGCCCCAAAGGCGATCGGTTCTCGTAGCACAGGAGATGCGACGGGGAACCAAACTGGCTGTAGAAAAGCCCGGTATTTGAACTAGACACTATGCTGGGAGTTGGCGTCTATTGGAAGCCCCATGGGTATGAGTATTCGCCCGTGTCCATGGGGAAAGCAGAAAGAAAAAAAACGGAATGTCTTCCCTCACAGACTCCATGCCCGAGTAACTACCTCACTTCTCGTGTCGGAGGCTTGACCCAGGTTATGCAAAGATGACGCCCCGACGTTTATCCGCCCCACCATGAGCTCTACGTAACCAGCAGCTGCACATCCCCAGCTTTCATTCTTCAGCATCATCACCTTTTCCGCAGCTTCATTTGCCTCCACTGAGCGTTTCCACGCGACGCAGCTCGCTGGAGCGCGTCTTGCCAGCGATGGTGTCTACTCCAGACCTCGTCGTTGCCAAAACCGCGCTCACGGCCACGCTTATACGCGCCGATCCCAATGCCTTGCACCGTGGCGATGTTGCGCGGTTCCTCGAGTTGCTCGACAACACTCTCGACGAGTGCTCGCGTCCCAACGTCCAGGTTCGCTCACCACTTTCTCTTCCGTCATGCTTCCGGCAAACTGACCAACCTGTGCGTTCGCAGAAATGTAAGAACTGGATCATTGCCAACGTCGTGCCCTCGGGCCGCCGGGCCGCCACCTTGGGCAAGTATCTCGTCGCCCTCTCGGAGAGCATGGACATCGACTTTGACCGACCGAGCGTCATGAGACGAAGGCTGCACGTACTCTTCATCGCCAGTGACGTGCTCCACCACGTCATCACCCGTCAACGAAACGACGAACTCGCACGATCCTGGGACTCGCATTTGCCTGCCATGGTGGCTACCGCATCCACCTTTGAGAAATGCCCCAAGCACTTGACAAAAGTGAGGAACCTCATCTCTCTCTGGGAGGAGCGAGAGTATCTGCATGCTGCCTTCATAACTCGACTCAGGGACTCGTTTGCGCAGGCGTCGGACAAGAATTCGGGCACCCGCATCCAGATATCTAAGGAGGCTCTCAAGCTCGCCAAGGAGGCCCCATACACCATGCCCTCCTCCCACGGTGACCCTTCGACGGCCTGGAACCATCTGCCTGCCACGTCTTGGCTGGTGCAGCTGGCTCCAGATTCGACCAGGCCTGTTCGTCGTGATTATCTACGCCCCTCGCAGCTCACACCCGGGCGCCTCCAGGAGGATCTAATCAATCGCGTCAAGTCCGCACTCTCGGACGTCGAAGCTTTGTTCCAGGACGAGCATGTACGGGAGAAAACTGGTGCCGATTTCAATCTGCTGGGTGAGGTGCAGAAGCAAGGCGACTCAGCCGACGATGCTGCAAGCATCGACACATACTGGGGCTGGTCACGGCCACTCTGCCATCGCACCAAACAGCGGCGCCGGACCGCAGCCAGCAATCCCCCACCGGCTCGACGCTCACGCTCGGGATCGAGAAGCCCGTCCCGCTTGAGCTCCGCGAACCGTTCCCGTCGCTCGCCGAAGCGGTTCAAGTACTCGTCACGCTCCCAGAGCCGCGACAAAAGCCGCAGCCCCGGACGTCGTAACAGCTCCAGCGGCCTTCACCACCGCGGCTCGTGCCGGGATCGCCAGAGAACCAGCTCGTACAGCCGCAGCCGTAGCCCGGCGCCGCCTCGTGGCCGTTCTGACAGGCGACGCTCGTATACCAACTCTATGTCGCGTCCATCCTCGCGCTCCTCCACGCGCTCCGGGTCTGGACCACCTTGCCACCGCCCGTCTCCTTCGCCTTCCTCTTACAACGATAGCGACCGCCGGGGAGTTCAGCAGCCACCTAACCCCCATGCTCCTCATGGCTTTCCCGCCATGCCCCAGGGCCCAGGAGGCTTCCCCGTCCCCCCGCCGCCCCCCCCTGTCGGCTACCAAGGCATCTTCCCGCCGCCACCCCCTCCCCCTCCACAAGGCTGGAACCCCAATCAGTCTGGCTTCGTGCCCCCTCCAATTATGGGAGGCGGATGGGGCGCCGGTCCCGTGCCGCCGCCCCCGCCTCCTCAGTCATCGCCATACGACGCGCAGCAGCAGTACGGCGGGCGAGGCTCTGGTTGGTCTGGCGGCGGCGGTCGTGGATACCGAGGCCGTGGACGAGGCGGCAACGGGCGCGGAGGCTACGGCTACGGCTATGGCTACGGCGGCTACGGATCGCGATGAATCGCTGCGAGGTCCATTTCCTCGAGCGGCCGACGTTGCACAGAGACGTTACGTGGCGCGTGCGCCCACCAAGACGATATATCGAGGACCCCCATCTCTCCATCTCTCCCGAGCCATGGATAGCAACGGCAGCCAGCAGCTAACAAAAGGCTCGACTGCAGGAGGCGTCCTCGCCATATCCATTTCTTCCTTTTTTTGCTTGTAGTATTTAAAGACGTGGTCCCATTTCTGCGATTGCAAGGGACATGTCACACATCTGGGACGCAAACGACAGCATGAGGGGATCGCAGACCGCTATGAGGCCATAGCCCGGGCTTCTCGCTGCTGGATGGCATATAGTACCGCTAGGCCCCCGCGAGGATACATCACCGACGAACGCTCACACGAGCTCATCATGTACGAATAGTGGCGTCATAGAACAAGAAAAGTGGTGTGTAATGTGACAACTAGCAAGCATCATTGGTTTTGATGTGTCAACCGTGAACATCCAGTGCCCTGGAAAACCATCTCGCACACAGAAAAAAAATTGAAAAGGGTGACAGACATGAAAATAAAAAGTCTATCCGACTCGAATCCGACCTGTTGGACATCTACCAACACCACGCAACAAAGGAGGGAAGGGGGAAGGCTGTAGAAATCCACCCCGCAAAGGGGACAAACCCATCCCTCCCCTGCCCAAGCCACTTCTCAATCCCGCGGGCGCCAGCCATTTCGCAATGCTGGCCCCTCCTCCCCGTGTGCCTGCCTGCTCCCCAGACGCCTTTTTCCCCTCCTTGAACGATGCTTTTGGTGCCCTCGAGAATGGAGAAACCGCAATAGGGAAAGAAATCAAGCAGGAAGCGTGCCCCAGTGTGTGCGACACCATACATATCAAGGCACCTAATACGCATCCCCGTATTCAAAGGTACAATGAGGGAGGGGGAAACCGATGGGGCCTTTGTTCTCGAACCATGGCACTCTTCGGATGACAGGCAAATGAAAAATTAAAACGAGAGAACATATCAGCCGTCAGACATGAACTTCTTTTTCCTTGTGCCGTTCGTTGGGCATTGACGATGCGCAGTGATCGTGATAAAACATGTCTGAGAGACGCGAAGCAAGGGTCGAGTAGCCGCGCGGGGGCTTGGTGTCTGCCAACGCATTGTTCGCCGTGCAACGGCTGCTCATCAAGCTCGCAAGCACGCTCCCCTGTCCCTACTCTCAGATATATGGTGTTGTGGTAATGTCTTGAAAACGCTCGAATTGCATGCAGCACCCAAGCCAGGGGGTGTGGCCAGCTGTCCCGCCCGACTTGCTACGCCATGTTATGTAGCCTCCTCACAGCCAAGGTCGCAGACGCTCCGAGTGGAAGCGGTCATCGACTCTTGGTGGAGCTGGTGGAGCTTCTTCGCTCATGGCCGCTGGCTCGTCGACCAGCAGCATCCTGGAGCTTGAGAGAATCCAGCCGTTTCTGGTTATCCTCACTGACAGGGTCGACTTCGTCGACTCGTGGCAAAGTTCCAGCCTGTGCAAGGGCGGGAGAGTCGGTAGCATCACCCCTGGCGGACGCTCTCCGTTGATTCGCCTTCTCGCCTAGGGCCGCCCATTTGCGCTCTCGCAGGGCTTCTCGCTCGGCAGCAGTATTTTGCTGTTCGGTATAATCGTGGGAGCAATCGTCGAAGAGCTGAGGATTAATTTCCATAAAGAGCTTCATGGCATTGTACACCATGCCGTGGATTGTCCTAATTCCCGTTAACCCTCTCACAAAGCAGCGGCGGAATCGAATGGAAACCGTACCTGTTCCAGTGGCCCTTGGAGTTCTCGTACAGCGGCGCAAACATGATGGGTAGGATGATTTCCACATTGTCACTCACGAGGTTGCAGAAGTATTCGTTGTTCCAGAAGTACAATGCGCGCTCGGCGACTTGGAAATGAGGGCTGGCGACAGACTTGGCCAGCTGGTGGAACAAAGGCTCTTGGACCTTTGCAAATTCGGCCGGGTCCATAACCTCGAAGATGTCCTCGACCTCGTTCAGGAACATGACTTCCTTGGTGCTATTGACCTTTGGCCAGTAGCGGAGAAGACCCAAGACGACCTAGGCTTCGTTAGCAAGGCGCGGTTTGCAATACCCACCAGAGGCTTCGTTTCAAACTCACCTCTTCCGTCAAAGACGCGTCCTTCTCCAGGAACTGCACGATGCAGTAGGCGAGCTGAGGGTGATACATGCTGAGGCTTTTGGGTTTGTGCAGGGGGAGCAGCACGCGGGTCAAGAAGATTTTGTGCTCTTCCTTTAGAGGCAGCGCAAAGCCATTGATGATGGAGCCCAAGATTTCCAAGAGTTCTGCAATGCCGTTGAACCGTTCCGTCTCGTACGTGAATTGGAAGAAGACGTTGTTGATTGACCGTCGAATAAAGGAGCGCAGGTTGAGGAACTTGCCGTAGATGCGGTGCAACGTCGTCTTCAAAAAGTCCCGCTCGCGTGGGTCCTCGGAGTCGAAGAGATCGAGTAGCTGCAACACGAAGCTATGGTCGATGTATGCCTTGGCAATGTTTGTGTTGAAGTCCTGGCTCTCGATGAAGCGCAAGAAGAACTCATACACAACTTGGATATGCGGCCAGGCGACCTCGAGAACCGGCTCATCCTCTTCCGGGTCAAACGCCTCGCCTTGGGGGTTCACCGGGGGCGGGATGGGCCGGAAGAGGTTTTTGGCAAACATGTCGACCACTCTGGGGTACATAGGCTCGGTGATGACTTGCCTATTGTTAGCGACATAATCCAGCAGCTCATGGAGAGCCAGCCGCTTGATCTCCTTGGCCTTCATGTCCCCGCTGGCGTCGTTGAAGTCGAAAATGACGTTGCACTGGTCAATCTTTTGCATGAACAGCTCCTGACGCCTGTTTGGTGGCACCTCGTGGAATCCGGGGAGCTTCTCGAGTTCCCGGTGGGCGGAGATGTCAAACCGAGAAGAGTGCTGTCGCTTGGGTGTTCGCAGCCCCTCGGGGATAGCATCGCGGTTATCGATGCCCCTGTGGATCAGGAGCGATTTCTGGCCGGCCTTGGGAGGGGCCAGGTCGTGAGGCATCGTCTCGGCAGCCCCAGGCGGGGGGAGATGCTGTTCACGAGCCAAGTTAGCGATTGGTGCGCTGGGCGAGCAGTTCCTGGCATGACTTACACCCGGAGTTGGGCTGATGACTACTGTGGGGGGCAGCCTGGAATTGCCGCCGCCGCCATTGGGACTCGAGGCGCCCCCCATCGAACCGAACCGCTCGGGAACATTGCCCGGCTGGGCGACGTTGGAGAGGTTCGAAGGCTGACCGGGAGGCCCGTGATCGCCTCCGTGGCCAGCGTTATTGGAGGGCAGGGGCTTGTTCCGAATGTCGTTGAGCGTCGAGGTCGAGGAGGAGGGTGTCAGGACAGGAGACTGGTTTGATGAATCTCGAGAAGACGGAGACGAGGTGCCTTCCTTGGAATCCTTATTCTTCTTGGAAGACTTGTTGGGGTCCTTGCCTCGTGAGAGCTATTGGGAGAGTGAGTGCTCTTGTCAGCCACTCTGCTCCATTCGAGGTGACCAGCTCGTTGGGGGGAGGTCCGAAGGGACTGGTACTCACGACTCTCTGGCTAAAGCGTTTCATCCTGGGCGGTGAGGATGCTTGGTTGACTTGGACGCTGCCAATTTGTGCACGAACGACGAAGACGCGGGGAAGCTGGACAAAAACGTAGAGCGCAAGCCCAGGGCAGGAGGTGTTGGGAAATCAGCGCGGCTGAGCCGAGAGACACTGCAGCGGCTGTGAGAAAGACGAAAGCAGAGGCGGCAAGGGAGCGAGGCGTGTGCGTCGAAGTTGACAACGGCCGCAAGACGAGGTCGATGACGAAGGATTGAAGAGGTCTTAAGGCTGGGCCCGGGATGGCGAGGCGGGCCGTTGGGGACGGATAGGGGTGGCGGTGATGGCCGACGGAGCTGGCGCGCCGCGAGAGAATGCGACGATCAAGCCTCGACACTACACTCGACACCCGCCACTACGGCGCAGCTGGGCCGATGGTGCCTGCGCCCTGCGTCGTGGCTACCGCCGGCAGTGTTGATGGGGGCAGTATCGCTGTTGCGGACAAGGTCGATGGATGTCGGTTGACGGGTGCCCAGACGCGCGCCGGCGAGGGGGGCGGAGACGAGGAGGGGCTGCTCGCGACTAAACTGAAGAGGATGGAGGTGGCCTCTGCTGTCGATGTCAGCAGTCAGCTGGACGGCCGGGAAAGAAGAAGAAAAAAAGGGGGGGCAGCCTTGACTGCAAGGTTGGATGGAATGAAGGGGCAATGACGAGCAACCGACAGGTAGGGGTGGAGGTTTGGCGCGGGGACAGAATGTGTGGTGCGTGAGAGAGAGGTGAAAGTGAAAGGGAGATGGGGAGGGCGGGTCTGGAAGGGTGGAATGCTGTTCTATCGCTGGTACATGGGGAATAGGTACCGTCTACTTCCCTCCCACCGCAGCAGCACAGGGCCACGTAGCGGACACCCGGTGAGCGGTTCTGGGAGCCCGACCTTGGCAGTCTGCGGGAGTCGGTGAGGCACAGGACTTGTATACCGCGACGCTCACCTGTGCACTGGAGGACTCAGGAGGTAGTACAGGCTCGAGTCCCTGGCCCGCCTCGTGTAGGGGTGTTTGTTATGATTGCCCGTTTAGCGCTGCGGCCAGCTGCCTGTCATGGCTACGGCTGGAGCCCTATTAGGTAAGGCACCCAGGCCAACAAGGCCAGGAAAGATGCCCAATAGTGTGGCTGACCTTTGATACCTCCAGCGGATGGCCGAATTGAGCTCCTCCAATGCCCTTGTGCCACACAGGAGAACAAGCTTGGCTGCAGCTCGACCGTCCTTGCTCCTCCTTTGCATCATGTCCCAGCCCAGCCAGAGGCGAAGTTCATTCAAGACCAAGACTTCCCGGACGGCAAGGTGAAGCTTGGATTTGCATCTCGGGTACTTTGCACCGAGTCTCGTGTACTTACAGCGGCTGGAGCAAGAACAGTGGTCGGTGCTCGGGTCCAGGGACCTTGGGCGCCTGTGCCTTTAGGGTCAGATGCACTGTAGCGGCCCTTGAGCGAGGGCGCAAAGGCGCACGCTCCACCGACCTGCTAGCGGCCAAGTGCCGAGTGTGCTTTCAACGTCCACGCACGATAGCTTCTTCTTCTCCACTGCAGAACTTGACGTCGATCTGCGTATCTGGCTTCTGACTTCAACCACAGCTCCCACTCTTTCTCGCAGTAATTAGATGGACAATTGGAACCCCAGGGGAATTGTCGCAGGCGGTTGAAGACTAGGCGCCCTCGGTCGTCAATGTCATGAGACGACACACAGCCCCCTGCCTCATTTCATATGACGAGTCGAGCGAGTCCCCTAGAGCGGCATCAACAGGGTATTGACAGCAACTCTGGCGCACCACGACGACGCCGCCTCTCCCCTTGGCCTCGAAGCCCCGGGACCTGGGGAGCGAGCGGCAAGGATGGCTTCGACTCCCACAGTCGATGATGATGCGCGGAGCCAAAGTCCCGAGGAGTCGACAGTCCTGCTGGCGCACGAAACTGTCCTGGAGGAAGAGTCAACGGATGGCGCCCCTCGATATCCTATTCCTTCTCGCCGGCTCGCCGCTGTCGAAATTCCTGCCGTGGTCAAGGATATCGACCGCGCCGTCAAGGCCTTTGGTCGAGCCTCTTCATTGTCCTACGTGAGTGCGTTGCCTGCTCTGCCATGCCCTATTCCTACCGTGCGTTCTCTGGCTCCGTCTCTTCCTTCTCTCACGCCGCCTCCAGGTCTTGGACCCCTTGAGAAGCTCGTTGCCGTTCTACATGAATCCCGAGAGCCCCTTTTGTCCCTCCATCATGTCCCATAATGCGCGGTCGCACAACATTGTCCTCAAAATCACCGTTCCCAAGCGGACGGGCCGTAAACGAAAGCGCGGAACCGACGATCCCTGGCAGGGCGATGTTGAGATTGGTGATGCGCACGCCGCTTCCCCGTCGGCCAACGTCTGTTCCATCGCACGCCTTGACGAGCCCAAGGTCCTCCGGCGGAAGCTGGCAGACAATGCCGATCGCTACCAGGTTGAGGCCGTGGGCGTCATCAAGCACACGCATCGCTTTCGAGGCTTGGCCGACTTTTACTGGGACATGTCCAAGTCCTCCTTCTCCCAGCGATATGCGGACCAGGTCTTGCCCGGAGACAGTAAGCCCTCCATCTGCACTCTGCTCAGTCGCCTTGCATATCCGTGCTTGGCCCGGCCCGGCCCGTTTGTGTCTGCTGACCTTGTCCCTCAGTACAACAAATAAAGGCCTTCAAGTTCAGGCCCGGCACCGATCAAGGCCCAGACGTGGACATCATTCCGCCGCCCCTGTTTACGCACATGAGCCTGCCTTTCAACTACAATTTTTCGCAAAATCCATACGTCCGTACCACGGAGGACGGCGACACAATCAACACGACCGCGGTCAAGCAAGTCGGCTACTTCATCGGTGCGGACGAGCCGGCGCCAACGGGGCCTCAGCTCCCTCCGGACTTGACAGATCCCAGGACGATGGAGATCATAGCCGAGCTTGAGGAGGCATTTCAGGAGCGCCCGGTCTGGACCCGACGGTCGCTGACGAATCACCTAGGCGCCAAGCTTCGAAACTGGAACGAGCTGAAGAGGTGCCTCAACTACACGGCTTATCAGTTCAAGGGTGGTCCCTGGAGAGATGGCGTCGTGCCCTATGGTATCGATCCGAGGACGGATCCAAAGTACCGCGTTTACCAGACGTTAATGTTCAAGCTGGCCAGGAGGAATCACCAGGACCGAGTGTGGCACTTCCTCGACAAGTCGCAGGCGGCCCCGAGCAAGGAGGCCGAGCCAGACAACTTGCAAAGCCACGCCTTTGACGGCGAATCGTACTGCACGGATGGCAAGGTCTGGCAAGTGTGCGACATCACGGACCCTCTGTTGAGAGACCTTTTGGACAATGCGACGATACGCCCTACGTGGGACGTCAACAGTGGCTGGTACCACGGCGGCTTCTGGGCCAAGGTCAAGGCCATCATGAAGACAAAGCTAGTTGCGGTCCGGTTTGGACGGCACCTGACACGGGCAGACTTTGGCCTGACGCTGGGCTGCGGCGACCAGACGCCTCCCAGGACGACGTCGGCGACATGGCACTTGCCGCTGCCAAATCTTCGACTCACCGACGAGGAGCTTACGGAGCTACGTGGCCGGGAACCACCGAAAAAGAAGAGCTCGGGCTACAACGTGCGGGTGAGAGAACCAGGCAAGGGCGCCGACGCCAGTGCTGCGGCAGAGCCCTCTCCTGCCCCAGATGCCCGGGGCGGCGGAGCGGCACCCGGGGACATGGGGCTCGAGGACGAAGACTCGGGCAGCGGCGGCGAATACAATGGCGACGACGACAACTCGGACTACGAGTATCCCGATCCGCCGGCATACAGTGATCACGATGGGCAGGACGACGATATGGACAGCCGCTACGGCGGGGACGAGGATAGCTTTGCGTTGATGGGCGGCGCAATGTATCCAGAGCTAGACTAGGAGTTTCTGCCGCCCTCGCACAGGGATTCTCGAGTCGGATCGTGAAAGCCGCGAGCTAAGGGTGGCCAGAATAGGGGCTCAGGCCTTGGGGGCCTACGCAAGCTGGCTTTATGTAAGGTATGAATAGCTTTCTGTACTTGCCACCCTATCAGTTTCCAGCGCTCACAGCTCCAGTCCACTCTCCTTGTTCCTGCTCCTGGCACGTGAGAGAGAGCCAGCCGTCAACACGTGCACACGGATCATAGATGACCCCCTTTGGAGCCTATTTATCTACTCTCCGCTGCCTTGTTGGTTTTCTCCTCTCCTCTCTTATGTACTCTATCCAGCCGCGTGCCTCGTTTTGGCTTAAGGACAGCAGCCAGCTGTGTTCTTCATAGCCTCGGCTGCTCACACAAGCAGGGAAAGCAAGCCAAGTCCATCCTCCGACTGTTGACTCTCTGATCCTGTTCCCACCTCGCGTCCCGCTTCCGCTACCTCCTCTCTCACGAGCTGAAGCCGCTCGACAGAATTTCCCACTCTGCGGGATCGACGAGTGCCTGTTGTCACCGCCTTGAGAATGCCTTCTGGCCTGCAGAGCGACGGGCAGTGGCTCTGCAAGCCCTGCGACCGTATCTTCGCTAGCTGCGAGGCCCTCCTTGACCACAAGCAACAGATGCGTCAGGCTGGCCGGCCCAAGCACATTCACTGCAAGCACTGCGGCCAGGACTTCAAGACGGAGGGGGCCGAGATCTTTCACATCCAAGCTGTACGAGACTCCCTCGAAAGACATGCTGCCCTAAACGCTCTTCGCTAACGTGGAGCAGTTTCATCCCCAGGAGCAGAACCTCACATGTGTTGCCTGCGGCCAGGGCCCCTTTGTGCGGGTCGGCGGGCTCATAGCCCATATCGAGCAAGGCCAGTGCGTCGGCCTTGACGCGTCCGTCATCGACGAACGTCGCGAGAAGAAGACGGAGTTTTCGCGCAAGCTTGAGGTTCTCACCGGGGAGCCCATCAAGAACAGCTTTGCCAAGTACATTTACCCTTTGCCAGTGCGCGGCGCGATCCACGTCGACTCGTCTGTGCGCAGGACCTCGTTGCCTTCCGAGGCCTCTCGTTCCGTACATGGTGTCCTTGAACCACGCAGCGTCAACGTGCCTACGAAGATCCCGGGCAGCGAAGGTGTCACCGACTGGTTCATCAGCCTGGATTCGGCAAACCGAGCACGCAACGGTGGCGTGAAGCCCGCGCCAGGCGGTGGCGCTGTTGACCCGGTGGTCGAGACGGAGAATACGCTGTGTTCAGGGAGCGACTTTGCCCCAGTTTCCATCAAAGAAGAACCGATTGAATGGCACTTTCGGAGTGCTCCATCTCCTGTCGCCAACACAGATGTGGAGAAAAACAAAGCCACGGAAAGTGTCGCCGACTGGAGGGGCATCAAGAATGAGCTGCCCCCGAGCTGCCCGGCCTGGCAGCGTCCCTCTGTGGAAAAGACTGGCCAAGCCCAAGAAGGCTCTATGCTTGGCCTACAAATCTTTGACTCGGTGGATCAGGACCACCCTGACTATCCATCTTTTAACTCGGCGAGATATCATTGTCCCTATGCCGAGAGGTTCATTTGTCCGAAGCTGCCTTGCGGGTAAGATGACCTTGATACACTCCCTGCTCGTCCGTAAACCTGGTCGATCGGCTGGCTAACCCGTTAACTCTTTTATAGCAAGGCTTTCAAAACGGCTGGTGGTCTCATCAGCCACCTCCGGTCGACAGCCCACGGAAACAGGACATATCAATGTCCCTATTGCCTCAGGAAATTCAAGTCTCTGGCGGCCATCGTCTCTCATGCCGAACAGAGCAACGTTCACTGCCGAATTCGCGAGTCGGACAACTACGATGCCTTTATCCATCAGCTCACTGCCGGAATCGTCGACGTTGACATGAAACGCCATGACGATGGCACGATCAAGTACGAGACTAGGGACGACTGGTAAGTGTGGGAACTGAAATGTGATGGAAGGATGAGAGAAAAGGAAACGATGTTGGCATGACATGAATAGGGTGGGAGTAGGATCGGGGAGGGGGGCTGGATCCAAGAAACTTGAGTGTGCAACTTGATAGGCATAGGACCTCGATCTTCACAGAGCAAAATATCATTCATGGCCGAGCAAGTCGTAACTGAGGGTTATCTGCTGTTGCCAAACAGAGCTGAGGTGGTACAGGGTAGGTTGGTGAGGATTTCACAGTAGGTACAGCACCAAATCAGGGATCAGGGGGTTGCATCGGCCGCCGAGCCCCTGTGATGACCTAAGCGGCTGCGCCTCGAGCGCCGTGACTCGCCAAAAGCCAAGTTCCAATTGCCGACGACACACCCAACCCCTGCTTGCATAAACAAACCACAGAGCGTCTATGCGCCGGAGAATGATGGGATGAAGTGGCCTACGAGGGCGTGACGCACAAAACCCGAGACGAACTCAGAGCTCGAACGACAGTCGAGACGAAAACACGCCCCACGAGCGACACCTTCAAAGGGCCGAGACGAACCACAGCAGACAACACCACTGGGGGGAGGGAGGATTCAACACGCCATGCCCCGGCGCTGCACGCGCAAGATGGAGCGCGCGTGCTGCACCCTGGGCAAGTATCTGCCCGTCGTCTTCGTCTACGGGCTGACGACGTGGGCCGTCTGGGTGGTGGTGGTCATTGGCAAGGTGACGTCTCAGAGCAGCTGGATAGGTATGCAGTCCCGGGGACAAACAGATAACAGAACCTAACGTGGCCCCAAGGCACCTCGTCGTCGGTCGTCGGCGTCTTGCTCTATATCCTCCTCAACTGGTCCTACACGACGGCCGTCCTCACAAAGCCCGGCTCGACGACAAACGACGATGGCTACGGCCTCCTCCCGACCTCGCGTTCGCTCCCGCCCGCCTCGTCCCTGACCGTAAAGTCCAGCAATGGCCAGATGCGGTACTGTAAGAAGTGCCAGGCTCGCAAGCCCGACCGGACCCATCACTGCTCGTCGTGCGGCCGCTGCGTCCTCAAGATGGACCACCACTGCATCTGGCTCGCCACCTGCATCGGCCTGCGCAACCACAAGGCCTTTCTGCTCTTCCTCTTCTACACCACCCTCTTCAGCCTCTACAGCTTCGTCGTCAGCGGCAGCTGGGTCTGGCACGAGGTGGTGGAGGAGTCGGCCCGCTACGTCGACGCCCTCATGCCCGTCAACTTCATCGTCCTCAGCGTCGTCGGCGGCATCATCGGCGTCGTCATTGGCGTCTTTACCATCTGGCACATCATGCTCGCCTGCCGCGCCCAGACGACGATTGAGTTTCTCGAACGGACGCGCTACATGTCGCCCCTGCGCAGGATGCACCACCAGCCGCACGCCTCGGCCAACCCCGTCCCGCAGGCGGCCGTCCAGTGCATGGACGACCTGCACGCCAACGTCTTGCCCGGCGCCGACCGACCCGATGATCTTGAAGAGCAGCGCCCGACTGGAGAGGGTGCGCGGCCGGCGCAGCTGTCGTACGAAGAGATGGAGCGGCAGCAGACGCGCAAGCGGTACGAAGAGTACCTGGACGAGAGCGACTCGGAAAAGCTCCCCAACGCCTTTGACCTCGGCTGGAAACGCAACCTGCTCCACCTCTTGGGGCCGTCACCCCCGTTGTGGCTTCTCCCCGTCTGCAATACCACTGGAGACGGGTGGACGTGGGATCCCAACCCGGAGTGGCTCAAGGCGCGCGACCGGTTACGACTCGAGCGAGACGAGCAGCGGGCGCGCGAGGTCAACGCAGGCTGGGGCGCAGGCGACGACGAGCCTCACAACCCCGGCGCCAACAGAGGCGCCTGGGGGGATGGAGGAATCGGCCCCGGGGGCCCGGGACCCGTCCACGGCGCCGCCAGGAGGGCGCCAAGCAAGGCGGACCGCGTGCTCGGCCGGGACCCGAACCTGTACGCCGACGGCACGCAGGGGGTGCGCATGCAGCGGCTCAGCCAGCGGGGCAAGACGCTCGAGGACGACCTCTACGACACGGACGACGACGAGGCGGCGGCGGCGGCGGCGCCCGGCAGCGGGGCCGGCTCGCAGGCAGCGGCGGGCCGCGAGGAGGCGGAGCGGCGGGCCCTCGACGTGGTAACCAACGGGCGCGGGTGGGGCCGCGGCGGCGCGAGCGGCATGCTGCGCAAGAGCAGCGCGCAGAGCGGGCGCGGCGAGGGCGAGGTCGTGACGAGTCCGCGCTTCCAGGACGACGGGGTGGATTGATTTCGAGTGAGCGACTGGAACAACCTTGTTTCCGAGACGGGGCTTGTTCCCGCAACGCGCGTGTATAAGATATGGTATTTTCTATGCATATAGTACAAGCCAAGTCCCCATTGGAGAGGCGAAGGGGGGGCAAGGAGAATGGGGGAAGAATATTCGTCGAGCTTCTTCTTGCTTCCGGGGGGGCCCCTCGACTGTGGGCGCTGCTGCTCCCCTTCGTCTCCCGATGGACCCCTTCCGTTTCAAAGCTAGGAACAGTGACCGTATACGCACACAGACACGCACAGAGAGGGAGGCTTCGACACCACGACAACAAGACAGACTCGCAAAGCATGCAACGCAAGCACCCAAGTCCAGCGCCGCGCAGGGGCAGAGAGCCATCAATTCATCCCCATGTCCGGCATAGCCCAGCCCAGCCCAGCGCTGGCCTCGTCATCAATCCTAAGTTACACGCTCCCCCTCCCCGGCTTCACCTTCGTGTACACGCACCACTCCCTAAACGAGACAAATGCTATTCTGTGCCGCCGCAATCCTCCCACCTGCATGTTTCCTGTAGCAGTAATCGCACAGCTTTTACCCACCACCCGACCTAGGGCCCGACCTCGTCTTTCTATCCCCATGGCCGAGCCAGTACAGTAAAGCCCGGCATCACAAACCGTCCATGAAAAGAGGGTAAACGACTGCCCCATGTTCAATTACGCCACCCTCGAGCACCGCAAGAGAGTTCAAGACTGGCGTTGAGAATGAGAGAAAAGGCCGTCGACCGAACCACGCCTCTCCATGCAGTGGTGCTTGCCAAGACTTGTGTTTAGATGCTATGCTTTCATTTTCTGGCCCCCCTTCAAGACGCGTGGTATATATATGCTCATCATTCCGGCAGCGCTGCTCCTCTATCATCACAGGGGAAGAGATATGAAAGAAAAAAAAATGATACCAAGACTCTTTGCACGCTTCTCCCATATGCGGGTATTTTCCATCCTGTTTTCGTACGCCATCATACACAAAGAAAGAGAAACAAGAGCGTCCTCATTCGTGACATGGCTGTCCTGTAGCCGGAAGAAGAAAGATCAAGAAAAGGTCGAACAAATGATAGCCTTTGCCAAGGGTAACCCAGCCCCCAAAAGGTAAGTCAAGCTTTCTCAACCGCCGCTCGAGGCGTGGGGCGTTGCAACGGATCGTGCGGCAAATCGAGATGAAGTGAAAAAAAATTCCGAAGAGAAGAGAAGAAGAAAACGAATACATGAATGAAGTCGGTCTCGACGTCGGCCACCCCGCAACGAGGATACCGCCGCCATGTCCGAGTCATCAATTTGGTTGTGCCACGTGGAATCACCTGAGCAATCCAGCGACCCGCGGCATCATCAAGTGCCGTCAACACTGACCTTTTCCAAGCTGCTCGTCTCAAACGTGCTTCGGGGACTCGTGCTGGAACGGCCAAACACCTTGCCGCCCAGGCGGTTGAGCTTGCTCATGTCCTGCGTCGGGGGCGGCGCATCGAAGAGCCTCGTCTCGATGGCGCCCACGTTAATCCTGCAAAACAGCGTGGAAAAGAGATACTGGTCGCCGCCGTGGTTCAGCAGCGGGAGCGTGCGGTAACCTTGCTTGAGGTTCTTGAGCTTGGCCGTGTACGTTGCAATCGCCGCGCCGTCTTTGCTGTTGTAGCTCTCGCCGTAGCTCGCCAACTTGACCGACCAGCGCACAAAGATGAGCTCGGGGTGCTTCGTCGTCACCTTGAACCTGAACTGCCCACCCGAGAAGACGGGATTGAAGCCGTTCTCCCGTATCACCTCGGTCTGGAACTTGAGGGGCGTGTCGTGGTCGTGGACGAGGGTAGAGCCCGCCTCCTTCTTATCGCGCTTGTCGTTGGCGTGAAAGACTTGCACTTCGACATACGGATCCATGGACTTGCTGGCTGCGAGGTTGGCCGGCCGCATAAGCTGCTGCGCTGAGACGACGTCGATGCTAAACGACACAACGGACCGCTCCTTTTTGCCCTGTGCAATGGCCGAGTCAAAGGGGCGCACCTGGATGTCCCGCAGCTCGGTTGGCTTGAGCACGTATCCAGACTCGTCCTTGCCGCCCTCAAACATGGCGTGGTTGAGCTGTGTTCCCAAGTCAAACGTCTGCCAGTTCAGGGCCGCCATCTGCACGCCGCGGCGCCAATAAATTAAGGGGTCATAGTTGCTCGACGCAAACCTCATCCCGTCGGGGTAGACGCGCATCATGTAGCGCATGTTGTGGATGTCGAGCGCCATCTTCGCTTCCTTTGTCCGTGAGTGCTTGGCAAAGCTCGTCTCCATAAAGGAAAAGATGTGGTTAAACGTCTTGGCGGCGGGCGAGTCGAACCCAAAGTACTTGACCCCGGCGCAGTAGACGCCAAGTGCCCCGAGAAGCTTGGTCGTCTTGTTTGCCGACCTGCTGACCGATCCAACCTCGCTGCCGCTCTCGTTGTCGCTGGTGCTGCTGCTCATCAGCCCGTGGACTTGGCCCTCGGTGATGGTGTTGACTCGGCTCTTGCCAACCAGCCACCGCGCCTGGCTGCTGGCGGCGAGGAGAGGGCTCTGGGGGACTGACTGAGAAGGATGGAACGAGCTGCTGTCCGGGACGGGTGGCCTCGACACCGGGGAGCCGATGCTGCTCCCCCGCCTGCGGCCAATGATTTCCGTCGACGAGTTGTCGTGGTTGCCTCCGGGCTTCTTGACCTTGATGAGGATCCGCTCCATGAGCTCTGATGGCGATGGCAGCTTGTCCGACGATGGATCAAGCGGTTCTGTGAGGAGCCGAGCCCCGAAAGCCTCCTTCATGATGTCCACCATCAATGTTTGCTGAGCGGGGCTGCAGTGAACCTCAAGGGAGATCCAGAGCGGGAAACTCGACTTGACAAAGGCATATTTGTTGATGGTTGTCATGACCTCTTGGAAGCTAATGGCTGTCGTGAGCGTGCGGCCGTGGACAACTTGTGGCTGGCCATCGGATCCATCCCAGCAGTCCACCTCGACGCACCGACACCCCCGTACAAGGGCCGAGATATATCCCTCGACACTGGACTGGCCGGCGACTTGGCGGCCAAGCAAGTACGTGTTGTGAGAGCTAGAGATGAAGTATTCATTCATGGGCCGGTCCAGCGCGTATTCCTGGGGCTCGTCGACGAGGGGGCTGTTGTGCCGAGATGCCAGGAAGCCGACAAACGCGGCTTCCGACATGATGCTGGCGCCGCCGTGGTCGGCGTCAAGGCCGTCGGCGTCACCTGGCCGATGCTTGCGAACAAACTTGGCAAAGTGCTTCTCCCACATGGCCGTGTTGGAGTCAACATCTTCGCCCTGGACCTCCCGGAGGAAGGCCAAGAACTCGGACAGGGTCAGGCCGACCTCGGGATTGGCGGCAATACTGTACATGATTCGCCGCACATCCGATCTCTGCCTCATGAGCCGCACAAAATTCAAAAACTCGGAGAAATTGAGCCGCTCACGGCGTCGAGCGTCGCAGCGGCGAAAGTTGGCCTGCAGTGTAGAATGAGAACTGTAAATGTGTAGGTTGTGGCAAACCTGCATCACGCCCGCGATGCCCAGCTCCTCGTGCTCCTCACTGCGCGGCTGGTCGCCAAATTGCCTCGTCATCTCGCTCTGCCAGTACTGCGCGATGGCGCGGTCGTTGAAAGTCATGAGAGACGTCATGACCTCCTGGCGATGCTTGAGCAAGGCGTCGAGAAAGGTTGTCCACGTGAGGCACGTCTCGACGTCGTCAGCAATGAGGTGCAGGAACTTGGTCTTTGACTTTTCGGGGATGGAGTAGAGGATGGAAAACCAGGTGGAGCGCTCTGATTCCGGGATGTTGAAGTCGCGGCCATACTGCTGAATGTCAGAGCCGGTCCGAATCTCCCGTATCTCGTCGACGTGGAGAAACTTGTTTGGCCGCTGCCTGTCCCATGTGAGCTTGTTCGTCTCGGGTTCGTAGACGAGAGGGATGCGCTTGGAACGGTTCTTCTTGGATATTTTCCTCAGCCAGGTGCCTTGCTGAAGCTGCAGGGGAATGACGGGGCCTGCCATGTTGTTGGCACTGCCGGTAATGGAACCCGTCGTACTGTTAGCCGACGAGCCCCGGACTGCGCTGTCAAGGTACAAGGATCCGATGGAAGCAAAGTCCTCCCGCTCGTCCAGGTCCGATTCGGAGTCGGTCGACATGGTGACGTAGTCGGGCGGCGCCGTCCCGTTGCTGTCACTACGGCGCCGCAAGAAGCAGGGGCCGACACTGCCATCCCTGCTGGCCGGTGCGGCCGACGATTGCCGCCTGCGAGTCGCGATTCGCCTCGATGCGCGGCTCGAGAGCCGTCGGATCAGGTTGTTCTTGCCAGTGTTGCCGCAGGCACAGTTGGCATGGTTGCCGTGAGCGGTTGCGGTAGCGTTGCTCGACGTGGACATGTGGCCATTGACACTTTGATAAGTGGTCTCGGCGATGGGGCTGGTGCTGTCTGGGCACCCGTGGCCGAGAGAGTTGTTGCTGGTTTTCCGACAAAGGATGGAGTCTGGCAGCTGGAAAGTAGAAGGGAACTGTTCCACGTCTTTTGGCCGGATGGGTTCGGGCGATGCCTGGATCGACGAGGTTGTGGTCAAGACAGCCGTGTCCGGGGACATGATTGGAGAGGTTTGCCGAGAGCTTGAGGCCATCGAAGAAGCACTAATGGCCGAGACGGGAACCCCGGCAGAATGAGGCGAGCAGTGACGATGTTGATACTGGCGAAGATGAGGAGGCGACTGTTGCTGTTGTGATTTGGATGGATGAAAGTTGGTCTGAAGCTGGCTGGGGCGAGAGCGCCGGAGGTGGGCAGAAAAGGAGGACCTGGGGGGTCCATCCACAGGCTGTTGAGAAGTCATTGAAATAGGGATTGAGTCGCTCGGCATGGCCATGGTTATGGCATGGGGAAAGGGAGCCAAGGAGCGCCACTTGAAGGCCGCGTCGACATTTATAAGCCCTTGGCAGGTCCAGTATGCATGTTGGGACGGCCCGTGGCAGGAACAGAATGCGGGGAAGACGTCGAGCTGGCAGATGTGCGGCGCTGTCGCAGGGCCAGGGGTGGTATTGAAGGTGCTGCTGGAGTTGCCAATGACGGGCTGACGGCGGGGAGCGGCAATGGGGTGCTGTAGCGAGGAGAAGACGGTGCAGCGCAGCAGCAGAACACCACCCAGACGGCTGCACAAGGAGGCCTAAGACGCCCGAGGGTGTGGTGTCCAAGACGGGGTGCTATGGACGAGGTTGACTGTCGGGTCGAGTGGTGGTGGTGGTGGTGGTGGTGGTGAGGTGGCGGCAGCAACAAGAGCAGTCGGCGGAGGCGGTATAATATGCAGGTCGCTGGTTTAGGCCATCAGCACGCCGGCCGCAGGACGAGGGGTCTTTGTGACTGAGCAGCAGAGGCGAAAGAGAGCAACGGGACGCGCCAGTCGCCCGAGCCCCGTCGCAGGTCCGTCGGGGTGCGGGAAGCGCGGGCGCACGATCAATGGCCAGCCAGAGTCGAGGTGACGATCAAGGGCGCCTTGTTCACCGAGAGCAGCAGCGAGGCGAATCGGTGGGAAACGAGAAGAGCCGGAGATCTGGGAGTCGGGAGGCAGGGTTTGCGCACCCGCAGAGCCGCAGCAGATGGGGTGCAGCTGCCCGAAGGAGCTGGCAATGCTGGCAGACGACGACTGACTGTTGGTCACAAGGAGCGAAGCGCGGCGGGGCGCGACGTGACGCGGGCGTCTTGGGAGCAGTGAGTCGCGGAGTCCAAGGACGGGCCTTTGCAAGTGTTGGAGGGAGTTTGGGGGTGAGAGGAGACTGGCAATGGGATTCGAGGACGGGCGAGGGTTCAAGTATGCAATAGGGAGGAACGGCGAACGAAGGTGGTTTTTGACAAGACGGGCAGTGGCAGGTTTAGGCTAGCCCAGACTGTAGGCAAGGTACCTACTGCGAGGGCCAGTCCGTCCCTCTGAGAGTTAAGGTACAGGGGGGGTGTGGCCTGCGAGACTGCTGGGGGGGGCCCTGTCTGGGGGGTACGTCTAAAAAGCCTCTTGGGGGCGGTCGCTGGCAGATGGAGGCCCAGGGCAGCGGGACCGAAACAGGGCCGCATTGCAGACGGCCGACGGTCGAGCTTCTCACAGCTTTTCATCTGGCCTGACTGGCCGCAAAGGACTGATTCCGCCAGGAGGATACGGGCAGTCCAGCAGCGAGGCCGGACCTTAGGGAGAGAGGAGGGCGGGGCGGGGGGGGGTTTCTTCGGCCTAGAAAAGAGACGGAGAGGGAGGGCGTGTGGAAGAGGGCCCTTGCAGCGCCAATGGTGGCTGTTGGGCCTTCTTGTCACTACTGCACTTTTGTACAGTGTCTTGGGCTGCTGCATGGGCGGAGAACAGCGGTCGCATGTTGAGAGGTACCATCTGAGTTGCACATGCGCGCAACCGGATGCAGAGATGAGACGATTCACAGTCGATGTTGATGCTCTTCTGCAGCAGTACTGTAAGAATGGTGATGAAAGAATACCTACTGTATCTACTACTCCGTAAGTACTGTAGAAAAGAAAGAGGTGACTGCCCTCTGGCATGCCTGGGACGATGCGTAGCAGACAGGGCTGCTCAGGTACCAGTACCCAGGGTTGGTATTCGTACCAGGTACTGTGTCAGGTTGCTGCCAGAAGAGCAGAGCCGAGACGGGGTCCCTCCAGCACGACAAGGGGCAACGAGAGAAGGAAAAAGCAAGCTGTCGCTGTCAGAGACGATGACGGCGTCACCTTGGGATTCCAACCGACGCCTCGACTCTAGCGCACCCGCATCTTGGGGGCCACCCAGTACATGCCGTGCGGTGGCCTGCCGCCGTGGCTTGCATGTACAGCGTGTCTCTCTCCGAGACGATGAGCAATGCTAATTAGTACCTGTGCCCTCGATGCTCAAATCCGTCCAAGGCTTTGGAGTACCTACAGTACAATGAGCATGCCAAAGCAAATTGCCTGAGCTGCGTCACCACTCAAACGTTGCCTGCTACCTAACTCATGTACCCTACGTCAGAAGCGTGCTTGCAGCCGCGAGGTATGCAAGTAGGCCAAAATCCTCCGCATGGCGCCCAAGGCAGAAAGGCAGAAGGGCAGAAAAGGGACCAGCACTGCAATTGCGTAGGTCAGGTACCTGTACAGCACATCTTGTAAGGGTTGGTTGGCTGCCGTTGGGGGCGCAATATCTGGTGCTTGCTGACCGACAAGTCACAGTACCTACCCCCCGTGCTATACTGTACGACGTGCCCAGGCTGGCGCAGCAGGTCCACCGAGGTGACTTCCCAAACCGGTAGGCACCGACATCCACCCGCGTGCAGGAGGCATGACGACAGAAAGAAAAGAGGCCAAGATAAAAATAAGCCTAGAAATGGCCCGCGACCCAGGGCTAATAATACACACACGTACCATACTTACATGCTACTTACTGTACATGCTACCGTGAGTGTTCATGGCACGACAACCCGAGTCCGGGTAGCCGGCACTCGACGGCGGCTGTCAGTCGTGTTGGGCCTTGGCAGACGGGCATGGATGGCGGCGTGTGAGTAGACACAAAGCAAGCAAGAACACAAAGGTCAACAGGACGCAGAGCAGCAGAGGATGAAAAGAACGAATGAATGGGCAACAAAGAACCCATGGCATGTCTGTTTTCCTATCCTATCCTACTCCCAGTCTAACCCTCGTTGCACGGCCCGCAAGATCCAAGCATGGCGGAACTGCCGGGGCGGGCGATTCTGCCAAAGATGTGACAGGTTCGGGTGGGATAAGCAATGCAGCATGGCTTCCATGTGCCAATGGGTGCGAGCAGGCACGCTGCCATCCAACAGAGGCTCGACTATCCCATCCGTCACACGGCATTGGGGCGATTCTTTTGTCTGCGCTAGGCCTTTGTATTTTTCTGTCTTTCCGCTTAAGAGTCTACGCCCCCTTTGGCCCCGTCTCTTTGATCCTGACAGTTAAGCGAGGAGGAGAAAAAAAAGTAGAAAAAAGGGATCGGCTACTTCGTCCTGGCCCCGAGTCTAGCAGCTCATGTCAGGGTCTCATCCGTCTGTGCGCCCATCAGGGTCGCCTCTGAATATTGCGACATTGTTGCTATGAGCATCGGAATACAAGAGAGAGGGGGAAACAGACCAAGGGGCGAATAGGGACCTTGAAATTTTTCTCCAAACCCCCTCCCCCTTTTCCCCCTGCTCCCCGCCCCGCGAAAGAGAAACGCCCCCTCCGCGAACGGGAAATAGAAAGGGGTGGAAGGGGGTTCGGCGGGGAAAGAGGGGAATGGAAGACACCGAAGAAAGAAGAAGAATCCTCTAGCGAGGCAGATTGATCAGCGGCAAGAAAAATAAAGGGAGGCCCACCGACTGACCAACTGCATCAGGGGCCAGGGCCGAGCAGGCATGGCCAAGGAAAACCGACAAGAACACAACCAGCACAAGGCAGGGGAATGGAGATTGCATCAAACAAAGACACATGGCATGGTGATGAAAAATATGGCATGCCAATCTGTTTATCAGATGGGACACGCAGCCAACCTGCATCGTTTCGTCGCGGGCCTCGCGGCCAACGCCAGGTCTCTCTCACCAGCACTCTGGTGATACCAAACAGGAGTTTGTGTCCGTAGAATCATGGGATTGATTACCTATACAATCTTTGCTGGCGGGAGTGGGCCAACGGAAACCCCCTACTCGCCAATACGTCCATTACTCGTGCTGGGCCGCACAGGCTGCCGGAGAGGCAGAGCTTACTCGCCAGGCAAGGTCTCGGAAGTTGTTTCGAGCTTTCTCCAAGTTCGCCAAGGGCTCGCCCGCAAAACAGCCAACCACACACTCGGCGGCGGCGTCTTGGCCCGTCCGAGAAGATGGAAAACATGGATTCGCTGTGCATGCAGTGTCGCGATGCCTCTCCCAAGCAAGGTTCCTACACGCATCATTGAGGTCGGCACATTTCGTACGAAGTAGGTACCCGCCCATTCGGTACCCGCCCATTCCCACCCGCATACCTGTACAGGAACTGTAGGAAAAACCCACCAGTCACCGACCTCGGCGCTTAATCCGTTGCTGCCAACCAAGCAGCCGAGGCTTCCTCCGCGGGCGTGGCGTGCCACCGAGGCTTGGACCAAGCTTTTAGCATCGCGGTCCGTCTCCTTTCCTCTCATCCAAAGGGAGGGGGGGCTGCAGATCGCAAGTGGCCACCGATCTGCGCGATCATTTCGATGTGACTTACACCCCCTCCCTCTGCACCATCTTGTCCACCGATCCTGGGCGTCTTGTTGGAGACGGCCATGACGTGTCGTGTCGGTGAACAAAGTCAAACGTCGCGTGCCCTCGTCGGCCCGTCCACGTCACTGGCGGTCAGCTTGGGCCTCGGACTCGAGGCCCCGTCTGTGTCCGTGATGGTCCTCGAGGGGTGGCACCACGACGCCACGCCTGTGCGCGTCGACAAGACGGGAGAGAGTGAGCGCGAGAGAGAGGTCGGACCCATGCGACAAGGCGGCCCTTTGCGCCGAGGGGATTGGAGTCGTTCAATTCAACAAGGGCCGCCACAGTCTCGGAGAATCGTATTTGCCGAACCCTGCGTGCAGTCAGTCCACGAACCACCACGTCCCCACCGATGCACTACCATGGT